TCGTGAGGTGCTGCCTGAATGCTGGTGAGTACTGATGAAGAGTTGGCTTAGAATAGGTTTAGCGTTGGTTTCGTATTGCTGAGTGCTGCCTAATACTAGTTGAGTATCGGTTTAGGATTAGTTTGGTATTGTTTCATGTTGATTTGTCGTGTTTTGTGCTAGTTCAGTATCGGTCCTGTTCGCTCCTCTACCGTTCGGTACTCTCTGCTTAGAAATGGATGTGTGTTGCTTAGTGACTGGCTTAGTTGCTGCCTCGGTTTAGTATTGGCTTAGTATTGGGAATGTTCTGCTAGGTCCCCTTCGGCTGCACTCCCCCTGTTGAAAAATTGTTGGCCGGGCTCTTTTCGAAAAGGATCAGATAAAGAATGTGTAGTTGGGGGGGACTTTGTTGTTTTGTCGGTGAAGTAGTGGAAGACGAAACAACAAGGTGGAGCTGGAGAAAGCAGGGTCACAGTTCCTGGCGGCTGGGCGAAGGGCAGGGTTAGTCAGTGAAGGGGCAGATTCTGTCCTGGTGGAAAGGATTCTGTATTGTACCCTTTGTCTTTCGGGGGGACTAATAATTCTGGAAAGACTTTCTTGATGTCGGTCCCCCTTGGGTAGTTGGTGACCCGCATTATATACGTACGTAGGCAGAGTACATAACCGCATAAACACATAAACACATAAACACACACACACAGACACATATACACGCAAACACGCATACACCGATCTTCAGGTTGTTCCAAATTTGCTAAGCCAGCGGAGTGTCACAGGAGATTGTTCTCAACACCGAGCTTTGCAACCCGGCAAATGACTGGTAGATTTCGGCCAGGGCTTGCACCTAGGGCGATGTTTAACCAAGGTGGGGACTACTCCGGCAACACGTGGGAATTGACGCCCTTCAGCTACTACACAGGTGCGCTAGCGTGATTGACACATCTTACTCATAATTACCATTGCCCGATTTTGAAGCTTTGATCGTCCTTGCATTTGAGCTTGGTGGTGCTGAAACTGTTCAGGAATCAACCTTATTGCCTTTTCCTTCGGGCAGGTTTCAGCGAAGAAACTCCACATTTCGCTGGCCACGTGTACAAACCAAGTCCAAAGCTCATGCTGTTGCATGAAAAATGATGCGCACAGTTTGTGTGGGTTGCCATGCTGATGCATATCGCTGAGTTCTCAATCAGCAAGAAGTGAAGCGTCTCCTGCGTTCTTGCTTCGGGTCACAAAGACTGCACTGCCAGGCTACAAGGTAGGCTTTGGAAAATGCAGCTCTGGCAAGGACCGGCGGGGTTGCATGGAGTGCAGCTGTTTTTTGAGGCAAACTTGGGCTTTCCAGATGCAGAAGCACACATGACATGGGCAAAACACTGGCCCTTCTCAACACCCCGCGATTCCCATGCCCTGGCCCATGTCAGATCTCCTGCTCAGGCCAATAACTAGCGAGCTTCATTTTTTCGGCTTGGCTCGCAGAAAAAGAATGGCGCTGCACGCAAGGTTTGCTGAGACCTGCTGGGACCAACTTTGAAGCCCCCAACCTGAGCGGCCTCTACCAGAAAATGTCGGTATCGGTTCGCCTGCGTGCAAGGGATGGTTGGCGAGGATGCGCCAGAACAGCCTCCTTTCGAAGAAAAGCACGGGAACTGTGGAAGACACCGGGCGCCCACGGGCCCACTTGGATTCCCTGGCCTGCACCCCTGCATCCCCAAAAGAGCACCCAAAAGAACGGCCTTCATCACAGAGTCTGATCGGCAACCTAACCCGCCCATCAAATAAGCCATGCACTCACATGCTAGCATGTGTGTGTGTGTGCGCGACAACATATCGTGTATGCCGCACTGTTCCGCCGACCCCAATCAACAAATCAATTATTCAGCATGTTCTTGCTGTTTTCTTCGCCTTGTGGAAGAATTGATTTTCATTCCCCAAACAGTGTGTCTACACTAAGGGGTTCTTACGGTAAGAGAAAAGGCCTTGGTGCCAGATTGAGGTGCCCGCTCTGGCCGCGAGCGTTTTGCGTGGTATTTACCGCAGATTCGTGCTCTTGCTTGATGTCGAAGTGCGTTTCGACTGCGCAGGCTCGCCTTTTGCTTGATGTCGAAGTGCGTTTCGACTGCGCAGGCTCGCACAAAGTGAGTTGGCGACTTCTGGCCGCGAGCGTTTTGCGTGGTATTTGCCGCAGATTCGTGCTTTTGCTTGATGTCGAAGTGCGCTTCGACTGCGCAGGCTCGCACAAAGTGAGTTGGCGACTTCTGGCCGCGAGCGTTTTGCGTGGTATTTACCGCAGATTCTTGCTCTTGCTTGATGTTGAAGTGCGTTTCGACTGCGCAGGCTCGCACAAACTCGATTTTTTTGCTTTTTTGGCGGGTCCGGGGACCGTGGGGGTTTTGTCTCGTGGTCCGGCGGCACGGGTTTCCGGCGAAAGGTGCCGGGCTCGATCCCCGCCCTGTCCGCGCGGGCTTGTTTCCCTTTCTTTGGGCATGCTTGGATGGTGCTTCTGCGACGGCGTCTCGATGGTACTCTGAACAACAACACCCAAAAACAGCAACAGCAACAGCAACAGCAACAGCGCCACAATCGAGAACAAAGGAAGAAGCTACCTAGCTAGCTAACTCACTAACTGAGGCACCCTGGTGAAACAAACACACAGATCTTGCCTTTTGTAGTGATGCTTACACACACACACACGCACACACACACACACACACACACGCACAAACACACGCACACACGACCATGGCGCTGGCTTCGACACGTGTCTGCTGCATTCTCTTGCGCGTATCTGTTCCAGGCCGTGTCCTTGTCTTTGTGAATGTGCGCGCAAATACCGCAAAATGATGTTGCAGCTTCCTGACAACAACCGCCGTTTTGCGGCGCAGCCCGCACAATACTCTGCAGCGTGTGACCGCCGCCTATCACTGTTTGGGGTCTCGTGCCGGGGTAATAAAGAAAAGATGAGGATAACGATGATGATGGTGCTAGTGATTATGCTGATCAGGAACATGATGACGACAGGGTCGGTGTTGCTGAGGATGCTCTTCGCATCCCCAGCATCGCAAGGGAGCAAGGACAGCCTCCAAAACGACCTTGCACAGCTAAGCAACATGAGTCGCCACTTTGCCATCCGAAGCATTGTGAGAGGTGCCTAACGTCACATTTGAACTCTGTAAATAAGAAAGCGATCACGATGATGATGATGATGATGATGACGATGATGATGATCATGATGATGATGATGATGATCATGATGATGCTGGCGATGATGATCATGATTGCGCAGCCCCAGCATTATACAATTTTGATTTTTTTGTGTAGCCATGTCCCAAAGGGGAGCTGCTTGTGGCGGTTGCGGGGGGCTATATTTCATGGCCTGCTGGCTGCAAGTGTCCCACCCACACGCCGTTCAGTGTCCGGGGACATTGATCGTGTAGGCCTGCATCGACATGTTCCTTATCCAAAAAGTTGTAGCCGGGGTTTGGGCCAGGACTGCTGCAACAAATGGATCCAGGACCGTGCGTTGTGCGCTGATGTGCGCTGCACGCCTACCAGCGTGTTGCTGTGAGCTAGCCAAAGCACAGATCCAGAATGATGGTTTCAGGACCCCAGATCTTCACAGTACTTAAACGACTACGCAGTGTGGGACATCGATTATGTCAAGGCCTGGTGCCTGTGCCTGGGGGAAAAGGGAGGGGGGCTGGGGGTTCAGGTCATTTACAGCACATGCAGAGTTTTTTGCGCAACAGCCGAAAAGGAAGGGCCGAAATCGATGACCCAATAAGCCTGTGCGCAGATGTGCGGTGAAGAACTCTCGGATCTTCCGAGCTGGTAGCGAAATTGCCCAAGGCTGTTCTGCCGCTGAGATTGTGTCTGGCAGCAGTAGTCTCCAAGGGAGGTGTCTTCAAAGCAAGTGCTCCGCACGAAGGTGTGCAAAATGAGGAAGATACCCCAAAGCCGATGCCCTCGAACAAGCCACTCAGAGCTGGCAGGGCTCAATAAGAAACCAAATACTCTCTTTTTTCAGGGTATCATGTCGACCCTCTACTAAAAAAGGAGGTATTTACCGTGGAAAACCAGGTTTTCCCATAAAAAAATACCTGACAAACACCGGGTATTTGGAGTAGGGGGTAAACTGCAATCCGAATTCTGAACTTCTGAGACGCGTGACACCGTCCGCCAGGTCTTCACAACCCACGGGGCCGAAGACTACGCGCAGGAGAGTGGCACCTTCCTCCGACATGGCGAGGCGCTACACTCCTGGTGAGGGGTTGACCAGGCGAAGAAATGCTAAGCCAAGTACCCGCCCTCCAACTAACATAGCACCAGACATGGGGTCCCTTAAAGAGGAAACCAATCTTCCAGGTCCCCTCCCAGAGGTGCCATGTTAGTGGAAGGGAGGGTATGTGCTGCAAAAAAGTGGCACGGAAATCCTTTGACATTGTAGGGTGGCGAGGTGTTCATTGGGGGCAACAGAATCCGCCGTTCACAAGAGATCTAGGCAAATGCAAGTCAAGGAGTTATTCCAGTCGGAAGAGGCTTCTGGGTTGTGAGTTGGCGAAAACTTGGACATTCGCTCAGCTGGAGTAGGGCAGGTTCTTCAGAGAAGGATTGCCCTGGCTGTCCAAAGTTTTCACCCTTGCCAACACGTCGTTTTTGGCACGGCCAGAGGTCAGCGAAGGTTGATTGAGCCTCAATTCAACGGCACAAAGTTGCGGGCACGAAAAAGCAGTCCGGAAAGCAGAGCATGCGCAAGTGCAACTGCCTGGTGCTCAGTTGCAGTCAGCTTGCTGCCCCTCTCAAGCATTGGACGACTGTGATTCACTTGAGATTTGGCATGTCCTAAACGCATGTTGCACCGACAAATGGGAGGATGATGTGTTGACCTGCTCCAAGGGTCCTGAAACTAGCGACCTGAAGACAGTGCATTGAGCTAAGACAGGAGTTCAACACTTCCTGAAGGATGCATAAATATCCCATGACTCTCACTGTGAAGTCGCTGCTGTGCTTTGCTGGGCGCCTAGGCAATGTGGTACAGCGAGCGTGGAGAGAAGTACATCATTGCAGTCATGCGTGGACCAGGAGTGCGCACAGCCCACGCTTGAGCCTGCCTGCTAGCACTTAAACATGCAGTATCCGCCTCCTTTCACTGGATTGCAAAGTGTTTACAACGCAAGGACGCTTTGAACAGGGAAAGAAAAAAAAACATGCAATATCTTGTGAATGCGAAGACTCTAGCAATTGCACGAGGATGATGGATCAGTTTGTCCGCTCTACTGCCACGGGCTTGAGACTTTGAGAGGCTGCGGCCGCTTGTGTCGGTTGCTCGGTGCTTCCTCCCAGATGACTCCCAAGGCCAGCCGGGCTACTCTCCGGCAGGATTGCTCGCGCCTCGTTCCTTCAGATTGGCCCTTGGGCCTTGCGGCTCAGCCAAAATGAGAGGCCAACAAAGGCCAGGACAAAGGAAGATCTTGAGCTGTGCAAGGGGTGAGACAGGTCTTAGCAAGAGCATGTGCGGCGAAGCATCGCGACCATTTCAGATGAGGCCATTTGTTGTGACCGCAGGCGCTGGTGGCGTGTTGTTGTGCTGCTTGCTGCGCGACGGGAACTTGTCTAACGGACACACCCAGGTACATTCCTCACGTGAATAGTCCATCCTGAGATGCCGTTTCATGTTCCAAGCCCCTAACCGCCCTTGCAGACTCAACATATCTCAACGCATGCCCCTTGACAGGCAATGCCAAAGCCAGCAGGAGCCCTGGGCAAAGTTGCGAGTCCAGCTGAAAAAGTTCAGGGCCAACGCCATGCTTCTTTTGCCTTATCGCAATTTGGCCAGGGGAGAGTATACTGTCCGGTTGCGCGCGGTGCGAGAGAATACAGTTAAGCTCTGATTGAGCAAGCAACTCAGTATCTCTTGTTGAGGCTGCACTTGTTTGGGGCTACATAAAACGGACCACCCAAGCTGTGTTCCCATTTGGCTGTGGGTCAAAACCAATGGTACCATCTTGGGGTAGGTGAATTCACCCCCATTTTAGAACCGATTTTAGTGGTTGGATTGGGTCCCGTTCACTCGGGGTATGGGATTTTGACCCATGGCCATTTCGGACAAGCCCAACCGAGTCCAAATTGAGCTTTCGCAGTGGCTGTGAGGCGAGCTTGCAAAGCGCAGCCTCCGATGTGTCGCGGGGGAGTGGCAAAGCCCCGGCTGCTTGGAGGCTCCCTCCGCACGGCAAAGAAAGGGCGGTTTTTGTCAAATTTTCTGGGTGGCTCCCGGCCATCCGGTTCCTTAGCCTTGTTCCGTTGAACCCGCTCAGAGTTCAACTTTTAGCGGGGGATCTGAGGGCAGCCCAGTATTGAGGCCGCCGAGAGGTCGATCTGACGGGTTCCAAAACCCCACCAAAAGGAGCTCCTATTGTCGAGCTCAGAAAGAGGTTTTCTCGACCCGGTTTTTTCGGGCATGGAGGATGTGCAAACTGTTGAGGACATTTGAAAGAGAATGACCAGCCATCGCAAAATTGAGAGACGTTTGAAAGACATTTGAGGACATTTCAAGACATTTTGAGAGAATCGCACACCTGTGGGCCATGATGTAGCAGGGCTCCTTAAAAGATACATGTTGCCCAATTGAAACATGGCTTTTTCCACCATAACAAAGGGAAGCCACCATTTACAAGGCAATGTTCAGGTGTATAATGTAAGGACCCCTGCTGTAGAGCCAAAACGCGCCAGGCGGCCTGCCATCAAGCGCCCGCCATCGCCCGCGCCACGCCGAAGTCCCTGCAGCAGTGCGTCGGGCACCAGGTCTTGGGGCTGGAGACGGAGCCTCTCATGAAATTTGAAGGGATTTGGCCATGGGTCAAAATCCAACAGGAGGAGCAAACCGCAGGTTTTGGTCCATGTTTCCACTTACCAGGGCAACCCATTTCGGTACCGATTTTTTGAGCCACAGCCAAATGGCCATGGGTCAAAATCCAAAGCCCGGTTAGCCCCCAGAGAACGGGACCCAATCCAACCACAAAAATAGGTTCTAAAATGGGTGGTGAATTCACCCTACCCCAAAATGGGATCCCATTGGTTTTGACCCACAGCCATTTACATTGGGGTGAGGGGTTTCTGTTTTCAGAACGTTTCAGAACTCTTGGACTTCAGGATAGCTCTCACAATGGCGGGCAGCGGAGAGTTCAAGCATAGCAACATCGGGGGATAGTTTTATGATGCCCTGTGGCTGGCAACGGGTGGCACATCTTAGCCAGACTCATAGGAGGGCCTGATTATGATTCTTCTCGGTGCTTGGAGTGCTGCCGGGGACAAAATTTGACACTGCTGATTCGGCTTCAGGATAGGTTTCACAGATCCGACACGGATTCCACACAGATTACAAGAGCTACGGAGCTAGGGCGCAGAGATATGCCGACGAGCTTCGAGCTACTCCCACGTACCCAACATTTGGGCCCAATCCGAGCCAAAGCAATGGACGAAAGCACGGCGGTGTGCAGAAATGTGCAATGCAGTCCTAATCAGAAGTCTTTAGAGCAGAGGGATTGGTTCAATCGCTCCATGTCGCGATGGCGACAGCACTCGAGTCATTCGAGTCTTCCGCAGTTTGTGTCTCGCAAGAATTCAGGGAAACCAACTAGCGGGAATGAGGCACGGGAGGAATTCCCCTAAATGCACCTTGACATGCCTTGACCAAGTTTGATAGGAAATGGCCCAAGGGAATCCCCCCCATATCCCCGCTCCCTCCGTATCCCCGCTTGTTCGTTTGTCCAAAAGAATCTTGATGGATGTCTCTGCAGCTTTTCTCGCGGATGCTGGGCTTGATATTTGGTACTCAATGGCTTCGCCCACACCTGCGCCAAGACAAAGACGCCGAGACGGAGACAGGCAGAACCTATGCATGGCCAGGGCCATATTAGTGCAAAAATCAAAGGCTGAAAGTGCGCAAGTTCCGCGCGGGCGATGGCGATGCTGGGAAGCTGTGGATGCAGCTCACGTCCTGCTGCAAGGATTCTGCGCCACCAGCATCATCCAGAAATAGTGCTGAAATGTGTTGCCCTGCATCGCCAAGAAGCAAATCTCAACCCAGCACCCATTCATAAACACGCCCCCGGAGTCTTTACCGGCCCACAATTGTCGTCAGACGTCAAAATTGCGATGTTTGTTATTATTTGTTTAAAGAGGACACTTTTTGCAGATCACATGCCTGCCAGCATTTTGGAGCTCAAAAGAGAACAAAGTTGATCTGGGCAGGTTCTTACGTGTTCCCTCCCCGATCCATTGGAACGATCTCACATACCTCCATGTGTTCATTGTGAGTTTTCACCTGCAACACATTGTGGCGGTAAGACAAAGCGAAGACAGAACCTCCCAGGCATGCACAGGCGTGCGACGCAATGCGTGGGCAGGTGTGCTTCCCATGTGCCAGGCATGTGCGCAGGTGTGCGACGGAATGTGCTTGCCATGTGCCAGGCGTGGGCGGGTCTGCATATCAAAAGCCCACGTTTTGTGGGCCGGTAACAAGTTCGCCAGCAAAACCACGCGCATGCTATCAACCACTGCATCCGGCCTTGCACGTCATATTGCTGCATGAAGCCTGATTTGTTTGATTTTTGAACAAGCGCGTGCTTCTTGCACTCTGAGTCAACGAATTGCGCAACAACGGCAAGGAGCCACAGGGTCCCTCCATTCAAAACCGATAATGTGTAGCCGAAGCCATCCAAAGCTGCTTCAATGTCTATTTGCGCAGTGGGTCTTCCGGCAAAGTACACCAACAGCACGTCTTCAACAAATGAGGATGCTGGGGATGCTTTTGGGCACCCACGTGCGTAACCCATTCTGCCCGAAGGGGCCAACATAGCCAACAACCATGAGCCAAACCTGGCAAAACCCCAGCTGAATCAGCACAAACTCAAGACAAGACTCTCAAAGCATAAAGCTGCTTTGCTCCCCCCCCTTTTCGGGGGAGGCCGAGGCTATGTGCAGTTTGTTTGAAGGGCGAGACACCAAAAGCAATGCAGGCGTTTGATTCCAAGCTTCAGAGAGCCCCGCTTGTCTGCAGCTTGTGCTCAGCAAGCCAGCCGTCAAAAAATAATAGCATCAGAAGAGTTCAAAGAGGCTTACTCCGCAGAGCTTTCGGCAGCCTCAACTGGCTTGCAATGCCGTGTGTGCATTTTGAAAGGGAGGCAAGATAAGCACCCCTGCCATGCTGGTTTGCCGACATTTGCCGACTTGCAAGGCAGGTGTTCGCGGTGCTCGGCCTTTTTCCTGTTACTGTATCGTTGCGTTTGCACGGTACTGCTTGTATTTGGGCGATTCACTGCGCAAGTGCAAGGGTCAGATAGTGCCCCGGCAAGACAAAGATCGAGCGGTGCGCCTCGGAGAGAGTGTGGGTGATCCAAGCGATACAAGAGCCCCTACCATCTACTCGCCTGCTAGCGTCGGCGGACTTGATACTTGAGCTTCAGTAGAGAAAAGATGATTCTGGGCAAGAAGAAGAACCAGCATGATTGCCTGGGCTTGCTGGCTTGCTGAGCGGGAGAGCTCGAGAGAGAGGGAGAGAGCAGCGCATTGAGTGAAACTAGTGCGTAGGAAACAGTGAAGGGGCGAGGTAGATATCATGCTAGTATGAAAGAAGCCCAGGCCACAACAAAGCAGTCAGGCGCTTAGTGACAATTCCATACCCTGTTGCAAGCTCAGAACATGATGGGACATCATGAGCTGAGATGTGCGTCGCGAGCCCATTTGCAGCAAGTTGCAGGGTTCTTCTAGCTGCCATTGAGTTGCGCGCAAATGGCTGTGGGTCAAAACCAATGGTACCATTTTGGGGTGGGTGAATTCACCACCCATTTTAGTCTATTTTAGTGGGGATTGGGATGTTCACTGGGGGTACGGGCTTTGGAGTTTGACCCATGGCCGATTAAATCACTGGCTCGGCCCAGGACGATCAGCAATAGCACGTCTTTGCCTGTTTTGCGCTGCTGTCTCAGGGCTTCGCTGCTTCGCTTTCTGCAGTCTAAGGGTTGTTGTATTACACCCTGGGATTACACCCGTGCGGGAAATTGCCAAAATAGCATTTTATCCCGGAATTATGCCCATATGGGGTCATTTCCCAGTGGGCGTAATCCCAGGGCGTAATACAAAAACCCTTACATGCATGCAATGTTTGCCTTGTGATGGGACTGGAGCCGGCCGAAAATGCTAGGCTGAGAGGAATGGCAGGTATGAGGTGAGGCCGCTGCACGCATTTGAATTCCTCGGTTTCAGGTCAACAGGACGCCAATGCTGGTCATCAGCTGACACAAAGGACAGCCACGCCGAAGTGATGCGTGCGATCTCCTCCGGGTGTGATGTGCAAGAATGCTGAAGCTCTTTTCTTGGTGTGTGAGGCCGACTGAGCGCTTTGCCACGGAAGAGTGTTGGCTTTCCTAAGTCCTGGAAGATGGGTCTGTGGGGCACAGCTCGCCCCTTTTTTGTGACATGCTTTGTTTCCAGCTCAGGGATAAGGTGTTGGCTTTGTCAGGCCTAACAACGCTCAGCTTGTTTTGTTCGGTTTGCCCCGAACACCATTCTGAAATGCCGCGTTGTGTACTTCGAGCTTCAACTTCCCATGCCTCTCAGTTGCATCTCGGGCCATTGGCCCGGGGATGGGAATGCCCCCAATGGCCATATCAAACGCGCTTGTAATCCTCCCGTCCATGTGCAATTTCACCCCCCCCCCCCCCGTCCATCCCCTCTAAGGGTGGGGGCATTGTCCAAGAAGCTGCTTGCAGGAGCACCTCCGTGGGCTTCTACGCTCCAAAGCTGCCCACCGTGCAGCGGCGAGCGTTGCAGCCACTCGCGGGAAGAAGTTCGCCGTGGCTGGCGACGTTGGCCGAGCATTTGCTTTGCTTCGGATCAGTTCTGCAGTAGTTCTTTGGTCTTGCACGCAAACGTGATGCAATTGCGCTAAGTCAGGGTCTGTTCCTGGTGGTTGATGGATGAAGCTTCTAGCATGCGGTTTGTGTCAGGCAGCAAAGAGGTTGGGGCTGGGCTTTTTTGCCCTCCGTCCTTCGCCCTCAGAACCTCACATCAACTGTGCCAAGGCAAAATACCATCGCCCGAGCAGCAAAGCTGCAGGATGTGCATCGGCCGCAGCAATGGAGGCACGGCGCGGCTCATTTCGTGGCCGTTTTGGAGTGTGTCTTGTGCAAATCTCGATTCTTCGAGATTCCCACGGCATTTGGAGACAGATGGACGGCCGAGTCAGAAGATCCAACGTGTTCCGCAACTCCAATGCTCCACATCCATGCCAGGATGGAAGATCGGCCTGGCATTTATGCCGTATTAGAACGCGTCTCTCGTCCAAGTCGAGTGTTTGTTTTTTGGATATACACTTTTTGGACCTCACCTTGGAATATATGGTTCGTGCTTGTGGCATTGGCCTGCTTGAAATTGAACAAACAGTAATGTAATGAATCCCATGCCCTTCTTTGGTGATAACAGAAGCTTGGCGGCTCCGCACGCAAAGAGCTTTTTGCAGGTAGTTAGGTAGTTCTGCAAAGAGTTGTTGAGCTTCTGAGTGTGATGAAACCACCAGCAAGAGGCTCAGTATATGATTTTGTTTCCTTTAAACGAAGAACACTCCACCTTGTTTCTTGAATTTGACCGCATGTTCTGTTTGAAGTTCATGGGCTCATCTCATGACATGCCTCGCTTCGTGCGTTCCCGAGGACCTCGCCGCGCGGGCCTTGTCCGAGACCACGGCCACCTGGGGCCCGAAGGACGACATGGCAGCCATCGAGGCCTTTCTGTCCACTATGAGGGGGGTGGAGGGGGTGTCTCGTTTTGGTTTGTGTTTGACAACGGACAGTTAAGAGTTGCAACCATTGCCTCCATCACAGGGGGGTGGAGGGGGCGACTTGTTTTGGTTTGTTGGACAACAGAAAGTTAGGCCCTGCCGTCCATCACTATGAGCGGGGTGAGTGAGTCTCGTTTTGGCTTAAGGGCATGGGACTGATGCGACCCATGCTAGTGTGAGAACGTTACTCAGTATCCTCCCCTTTGTGTGGAGGTTGGCAATGAGCAATATGTTGGCAAGTGCCATGTAGTGAGTTGGATGCCCATGTTGTTTGGATGCTCATGCGATTGTCGGAACTGACTCTGCCTTAAGATGATCAAGAAACACACGATGTTGCCGATTCATCAGCGCAACGGCGGGTGTTGTACCAATCAAGAATTGCATTGCTTTGGGTTTGCTCGGGCACTGGTGAATGGATCCGTGTGACCCGTGCTCAGCAAGTTTCCCCCAGAGACATACTGTCAGACATTGGCTCTTTTACCAACTGCACGGTGAACCAGGGTTAAGGGACTAGGCACTTCCCCCAAAGTGCAAGAACAACAAGCGCTCATTCATGGCACTTGGACCTCATTTCCTCCTTTGATTCCAAGATTCAGCCGCAGAAACCGGATGTTTGCGCCATGGAGCCGGACGACAAGCTGAGCGCAGACGAGGCCGAAGCCGAGGAGCCGGAGGCGGCGGCTGCGTCTGGGCTGCCGGAGGAGGCGACGCCGGTGGGCTGCGCGTGCGGTGCCTTCGTGAGCGGTTTGCAGCGGCCGGAGCTGGAGCCCTTCACGGTGCTGCCGGGTCGGTGGACGGCAGCCCACTCGGACGCCACCAAGCTGCTGCAGGAGTTCAAGCGCCAAATAGAGATGGACTCGTTACCCCGCGTGGGGGCCTTTCCCAAGTTTCGAGAGCTCTTCAAGGAGTGGGGCATGTCAGTCATGATCGAAAGCTCCAAGGGCGAAGTGGAGCGGGACTTGTTCCAGTACGTCTGCGGAGTGTGCTGGTGCATTTTTGCGGATTCCCAGGAGCAGGGCTGCAGGTTCTTGATTGACATGGATTGTTAAATGCTTTTGACATGTTCATTACTTCGCAATTCAGAGTTTTGTTTTAAAGCATGTCTAGCCCACAAGCAGCATGTGGCCACCAGGAGTTCCTGGCGCGAGTGGGCCTGGTTTTTCTGCTGTACTTGCTCTTTCATAGCCAGCATCCCCGCAGTTTCGCCATCCCAGTGACCGTGGATCTGCTGGAGCAGCTGCTGGCTTTGCAAGAGGACCAAGGGAGAAAGCGCCAAACACCTCTCTTCACTTGCACTCGCCTGGCACTTGCCAGTTGAATTCTTGCAAGTTGCAGGGTTTGACATGATGTGAAATTTGGACTTCCATGGAGTTAGCTCTTGATCCGCAAGGCAAACGTCCAAGTTGTGTTCGCTGCATTCTACAAAACAGGTGCCCTTACGCGTTTTCGGAGTTGATCACACTGGCTTCACCTGGTCGCGCTTACAGCGGAGAGTGTCTTGACCAAAACATGATCTAACCAGTGACTGGCTTGTTACATGGGTATCTCGGGATGTCGGAAGCCTTGGAGGAATGCCGGTCCCAGGATGTTTTGCTGGAGTGCCCTGCAATCATTCGGAGCCTTTGTGACGTCTTCTCCGTGGGAACTCGCGCGAGCTACCGAAATCTCTTCTTCGACCGCTTCGGCTACCTGGCCGAGCGCATGGCCTGTGACAAGCCAGTGCCCAATACCCGTGCCTGGCAAGCCAAGCAAATGAAGGGCAAGGAGATGGGTTAAGTGCTCCAAAGTCAGTTCCTGTATGTTTCAAGCAAAAAGCTGGATAGGTTGCTGCTATGATGCTGCTTTTCGATCTTTGCCTTGAGAGGACGTGGTGGTGCAGCTGGAACCACCGGACGTGGCAAGCTTGGAGTCCAAGCTGAAGGACTACCAGACTGGCGAAGCCGAGGCTCTGCAGACTCGCGTGCAGCGCTTGGCGGACAAGACTGCCAGCTACGTGGAGGAGATTCCACCGGCTGCACAGGAAGTCGTCATGGCAGACAGCTCGGCATCCACGGCTTTTCCTCAGAAGATGCGCAAGAAGCGCAAGAAGCGAGTTGTAGATGATGCTTCGGATGACAACGATCTTCAGGAGCACGAGGAGAAGACGACCTTCACGACACATCATACAGTGGTTCGTGACTCGCAGCCCATGGAGCTCTGGAAAGAAGTGAAGCCGCTCTCCACTTGGAATCGGCGCTCGCGCGTCTTGGGCTTGGACGCGGCCGTCCAGAAAGGCACCTCAGCTCGACTCCTACAGATCTTGGAGCCAAAGCCAGCAGAGCCGACGCCGGCGCGACAGAAGCCGGGTGAGCCACAGGTCAATGAGCCTGAGCCTCTTCAAGATGAGAAAACATGCGTCGCACATTCTAACACTTGGGTAGATGAAGGTAGATCGGAGGCAGCTGCAACCATAACTAGATGCGACCATAGCTTGAGTAGTCCCTTGAGTGTGCCTCAAGTCATAAATCTGACGGTGGCACAGAGAACATCCACCACATCGGGTTGAAGTTAAACTTCTGGGCTGACATTAGGTTTTAGTAGTGGCTACCCATATTCGCTTAAAAGACAAGTGAGGGCGAAATGTTACAATCAACATAGTACATTGTAGGGGACCCCCAAAAAGCGCAGTTTGAAGCCTCTTCTGATTGAGTGCAATGGCCTCCACAAATGCATTTGATATGTTCACGACAGGATGTCATGTTTCCTTTGGTGAGTCCAAAGAGTTGTAGTGTCCACAACTTGCAGCTTCGAAGGTCCCAATGAACCTGCCCTCACAGGTTTCGCTTTGTTGAGCCATGAATTGTCATTCTGGCAATGCAAAGCACGACACTTTTTTTGCCGCGAGAGCTTACAAAGGCAAATCGTTTGGTATCCGTCATGCGGAGCTGCTTTTTTTGGTTGCCCGGCGCTTTGCCGGCGATAGTTGCTGAAAATGTCGAAATGTTGTTTGACGATGAGATGGTGACAAGCTTCGGCATTGAAATTAGGGTACTGTAGGGCCTCAGGCCGTCTCCGGAGAAACATGAGCACTGACAAAGAAACTAGGAAACGGGTTCTTTCCCAGCCACCGTCATGGGTAGGTAAATGCTCAAGGAGTGAGTCCCAACCATAGTTGCAAGTATCCGTCTGTCGGTTCTTTACTTGCCAAGGGCTTGGGTAAAGCCAGACCATGCTGGTCCTGCTTGGTCGGTTCAGTTGCTATGCCTTTACTGGAACTTTCCGCAAGTTGCCAGGTTTCATTCCCCGGCAAAGTTCGGCGTGAGATCCGGATGTCGCGAGTTTCGTAATTGCGTAGTTACGTTGTGTGCTTCTGAATTTCCGGATGTTCCAATATGGCGCACCTTTGAACCGAAGTCTATCTAGTTGTATATACATACATAAAATACATACATACATACATACGTACGTACGTACATACATACATACATACATACATACATACATATATATATATATATATATACATAGAAATATGGTCAGCCCCCCCTCCATGATCTACTGTACCTGTTGTGCCTTGAAGTATTTCTAACTATTTGTGTATATATATATATTGTACACATCGATCCTCTCCTCTGTTTTCTTTGTTCGGCGCACCGAGCTGTATCCATGGATCGATATGTCGATACGTCGAGAGGCGGCGGAGCTGCAGCGCATCGAGAAGCTGCAGCGGCGGAGAGCCGTGCAGCGGCGCCTCGCGCTCGCGCCGGGGGAGGGACGAGTTGAAGCGGTTGAGGCGGTGGGTTGAAGGAGGGAGTCAGGGAAACCAACTAGCAGGATACAGGGGAAACCAGGGATACGGGAGGATTCCCCCTAAATGTACCTTGACCAAGTTTGATATGGGAAATAGGGAATCCCCCCATATCCCCGCTCCCTCCGTATCCCCCCTTGTTTGTTTGTCCAATGGAGGGAAGCGTCAGCAAGAAGCCTCTGGCACATTCACTTATGAAAACTGCATGATTTTTGTATGATTTTCCCTGTTGAAAAGTCGACAGATGCTTTAGTGTGTGGGGGGGGGATTGTGTATATCTGGTGGCTGTCTAAGAGCAGAGTGTTGACTTTGATGCCATCCTGGCGGGGCAGCTGTGGGGGGATGACTGCCGGGTACTCATCCCAAGCAGCTACCCTCTACCTGGGGGTCTCAATTTTGTCATTCTCGCCACCTGGGCCAGAACAATCTCTTCAACACCTCCATCTCAGATACGTGCTCCTTTACTTTTCGTCAAATACCGTGCTTGTGGCCTCGTCATCATTTGTTTGCTTCAGCACAGGTTTTTTTTGCGGATGCAGCCATGGAATGCCCTGCAGCTCCAGAGCGCAAGAGATAGAGCAGTCCGTACCGCGGTCCACGCGACGGCAACACGTATATCTCTAGGCTGTGACGTTCCATTTCAGCTCTAGCGCGGTTGCAAGCCACCAAGTCACCGCCGCGTAGAGCCAAACTGGTTTTTAAGCGGCGAATAAGCAGACTCGAATCAGAGCTCAAACGAGGCATTCGGCACTTCTATACACGGTGCCAGTCAATCCATTCAATTCGCTTCGGGGGGACGTGCAAGGCGACATGAACGTTGGCACGATTGTTGGGTATGATATGTCGGATATGAGACTTAGGTGAAGACGGCTGGTTGGTTTCACTCGCACAAAGCAATCGACTCCTTGCGCACGGTTCACCAGGCCTGCAAATGCTCATCTCACCCTTGGGGACAGAAAGAATTGCCAGCAATCTGCTCTAGCAGCCGACAAGCAATTCGTGACTTGGCTGGCAGGGAGCGCTGATCATGGATCGCCGGGCGTAAATCACTGGCATGTCCAGCATATTCTATGTTGGTTTACAAGGGCATTGGTAAACAGCTTGTTGGGGGCCCGGACATGATTGAGGTGTTCAACCTTGCAAGTACTTTCAGATCCTCTTGCACGGGCGACCTTGCAAGGTCCTCAAACGCATCGATGAGATCTCCGCAGCTTGGCAATGCCCCCAAAATCTTAGCGGTGACCTCCGAGTCAGCAAGTCAGCCAGTGAGCCAACGAGTCCGTGCGTAAGAGCTGAGAGATTGGCCGCGACAGTTGCGTGTTGGAGCTCTTCCAAGGAGAATGCAGAGGCAAAGGAAGCCCGAATTCAAGTTCTGAATGATCGCTGGTGCCCCGACTCGAATGCTGATCTTTGTTTGTTTCTTAGCCAAATTGGATGAGGAAGAAGGGGCTTACATGCTTGCTTGAGGTTGAAAGCCGTCATGGTGCCCATTCAGATGCCAGGACACTAGAGCATGCCGGCGCAGAGTACGGTGGTTATGTGTTTCTTCATCATGATATGAAACACATTTGACACATTTGTCATCTGATCCATTTTGCATGTTGAACTTAATGGTTGGGTCTTGCGCCCAGGAGAAATTTTGGGCCCGGAGATCTTCAAGCGACTACCTCCACCTTTGGCCGAGCATCAGAAGGACCTGAAAGCCACATGCGAGACAGCTGATGGACATCTGGTCTCCCGCTTTCGCGAGCCATTGTTCTGATTCATGATTCATGACAAAGCGTGGTGCTCTGGTGACTAGCTCTTGTACTATTCAAAACGGGATGCCACGCCTGCCACGCCATTCAAGAACTGTTCAGCGCGGGATAAAGTTCCGCTGTGATCCTCTAAATCTTGTTGCATCGCCTTGCGACATCCAGGATGGAGCGGAGGGCAAGGAGGACAAGTTGCAGTTGCTTGGCAGCGTCTTATTTTCGACTTCCTATGTGAAGCCAAGATCTTCCAAGCACTTGCCATCGTTGTGTTCGTTCGATCCGCGCAATGTCTTGTGACAAGGCGTGATTTGCCCGAAGAGGAGGCCGAGGACACATCAAGTCACACAAGAATCGCCTGTCTTCATGCTTGACTGCTATTGTGTTGGATCTTTAGACTTTGGGGTTTTTGGGTTTCCACTAAACCCCAATAAGTGAAACTATTTGCAGGGGGGTCAACAGCAACCAAGCATGTAAGTGACTGTTGTGCTACCCGGATTCCGACAATTCATTGACCAACGAAACTAGCAAACAAAAGGCGTGTTTCTCCCTGTGGGAGAAACACGAATATATTTGCAAGGGTCTCCTGTTCCAGATTTGGGCTGCCAACTGTTGTTCTTTCCAAACGAGAGCTTGCTGACTGAGGGCATGCAGACCCCTAACGACTGAAGGAGAGGTCGGTGGGAAAAAGAAGCTTTGGTCTGGTATTGGTTCAGTAATTGGCCTATTGGTCTTTTCAAATCTAGCATTGGGGACGCGCATAATATGCAGGGCTGCCACTTGTTTGAGATGTTTACATTCTGAGAGTATTCTGAGCATTCCTGGAGCCTACAATCGTCGTGCTGATTTGGAGCATAGCACAAATGCCTGCGAGCTGATCAGGAGTTCAACCTCGCGAGCCATGAGGTGGCAAGCATCATCAACGTTTGTCGCCAGTTTCAGGCGCTCACCGCCTCACGGGAAGCTTGGCTGCTCAAGTCTTCAACTGCGTAGTTCTGCAGCGTTCTGGCGAGTGATACCTGTTGGATTGCAAAAGGGTTCTTGTTTGCTGTCATTTCCCAACAGGGGTTGTGGATCCGGATTGGCCGACCCTTGTTTTTGTACACATGTGCACACATGCTCCAGTGCTATTCTGAAAGCGTAGGCCAAATGTTGGCATCAGAGTTCGGTGAAGCAGCCCCGGGCATGCAGGCACTCCTGGCTTCAGTTGGCGATGCTTGTGTTCTGCGCAGAGCGTTTGATTGTTGGCATCATGTTTTTTCACTTTACAGACCTCGCCCTGGTTGCTTTTCGGGTAAGAGAGAAGGTGCAAGCCCTTTGGGAAATTTGTTTTGTGCAGTCGTGACATCAACATGTTGCACTGAGGATAACCACCTTCCGGAGGCCTGGAGCCTCAGAGAGGAACTGAAAGATCGAGGAAGGTTTGTCTCTAAATCCGGACGAAATGGATGGTGCCATTTTGCCCGCTCATGCGAAGCAGTGGCCGGAGTGAAAGGGAGTGCCCCATGTCAACATAGTATGCATTGGCAGGATTGACGGTTCCCAGGACAATCAGAGAGATGGATGCGGGAGGAGTTGCACATGTTTTACAGGGCAAGCTTTGCGCAACTATTCCTAAAAAAGCCACTCCACGGTTCACCAGGATGCTTCTGGGGCTTTGCTCAGGTTTAAGGGTGTATCCTTCACTTTTGGTGGCAGCGCGCATCCACACAAATCGGTCGGAGGGGATAAACACGTCAAGCATACCCCCTACTTCAAATACCCTCCTTTTTCAGGGTCTCATGTCGACCCTCTACTAAAAAAACAGGTATTATACCTTTAAAAAACCAGGTTCTCTCATATTAAAAAAACAAGAAAAGCACTGAAAAACGCGGGGTATATGGAGTAGGCGGCAGTTGTCGCAGCCCTTTTCCCGGTGAAACCGAACAGCTTAGGTCCTGAGCCGCGCCGCCTTCTGCCGCCTCACCTGCGCCTTCGACGGCTTCCGGTCCCAGGGCCGCCCGCGGCTGCGCCGCTCTGTTTCTCGGAGGAAAGCGAAACGAGAGACGCGCGCGGAGGACCCAACCCACGCGCCAAGGGGTAGGAAAAGGTGGAAGACATGGGATTAAGCATTGAATGTGTGTGGTTTTAGGGATTTTGTTTTTTGTTGATGGAGAACTAGAAAGCCTAAGAAATGGTATTGTAATTGGGAGACTTGACTTCTGAAAGTCAGAAAGTCAGGTAGCAAGCTCAATTGCGTCTTTTTAGGGAGCTTGCTTTTTTTGGGGGGAACCAAAGGGAAACCGGCCTCACCGACGACCCTTTATACGGATGTTGAGACCTTTGTGGTGATGCCCCACTAGGCATTCTGGATTGGGCTTAACCAACCTTCCATTTTGAACAGGCCTGTCATAAAGTTGTTTGAGTTGCCTGTACAGGGCAGGTCCTTACAAAGGAAAGGGTTGGAAGGCAAACTAACGTATGTGTGCTGGTGCTTTTGTTTTTCCAGCCAGTGTGTCGGTATTGCAGCAGGCAAGTGATGCTAGGCCAGCCTTTTAGCGGAGCGTTGTTTGTCCTTGTCGAGGCATAGCTTTATGCGTCAGTGAATGATTCTGCTTGAACAAATTGTTTGCATTTGCGGTGTCTAGCTTGTCAGCGCGCAAAGATTCCCAGGCCGGCTTGCTTTTGCTAGCTCAACTGTACGGATATCATAAACCCCGCAAAATAATTTAAAGCTTTGTTATAACATGCTAAGCATAGGAAAGGCAAGATAGTTGCAAATAACGGTGGCCAAGAAATGACAAGTTATACCATGGCTGGGAGCATGAAGTTTGGCTAGTGTGTGAGCAAGATTCGACTGTCTGATTCTGGGGTTGGTGTGCTAGCTTATGAACAGACACAATGTGTGGTGATGCTGGAAAGTAGAATCTGGAAGCTGACTGGATGCTGTGCCATAGCGCACTTGACGTACTCATGTTGCATTACACGTTGCTATATCCCCGTGCTAGCGCCAGATACGCAACACAGACAGATCCGAAGGCTTTTGGCATGAGCCCAGATTCAAGTGCAACATATTGTTCGAAGAAAAGCATGAGTGTTGTTTGCTCCGCACGAAAGCCGCGGAAGTTTCAGGGAAAGGCAAGGCAGAAGAGATTGTTGGCACAAGGAAGTTTGACCCTTGTCTACAGCCGCTGGCTTAAAGACTCACTGCAGTCGAGTTGTTTTCCATCCCGCTTGATCAAACTTGAAGCAGCGCCAGTGATCACGGGCAAGTTAAAGACTTAGGAGTCGGCCCGTCTTTGAAGATTTGGATCGCGAGACCAAATGCCTGGGTTTGGCTTCGCAATGGGATGCTCTTTCTGGGGAGTCGATCCCCTTCCGTTCCAATGCCGGCACCCGGGTGCTCTATTTTCATTCAACCCCCCTTTTGCGCGCGTGAAAACCCCTGGAGCCTACGCCTCCCGACGGTTCTTCGGCGCGCTTCGAGCGAGCCGACGGTCGCCCAAATTGGCATACATATCTGGCCCATCCGATGGCTCCACCTTCAGGTGAGCCAAAACCGATTCGGGGATTTATGATCCGGTTAGTAAGGGGCAGTCGCAGCCAGAAATCGTTGCGGACATCCGCCTTCTGAATTCCTGAAGCATGGCTCTGGGATTCCGACCAGTTTACTAGCGGGTGTTAAATTGTGACTCAGGTGGCTCACTTCGACCGCCTGGCCAGCAAGGTGGCAGCCTCTCGTCCTGGCAACGGGGTGCAAAGGGGAGGGGGCAGCAGTGCTGCTCTGGGAGTCACTGTCAAACGGATATGAACGGAGGGGAGTTCTTGTGTTCCTTTGGGTGACTTAGACACTTTTGGACGAGATGATGTTCCTTTTGGAGGAAGGCTGTTGAACGTAGACGAATGCGTGGTTGTTTGCCACGCACAGGTCCAGAACGGCGCTGTCCACATAGAGGTCTCGGGCGTGCGAATGTTCGAGGATATCATCAACGTCAAGGATGCCTCACGCAACAGTGCTGGTTCAAAACCAATGGTACCATTTTGGGATAGGTGCACCACCCTTTTTAGTCTATTTTAATGGGGATTGGGATGTTCACTGGACTGGGGGTACAGGGTTTTGACCCATGGCCAGTTGCTTCTGCGTATAGACGCTTTTTTACAGCATCGATTGGAAGCACACCTCGTGGCAGAGGCCCCATTCTCTACGCAATCTGTCAACTGCCGTCTCCCCAATGCTGCCACATTGATCGTCACAGATGCCCACAGCGTTCATGGCAGCAGCATTGGCATGCTTTCGTTTAAGATGTGATCCAACTTTGTAGGTCACTGAACACTCAAAGAGCGATAACTGGCTGGGACTTTGTTTTGCTTGGACTGGTACACTCGGGTAAGCTTGGTACAAGTAGCATGCCGGCTCCCAGCATTGATCCTTTGGAGGAGCGGGCAAAAGTGGGAGCAGAGGCGAGGCTTCCTGGCTTCGGGGCTTGGAGTTGTGTAGCATGAACTACAACATAGCTCGAGCGATGAGCAATTAGACGCCAATGTGAGAGTGTGTCATAGACATTGCAAGGGCCTGTCAGGCTCAAAAGTCTGGAGACCGGAGCGAAACGATGACGGCCATTCTAATATGTTGGCTTGGAGTGTGTGTGTGTGTGTGTGTTTGTGTGTGTGTGTGTGTGTGTGTGTGTGTGTGTGTGTGTGTGTGTGTGTGTTTATGAGTTCTTGGGTGTTCAGCCAGGTAGCGCAACGCGACATTCCGATCGTGAAGCTGTTCCATGCGGTGCTCCAAGACATGTACCAGAGCTGCAAGTAGAAGAACGTCCGCTTGAATTAAGTATTGATGCAGATGCCTTGGCTGGATGTGCTCAAGGCTTGTGCCGTCTTGGTGGAGCACCCAAAGGGTTAAGCGTACGCCCGCTGTCAAGGCTTCAAGTGGCCAATCATGACATTGTTGCAAATGCAAACATCATATCCTCGGCATGCTTCGAAGCACACCTTTTGATCGCTTCCCCTTGAGAATATATCCCCTCCCCCTATTTTTATCAATAGGATACTTGGGGGGTCAGGTAGGCTCCCCAGAACAGATGCACTGTTGAAAGGGGCCCAAATTGTAACTGTGTAAGTAGGTTCCAGTGCAAACATTTAAGGAAACAAGGACCTGGGTTTTCGTCAATTCTGGTTATGGGGCCAGTACAGGAAGCTTGGCCTATTCGAAAAGTAGTATTGGGGATCCGGGTGTCTGGGAAAATTATAATGGGGTGCATCTACTAGTAAGATGTGTCCAGAAACGACGCAGCGAAGCTTGCCGGCATTCACTGGGGAAAGATTGCAGTGCTTGCCTTCGAGTAGGGCATAATTCTGGTTGCAAACTAGTGTTTTGGTGGCTCCCAGCCATCCCCTTAGCTTTTTAGCCTTTTAGCGTTTAGTGGGGATGTCAGGATCTGAGGACAGCCCAGGTGTGTTCAAGGCTTTGATTGGATGCCTTCAGAAATTGGTATTGTGTGCTATGTGCAGATTACTTGTTTGGGCACAATGCACAGTCCAACCAACATTCAATGAGACAACAGGATTGCTTCCACTTCCAGCATCCACCTTCTTACGCAATCTCTTCGCTGCATTGGGCTTGCTGATGAGAGACGAACGCCACTCGGCAGCGCAAGCTGAGGTTAGATGACATGGGATGGAAGACTGCCAGTTCACCCAACCAGCAGATCAGCATGAAGAACAATTTGCGGAACTGGTTCTTCGAGCGGCTTGGCTCATTGAGAGCCAGAGAGAGAAAGAGAGGGAAAGAGAGAAGAGGGGACAAAGGAGACGGATGCAGGAGGATCATGAATTTCCCATATCGCAGCCAAGCTGCTTCAAGTGGGCTGATGTTGATTGAAAAGGTGCTATTCATCAGAGTCAATGGGCAGCTACCAAGTGACTTCTGATCAATCAGTTGGCTGGAGGCACGTGCCTCTCCTTGTGGCTTCAGGCAGCCGAAAGCTGAGGTTGCTTTTGCCGGCAGCACAAGACTATGCCCAGGCAAGGCAAGAGTTCCTGGAGGCGGATGCGGGCCAGTGATGCAGTGCTATAGCAGGCAACGATAGGTGACACGCGGCCCAAGCACTTGAACAGCTGGCTCTTGGATTGGTTTGAACCATTCTTCAGACAGGAGACAGGGACAACGTGCCGCGTTTTGCTCATCATCTAAAAGTACTCCATGGATAGCGACCATTCCGTTCGTCGCATTTCCAAAAGTCTTAGCAATTCAGTTTGAAGTTGCGCAAAAGGAGTGAGCAATCTCTGTCCCTGTCATCTCTTCCCCTTTCCCCGCGCTGTGCAGCGAGAGAAGAGTAGGCGGGAAAGAGATGAATGAGAAAGCGAAGAGCGGGCTAGAAAAAACGCCCATCCCTTTCATCGCTCTTGCCAGCAGGCTCATCCCTTCACTCACGGACAAAGATGGGACAGAGGGAAATGAGAGGCGGGAAAAGGGACCCATCTTCTCTCACATTCGCTCAAATCGTACCCTTGCCCTCGGCTCTTCCACGGCTGCCCAGCCTTCCCTTCCCTTTCATCACTTTGGTTTCCCCTTCATTCGGCTAGGTCACACCCTGTGTCTCGGGCACTCAATTTTCTGTCCCCGCGAGGACATCTGCGGCACAAATGCACTCAAATTGTGTGAACTGTGCACCTCCATTGTCTTGCCACACTTGCACTGTTGTCCTGACGATCATCAAGTCTTCCCCAGAATCTGATGTCTCATGTTTGCTTTCTTTCTTTCTTTCTTTCTTTCTTTCTTTCTTTCTTGCTTGCTTGCTTGCTTGCTTGCTTGCTTGTTCGCTTGTCTGTGTCTGCCTGCCTGCCGGCCTGCTTGTGTCCTGCCCTGCCCTGCCCTGCACTGCCCTGTCTCTTTGTTTGTTTGTCTGTCTCGCAGTCTCTCTGTCTCTCTGTCTCTCTGTTTGCCGGCCGGCCTGCCAGCCGCCTGCCTGCTGTCTGTCTGGTTGTCTGTCTGTCTGTCTGTCTGTCTGTCTGTCTGTCTGTCTGTCTGTCTGTCTGTCTGTCTGTCTGTCTGTCTGTCTGTCTGTCTGTCTGTCTGTGTCTGTCTGTCTGTCTGTCTGTCTGTCTGTCTGTCTGTCTGTCTGTCTGTCTGTCTGTCTGTCTGTCTGTCTGTCTGTCTGTCTGTCTGTCTGCACATAGTCACTTTGCAACTTGAACATCAAGCAAACCCCTCGTTTGACAGCTTAGCGGTGGTTGGATTTGTTTCACTCAAAGCGCACATATTGCCTGGCACTTTAGATTGTTCTACGGGCCCATCAGGGAGCCACGAACACAAAGCAATGAACGCACGCGAGTCAGAGATTAGCTTTTGCGTCGTATTGAACATAGTTTGCATCAAGGGATTGACACAAGTGATCAACGAGCCGCGCTGGCTTGGCAGGCCCGCATTGGTGCTGCAAAGCCTGACAGAGCTGAAATTAAGCAGGCCGAACTGGGTTGGAGCCTGGCGTGGTGTTGCAAGAGTTCGCAGTCAGGTGACAGGGCGCTGACTGCAATGCTATCTCAGAATTTGGACTAGCATTGCCTGCAGGATCTTGAGAAGCTTCCTGAGGAAGTCCCTGTTGATGAGGAAGCAGAGATCGAGGACTCTCAGGACTGAATCTCTCAGGTTTGTGGTTGTGCATTAGTGTCGGAACTGGCAAAGCTCTTCTGATGAATGGGAGGCACAGCAAGCAGTGACCGCCCACACGACCATCCACCATTTGCAAGCCACTGGTTGATTGTCCAGCGAATCGAGTCGCATTAACATTTGGGTGTGGCTCAAAATTAACAGGTGGGGTACCCAGGTTTTGGTCCATGTGTCCACTTGCCAGGCTTCCATTTTGGGTACCGTTTTGTTGGAACCACAGCCATATAATTGATGCTAGACAGCTGATTGACACCATGCGCAACGCCTTGCTCGCCGTGGGCCCAATGGGGCAAAGCCCTGGACACATTCACAGCCAAAGTGGCACATCCAGTCGAGGCAGCAATGCACACGGGTTGAGAACATGCCGTCAGCAAGGGCTATGCCGCAGCATGATGTTTGTTTTTCTCAGCTCAGGCTGAAAGGCATTGCTTTTTATGCTGGCAGAGAAGAGACTAATTGCGCTGGAGTAGAAGCGGTGGTTAGTCTACTTTGTTTGGTGTGCGTTCTGATGTCACACGCATGTGTGTGTGTGTGTGTGTGTGTGTTTGTGTGTTTGTGTGTTTGTGTGTTTGTGTGTTTGTGTGTTTGTGTGTTTGTGTGTTTGTGTGTTTGTGTGTTTGTGCGTTTGTGCGTTTGTGCGTTTGTGCGTTTGTGCGTTTGTGCGTTTTGTGTTTGTGCGTTTTGCGCGTTTGTGCGTTTGTGTTTGTGCGTTTGTGCGTTGTGTGTTTGTGCGTTTGTGCGTTTGTGCGTTGTGCGTTTGTGCGTTTGTGTGTTTGTGCGTTTGTGTGTTTGTGTGTTTGTGTGTTTGTGTGTTTGTGTGTTTGTGTGTTTGTGTGTTTGTGTGTTTGTGTGTTTGTTGTTTGTGTGTTTGTGTGTTTGTGTGTGTTTGTGTGCGCGTGCGCGTTGCTTGTGTTGTGTGCGCGTTTGTTTGTGCGTTTGCGTTTGTGCGTTTGTTTGTGCTGTGCGCGTTGCGCTTGCGTTTGTGCGTGCGTTTGTGTGTGCGTTTGTGTGCTTTTGTGCTGGTGTTTTGTGTGCGTTTGTGTGTTTGTGCGCGTGCTGTGCTGTTTGTGCGTTTGTGTGTTGCGTGTGTGTGTGTTTGTTTGTGTGTTTGTGTGTTTGTGTGTGTGTGTTGTGTTGTTGTGTGTGTGTGTGTGTGTGTGTGTGTGTGTGTGTGTGTGTTTGTGTGCAAAATACAATTGCTGCTCTCAGTGGTTGTCGTTGACCTTCGAGCATGACAAGATACGCGTACAGCATGAAATTACTTGCAGATACATATGGAGGTCAATATCACAATGCTGCTTTGTGTCTTGCTCATTTCAGTCAGCACACAGTTCTTCAGCTTCATTGTGAACACATGTTGAGCCCGCATGTCATTCATCAGTATGTTTGTTGGAGAATCAGTTGCATCAGTAGGATTCAGCTTGACTCCAGCAGGGCTCCTGAAAAGATACATGTTGCAACCATTTGAAACATGCTGCTTTTTCAACACCAAGAAAAGAAGAAGTTGGAAACCACCATGTACAAGTTGCAATGTTCAGGTGTACGGATCCCTGTCCAGGAACTCCAGGAAGTCCAGGAACTGCAGGAAGTCCAGGAAGTCCAGGAAGTCCAGGAGGCCCCGGAGCTCGGGGAGCCTGAGATTACGGAGCAAGAGCGCAGCGAGCTGTACGCCCACACCTTTGTGGTCCTCAAAGGCACCGAGAGTAGGAGTCGACCACCGTCTATTTGCGGGTGGGCGTGTGGCTTTTTGCGACTGCCCAAGGTCGCAATGAGTTCAGGTGGCTGCGAAAGTGGCATCTCTTGTCCATTGACTATGTTTCAGCCAAGCGTTGAATGAGCCATCCTCCAAACAGCATGTGCGTCTCGTGTTTGATTTCACTCCCAGCGGTTGAGCGCACATCTCCAGGCGAGAACCTGTTGTGCCAGCTGATGGAGCCTGAGGCAAGGGCAGTGCACACCAGAATGTAATCAAGTATAGCTTGGTGTTTGCCTACAGCGGACTTCCGGGAAAATAGAAAGCATGTGCAAGAATCACTCGATCAAGCTGCCCAGTTTGTAGAAATTTAGAGTGTGTTTTGTGCACCAGCCAGTTTTGAAGGCGGAAAAGCGGACGCCTAGCGTTTTCGGCGCCCACATGGTCCGCTAACTTTGAGACAAGCCCAGTTTTGAAAGGGAGTGTTTTGGGCTTCGCAGGTGCTATGCCTCATGCCTGAGATGAGCAACATCTTCCGCCAGCTTTTTGAGGCACGGCGACATGAAAATGCAGGCAGCTACCAAACGCGTGCTAAGCATCAACCACTGCAGCCTCGAGCCGATGCGCTGTGGATATGGCTGTGGGTCAAAAAACAGGGTAACCCCAAAATGGCTTGCCCGAAGTGGAAACATGGACCAAAACCTGCGGTCCCCTGCTGAGTTTGTGTGCAGCCAAAAGCTGGTTGCAGCTGTTTGGGACGGATCCTGGGCCATTGAATGCGGATCTCGATGGGTAAGCTGCACTCAGCTAGATTCATGTCTCAAAATTCCGCTTCCTTATTTTTGAGTAGAGGTTCAGTTGGCAGCTCTTTTCATTTGTTTCCCTTGCAGTTGATCCGTTCGCTTTGCTTTGATTCTTGTGTGTCCGATGGAGCCTTTTCCTTCTTGCTCAACCCTCAGGCGCACATTTGTTTGTTTCCTTGTTGTAAGCGCCTGTGGCCATCATTAGCAGGACAGCTGCATGTCCTGCGTGTGCCCAACACCTGGATATTGGCCGTAGGTGTGAATTCAGAGCTTGTGCGCCTTTGCAACTCGTAAATCTGTGAGTCTATAGCAAGCGACGCAATGTAACTTCTGGTGTGGCGAACTACATAGACAATCACGCGTTTGTCCTTGGGCAGTATCACTTCCACTGATTGTTGCAGAGTGTTGGGCTTACTCATGTGATCAGTATTATAAGATGTCAATATCATTGGATTGCACAGCGTGCTATACAGAAGTTGCCATCAACGGCTATGCACGGCAGCCAGTCTCAACCTCGATATCCCAAGTTTCATGCACTTGGACCCCTTCCAAATCCATTACACTCGTTCACAAGGACTCTGTTTGCTCTCAACCCATTTCTTGCCAAAATGATGACTCACGCGTGTGCGGGCACGCTTCAAAGAGGCGGGAGCAATGGACATCCACCGATGTGCAACAGTCGCTTTGCTGTTTCGCTTGAAGCAGCGATTTGAGTTTCGGGCAACGGTTTCGGAAGTCCGTGAGGTGCCCCTCCCACATTCCTGTGTGTTTGTGGTCCATCACAACAACAGCAACCTTTGCGGGTAGTGATGTGGGGTTTGACGGCCGATCCTTGGGATTCAGGCATATGCTGATCTACCCATGCCAGACGGGACAGGGGGCATGAGCCTGAAAGGCCGGGAAGCTGTCGAAGTGTGGCATGAGCGTCAGGTTGTTGGCAAGACGGTCACTGCATGCAGCAAGCACGCCATGATTCACGTGGCTGTGGGTCAAAAGCAATGGGATCCCCTTTTGGGATAGGTGGCCACCCATTTTAGTCTATTTTAGGGGATTGGGATGTTCACTGGGGGTACGGGGTTTTGGCCCATGGCCATGTGTGACGTGTTGAAGCCATGGCCAGGGCTGCTTCGCTGCTGCTGCGACTTTGACCTTTTCCCAGACGCCCGGTACACAAATTTGCGCTCGGTGCTTCGAGGTCATGGGCTGAAATGGGAATGGCTGAGAAGTCCAATGGAGTACTCCAGTATCTTGAAGGTAGATATGTACTAAATTGCACTGTATGTTTACTATCTCCCAAGTGTAGCGTGGATTTTCAAGGACCGGGTGGACTACAAGACAATCTTGTGGATCTACAACTCTGCGGAAGGCGCGCTGGTCAGCAAGGAAGGTGTACTGCATTGGGTGCTGCGCACGTGTGCTCGCTTTGAGCAGGTTCCATATTTTGTCCTTCCAAACTGGGTGCGGTAGACCACCGAACCAAGGACCACCCTGCCATTCTAGGCCTTTTTTGAACTGGCTCGCTTTGAGCTGTCCACTCCGCGCTCCTAAGCAGTCAGCACTGATGTTCGGTAGGTTTCGCAGATCTGATGCTACATCTTGCAGGCTCTCATGTGAGGCGTTCTACTTTACATGGTGCATGCGGAGGCAATGCATCGCGAGGTTGCGTCAGCTGACCATAGCTTGAACGCATTGAATCCAGCAGTGCTCAGGCTGCAAGGAGCTCGGCCCCCTGCCGGAAGAGCCCAAAAAGCTGCTCGGACGAATTCACCACATGGCTGTGGCTCAAAAGTAGGGTGTTCCCAAAATGGCTTGCCCTGGAATTTGGAAACATGGACTTGGCTTACTACAATCTGCGGTCCATATCCTGGCTTAATTTGGACCCACACCCACATCCATCCCCCAGCCCAGAGGATCAGCAGCCTGTCCCTAGCCTTCAGTGGTGCATTCGGCAAACTGCGGGTTTCAGAGACTCGCACTGTTGTCAGTACAAAGATAAAAGCTACACAAATGCGATAGATTTGAAAGTTAGGAAAGATGAACCGAGAGCGCAGTTTTGTGGATGAGTCCCATTTGAAGGCAGCACATTCGGCGAGATACCGAAGCCTGTTAACGGACAACGAGCACTGGCAATGAGCAGCGAGCAAGCAAATAAGCCAATGTTTGCAAGATCCTGACCTTGCCAGTATTGTTGATCACATATAGCTAGTTTTTCTACAAAGCCGACACCACACTGTGCTAGCTCAAGCGCACGCTGGATGTCACTGGATTTGGATAGCAGAACACAGCGGACTATTGGAAGCGAAGGTGCGCTCATAGCTCCATGCGGAAGATTCCAAGTTAGCCACAAGGATGTCTGAATCTCAATTTGTGTCTGACATAGTGTTGCAGACGGGTTCTCACTGTCCAAAGCCATGGTAAGCCACTTCAAAACTGCCAAGGTTTGAAACGAACAAATCACAAAGAAAGAGGGGTTGCATTCAACTCGAATAAGCGCCCTATAGGGAGATGCTCTCTGGGTCTGTGTACTGCCTGAACAGGAACGCTTCACTCGTGTTCTGATCAATGGGTCTGATGCTTATGTGCCTGCATGGTGTTGCTTATAAAGAAATGTTGCTCTCGTGTAGTGTCCAAAAAATCTACACTTGCAGGCCAGGCGTGCATCTCGTTCACCGAACAAGCCATGGCGAAGGGATGCATGGTGCCACCAAAATACCTATTCCGATCTGAATTCATCGGTTGTTGCATGTATATCCTGCAAGCAATCCGCGGGAATGTTGGGTGAGTGGCCAAAAAGGCACCACTGGGCAGCTTTACAACATCATTGGACTGAGGCCACCAGTCAAGAAAGGTCGCACTCGCACCTGGAGTGGAAGCACACAGGGCGATCGAACAAAGAGCAGGCTTGGGCCAGACTTGACTTACCAGCTTGGAGACAAGCAGACGTTTACTCTGTCGTTGCCTCCAAGCCTTGGCTTGCGGTTTGCACTTGCCAGGATGAAGAAAGCAAAGTCTGGAGCCAATAAAGGAGACACATCTACATGCATCCTCTACCATGGCAGCTCAGCCAAGATATTTCTACCTTGTAGGGGGCACTCGATCACGCTTATCGTTTTATCCCGTTTGCGATTGTTTCGAGAGGAGGCAAGGCCTTGCCATGTGGTCCAGCCCTAGGCAAATGGATCAAAGATCACCTGGCATGGATGACAAAGACGGCATCGGAGATGACATCCTCGGAGCTGCTTGGTCGGAATGTGTGTCTCTGGTGGATTTCTAAACGGCGAACTGGCAGCGTGTCATTTCTCAGGGGCTGCACAAGACTACCCACCTTGTTTACCTTGCCCGTTGCCTGCGCGGGTGCATGGATGTGTGTGAGTGTTTGGGGAGGTTTCGAACCCAGCAGATAGCAGACGATGCAATTTGTCTCCAATCCTGTCCAGCTAAGCAGGCTATTGAGCAATTGTGAGCAGGGGAAATTAGTTGCCCCCGTTCTGGTCAGCATCACATCACAGTAGAGGTTCCGTGTTGTGGAATCAACCAGGCGTCCTTTTTTGTCCAGGCTGCGGGCCATTGCGATCCTTACTGCAGCTGCAAGATGGATGGAGTGCCAGTGCAACTTCGCTGCAAAGCTGCCGTCTGCATGTCCAGAACCCAATCTGCCCACCTCCAACGGGGTGTCGAGTTTGCTGTCCATGTGAGGTGCAAAGCATCCCCAGAAAAAGTCGGAAGGTCAGAAGCATCCGAAGCCGTCCAATCCCCAACTAACGTGTCCTGTTTTTGCCAACGCCGGTGTGTCCGCAGCAACTTGTGTGCGTGCGCGCCGCAGGCCTCACATCCAACGAGCTGCTCGCCTACTTCGACGACGATGGAAACGCAGCGCTCAGCTCCGAAGAGCTGAGCACTGTGACCCGCACGCATTGAGCGAAGTCGGGGAAGCCTTGTTGACGCCGCGTTTGAGGCAAAGCTGCGTGTGGAAATATTCATAGTATTTCATATATGTTTTGCGAGCCTAAATTGGATGGGTGTAAGTAAGAGAGTATGTTTTGCCACTCCCTGATTCGGGAAGAACCCTAGTGGATGCCCGTGAACGGGCAATCAATCCGCAGCTCAGGCCATCCAGTTCATGAGCTTCGAGGATCCGCCAACGCAGGACCTTTGCCTTGCTCGTTAATCTGTAAATCTGTGAACGAAACAGCAAAGCAAGTCCGGCGCGTCTCTCCACAAGCACAAGCTCACAAATTTGTTCACAAGGTGCCCCTGGCGGAACAGCCTCGGCAAAATCTCAAGCAGGCCTTGCGCAAATGCAGCGGGCCCCCACACCACTGTTGCCGGCTCTAGATGAGGAGACATGAGATCTCCGCCACACCGGTACAACATCGGCAGTTTGATGGTGGCATGTGCGAAGACATTGTCACTTGCTAGCTTTCGCAGGATGACATTGAGGATGTCTATCAGAAGTTGCTGCAACCCAAGGCTGGGCGGGCGTTGACTCCAAGAGCTGCCCATGTGCCGAGTTGATATTCATCACTTGCAGGTCGACCTTAGGCAAAAATGCATTGAGTCTCCTGCAGGTTGGAGCAAATGTAGTTGTGCCGAATTACAATAGCCAGCTCAGAGAAGCTTTGCTAGTTTCTTTGAACTGTATCAAGTTGAGAGACCGCAGCTCCATGCAGGATACGAACATGTTTGCAAAGGCTTGGCAATGATTGCTTGATAAGCAGGGCGCTGTGTGCGAGAAGACATAAGACGATGGAAGAAGACGCAATTGCCCGAGCCAAAGGAAGGGAAAGAACGTCCACAGCCAGCAGGGACATCACTTAACATAGATCCATCCTATGCACTCAAGCGCCACAACTTCCAGACCTGCGTGTTCCAACCTTTTGTCTTTGGCTAGAGAATCCCTCGGGTGTCACCAACCACTGGGCCTAGACTCGACGACCAGGCACAGGAGTTGGACCTGGAGACCATTGGAATGGCCATGACCGCTGTGAGCCGCTTGCCCGACTTGCAAGCCCGGCTTAAGACACGGCCGAGCCTTCAGTACGCGCTCAGTCTGACTTAAAAGGACAGTTGGGTATGGGTCAAAATAAAACCACCAGGATATGAGCCGCAGGTGTTTTAGCCCATGTTTCCATTTACCAGGATTCCATTTGGGTCATATTTTTGACCCACAGCCAGTTTGCGTTGCTCTGAATCTTAGGCTAATATGGCGTCTGACTCTAAAAAAGGTTGGCAATCTTAGGCTGATGTGGCGAATCAGTGAGTGTTGGATCACTAAGGCAAGAAGGAGGAGCATGGCAGTGCTGCCGCCAGCGTCATGATCAAGGCCGACCAGGGATTGCTTCTCCAGGTCTCATCCACAACATGAATTTAAAACTCGGGTGCTAATTGCCCTGGAGACATGTTCGTGCTGGCTCCTCGCATGGATGACTGGCTGTGCACCAGGGCATTGCATTCTTTCCCGCAAGCTGCTAGTTTAAGAGAGTGCAGTGGTGCCAAGTCCAATTAATGAATAGACCGGCAGAATGGCTCTTTCTGTTGCTTCCTGCTCCTGCCCACCTGAGCCACAATCAAAACCGGGGTAGATGAAGGTTGGTAAGGGACAATCCCCTTGCCATAAATAGCTGCGGACATCCGCCTTCTTAATTCCTGAAGCATGGTTCTGGGCTTGGACCATTTTAGTACCGGGTTTTGAGCAAGTGACTTGCCTGCCACCGATGCAGGACATGGCAAAGATGTCGAAGGAGCAGACCAATGCCGCGACCTTCTTCAGGGAGATGATCGGCTACTTGCAGCCGCCCGGCTGGAAGATTTACTTCATGAGATGCGTCAGGGTTAGTTCAAAATGCTGAATCCCCAGGCTTTTGCAGGCCTTTGCCTTTACCACTCCTTTCTGGTGTTTTGGGGTATCTTCAGGGAAAAAGGTGTGGGGGGGGGGTGGGGGGGGAGGGGTTTGAGCTGGCAGGCGCACAATGTGCTTGCCAGGAAGACGAGCATGTCCGCCGGGGAGCTCTTTCAGAAGCTGGACGAGCACAAGGTCGGAGCACTCACGGGCCGCGCCGCTGCCTCAGTCATTGGCTCCGGACCCCACGCGACGCAGATGGGGATCCATGGGGCAAAATCCCGGTTAGCCCGGCTCGCCAAATCCCAGCGAACGAAAAGGACCCAATCCAACCACAAAAATAGGACCCAATCCAATCTATCTAAACTGGGTGAATTCACCAATCCCCCGAAATGGGATGACCCACAATGGGCGTGGCTCAAGTTTTGTCGGAACTCGGGTTAGGCGGGTGTTTGCCTTTGCATTTACGGGGCCCTTTTGGGTACCATCTTTTGAGCCGCAGCCAAATTGCGGCGGAGAACCCATTTGTCAGAAGCTATGTCATAGGACACGCAAATTGGGAGCCTATTCGAGAGTTCTTTGTGCAAGCACTGAGTGAAGTCCTTCAGGAAATTACCCTGGAGTTCCGGCTCTTGGTCACGGTGACTGGGGGTGGCAGCCCAGCCTTGCAAATGGACAATGCCCGGAGCCCAAGCAAGCCTTCTGAAGGAATGATATTCATGCTCATAGCTGTCCCTTTTGGTTGCTTTGCCAGAAAAATAGATGGCCCTGGTTTAGCTGGTGGTTAAATCATCTTCCAAAAGCATCTATTTCCCCTAAAAGGACACCTGCGTTCATGCTGCTGTGAAAGAAGGCTTGCTCAGGGCCTTAGGAGTTTCGGCAAGCCTCAAGAATCCATACGCGAGTGGACGTGTTGCTTGCAACTTAAAGCGAACATGCATTGATTGATGCTTGCAGTATAAACGTACGAACTTTGACTTGTTCCATGTAACCCTTGCCCCCCAGCTCCTCACCCGCTCGTACCTGCCTGGCCCCTTCCCAACCCCCACCCACCCCAGTCCCTCCATTCCTTCCCCGCCCGTCGCGTCCAGCATATCTCCAAGCTTGACAAAGATGAATGTGCACGATTGTTTTTTTCCTGACTATGTTCCTTGTCCTTCTTAAGGCTTTTGTCTCATCTGTATGCATTTATCCCGCTTTTTCTGTGGTTGTTCTCATGTTTCGCCTTGCTCTTCTCTTGTTTGCACACTCATTTTACCTGGTCGTCTCTCGCTTTCATCTCTGCTCCTGTTGTCGCCTTTTTATTTGCTCCTCCCCCCCTTGTCCCAGTCCTTCCTGCTGCTATTTTGTGATCCTTTCCGAACTTTCCTGTGTTTCTGGGAGAGCGGGAGGAGTGCCGAGGAGAGCGGAGATGCTTCCCATGGCTCTTCTCTCTTCTCCTCACCGCCCTTCCCACCTGGGTTTCTCTTCTCTTCAACTCCGTGTGGCTGACCACCTCCGTTGGCACCTAGGCGTTCCTGCTCATGGATCCACTTGGGATTCAAAAGTTCACCAAGTCGGACTTCACAAAGATGATCTCGCAGGCCGCTGAACAAAATAGGCCAATCGTCCCCCCGCGCCGGAGACGAGATGGCCAAAGCTTGGAATACCAGGGCTGTTTTGGCCTGTTTGCTCAGCCGTGAATAGCAAATCACTGGGCGAGGGTTTCAAGGCAGTTGCATGGGCTCCACTTGTTTGGCCTTCCGCAAGAACGTGTGCAGGTGAAGAAAGCCGAACGAGTTCGTGCTCAGTCCAAGAGCTTGCACCCACTGTTTCTGACTACTGCAGATGCTGTGCCTTGGTATGGTCAAAGGTATGGTGATCAATGAATCCAACAAATGTTGGTTGGTTTGAGCCGGTGTGGCTCTGTTGGAACTAAAGGGTGGCAGACATGTTGTGGTGGTGCTGGCCAGAAAACCCGCAGGCTGTGCCAGGCAGTGCGTGTGTGTGTGTGTGTGTGTGTGTGTGTGTGTGTGTGTGTGTTGACCAGTGACCGCATGCAGTTGGTTGCCGCTGCAGAATGCAGCATCCAGCCTGAGGCACAGGGCCAAGGCGCTCGAAAAATCTTTGGCCCGGTGGCGTTCCTTGGCATGCAAGATCTCAAAATGGGAAGCTTCTGAATGGGGTGGAAGCGCGTCTGAAAATCGAAGAGAGCTGTGAAGCAGGACCAAATTAAGCATTTCCGCACTTTCTTAGCTAAGCGAATGGCAAAATGTACGAGCTGGATAGACAGGAAGTCAATCATCCGGACGGGTCCTAATTCTGAGACTCAGGATGCCTCAGGCAGGTTCCTTGTGCCTTGAGAATGATGTCGAGCTGGAAACATGAGACTGCTCGGATGCTGCGAGAAGGGCTCCCCACTGACATCCAATGTGACGTAGGATTGTGCTGCGAGTAACTTGAGCAAGCTTGGTGAGTCTCTGTGGTCCTGTGGTGCATACCTGTGTCTAAACTGTCAAGCCGCATGAAAAAGTTATCTCAAGTCAACATTTGACTGTTAGCTATGTTAGCCACTTCATTCTTCATGTTTCTCGAGCCAATCTTCTTCCAGACACACAATGTCGCAACCTTCAATGATCTTTGATTTGAGCGCTATGGCAGTGCGCGAAGTCTGTGCACCAGGTTCATGGAGAGTATGCTGAAAATTGGTTTGGAGTACCTGAGCTACCACGGAAATGCTACCCAGCAGGCGCAATGGTAATTGCAGCGCCTGCATCCAGACCTGCAAATAAAACACTGATAGTGCAATCACAGCATTTTGCTGCCGCGCTTTGTTTGTTTCTCGTGCCGTCCAGGCGCTTCCCTCTTCTCAGAAACTCGTGTGGCTGCTGGCCTTCCTCACATGGCCGGGCCCCTGGATGGTTTCGGTTGCATTTCCTCATACTTGTTGCGAAAGCCGCTTGAACACTGTATGATAATGTACAATAAGAGCGTCCAGTGTCCCGTTCACCGTCAACTTCAACTATGTTCTGGAGATAATCTTGCTCTGCACTTTTACTGCAATTTCGAGCCGGAGCTGCGAACGTGCATTTTGTTTGGTCTGCTGTGCTGCCAAGTCCAGAAAAAGGGAGTTTGATTTTTCGCGATGGTCCATCGATAATGATTCTCGCGATACTCGTAGCGATGCCCTCAACTTAGCCAGATGATACTTTCACATCCTCGGTACAGCTGGTCTCTTGCTGAGAAGCTTTCGTGTTTGCACACCAACTCAAAAAAAGCCTGCTAGCCAAGCTGTGATAGCCATACCCTCCGGGGGCATGTATTGTTTAAATCTTGCGCAAACATGCGAACGTGTGTATGTGTGTGTGTGTGAGAGCCTCGCGATGGGACCTTCCAGCATCAACCGTCGCACAGTTGAACACCATGCCAGACTGATTGGGGGCGTCTTTTTCCTTCGTGGTGGAGCGTGCTCTTCTGTTGGTTGATTCGCATGGCAACCAAAGGGAACCCAATTTTGAAGACACACCCAATTAGACCCTCTAGACGGTGAAGGCCATGCTGTGGGCCGTTGCAACAGTTGGCAGCATGAGCCATTCAAAGGCTCGTGTAGCTTGGCAGATGCACCGAGGGTGTGCCCAGTTTCATATTTTTGCATTTTGCCATGTGGTTGTGACGCTTTCGGCTCGCACGCGTGCCACGTAATATTTGTGACTTACAACTGGGTGTGACCGATGTGAAAGCAAGCAGAGAGACAGAGACCTGTTGTCTTGTGTGTATTCAGAGCTCCTGCGCGAAGGTCCTTTGAAGCCAACAAGCAGAGGGCCAACCGACCCACATCGGAGGGCTCTCGCTGCCACAGCCGCTGCTCAGAGAGGCGCGCGCCGCCAGACTTGGTCTTAGGAGGTCACGTGGGTTCTCCAGAATCTAAGGGTGGAAGTACATACCCCTTGTTCATACCCCTTGGCTTCCGTGGTTTGCAACTCACTTTATAAGGGGTATATACCCCTTTTGGGGAGAGGGGTATGAACATCAGCAGGCCTTTTGGGTTCGTTTGTCCAAGGGGTAGGTAAAAGGGGTATGTATACAAGCAACCCTGGACAGAAACCCATCAATGACTCAAGGGGGTGGCCTGAGTTGCCCGATTCACCCATCTATTAGGAGGCCGGGGGGCATGAATTGTGAAGAAGCTGCGAGCAATGTGAGCCCAGCGTTGCGTAAGCGTTGCCTGCGCAGGGCAGAATCTCGGCAGAGGCGTGGACTGTCGAGAGGGCACGCATGGAGTCTCAGTCAGCCAAGACTCTGCTCTTCGTTTGAACAAAAAACCAAAAGTTGGCACCCTCAAACAAGACACCTACTTGTTTGTTTTGTCCTTTCTTGTTATTTTTGCGTTGGTTATCCTTCCTTCATGCAGCTTTGAGCGGCTTGGTGTACATAGATGTTTTCTTTGTACAGCAATGCCCAGTGAGTCAGTGAGAATTTGGGTCTTGGGTCATAGCTGCTCACAAGCAAAACATGGATTTGTTGCAGGGGACATGCCGCCAGTTCTGACGTTCTGGCTTTGGCTCGGATCCGATCCGAGCCCTGCAGGATCGGATCCCGCATGGGAAGTATGGAGAGGCGGCTTGACTTACAAAGATCTGGGTGTGGCCATCAAAATTAAACAGGGAGGTTACGCAGGTGTGGGTCCATTTTTCCACTTACCGGGGCAAGCCATTTTGGTACCGGTTTTTCGAGCCACAGCCATCTGGGCACCGCCTTTACTTTGTGGTAAACAGCACTAATGTCGATCCCATATTGATCAACCCCAGTTTTACTAAGTAATAGCTGGGTGCTCCGTGATGATTCCCCACTAAACCCAGCAATCCATACAAATCCCCCGATTAATAAACTGGCTTCAGGCATACGCTCGCATACGCTGGGATTCCAGTCGGTGATGCTTGCAGGCCTTATCCCAGATTCTTGCCGCCATTGAACCGCTTATTGGCGCGCCATCCTGGCTTATTCTTGGATGCTCTCAAGGACTGCGTGCGCCGAAGTTGGGTGACACACTTGCAGGGATGCCACGTCAAGCGTCGCTTCAAGCGCGCCAAGTCACCACCAGTCGACTGGGAGCTGCTCAACAAGTTACAAGCTGAATCGCTGGCCACTTTCAGCCCATCGAAGCACAAGTCTACTCACATTTTGCCAAAATCAGTGCCCAATTGATGGCCAATGACATCCAAGATGCCAATCCTCATTTTGAAGCAGTGGAACATGCTCAGGTTGGCGTGAAACAGTGCAGAACGATAGAGATCCTTTTTGAGGAATGAGCGGGAGCCACTTTGAGGATGCCACCATGGACACTGTTTGCGCCAGCATGAAGACGATTGTTGGGCAGGTTCGTTCGAGCTTATGTTTGGAACACTTCAAGTACATGATGTTGCAGAGGGATGCTGGATACCATGGCATATTGCGATGGGTAGTGTGTCGCACGTTCTTCATTGGTCAAAGCGACACGTTTTGCTTGGAGCACTGAGCCTTCGGCATGCAGGAGTCATTCACTGTCCCGGACCCGCCCGAATGGGCGACAGATGCGGACTTGCCAGATGAGCCGACCTTAGCTTTCGTAGGGTTGTGACCAACTTTTGTTGATACTGAGAAATCATAGCCAGCAGGCGGAAGGGTCTTTTGCTATTGATGGGCAGAGGCAGAGGAGTTTCGCAGAATGATACGTTCCAAAATGGCTATGGGTCAAAACCCAGTACCCCCAGTGAACATCCCAATCCCCACTAAAATAGACTAGAATGGGTGGTGCACCTACCTCAAAATTGTACCATTGGTGTTGATAGTGCCTGGAGAGGAGGTGATCCAGTCCCCTGTTCTTTCTCGGCGCGACAGAACGGATTAGGCTTCCAAGCCGATTGACGTTGCCAGGTGCTGCTGCAACAGTGTACAGGCCGGTCGCTTCTCGGGCTCCCATTCGGCCTTGCGACCGTTCTTGCTGTGTGTGTTTCCTCCATGACTCGTTACCGCTGGTATTGTTTCAGTGCCTCTTGCGTGCTTGGGTCTTCAACAAACGCCGTGGGATATATTCCGATCAGTATGCACAGAGCGTGCTTTCATCTAGCATCTCAAGTTGATGACTCATGGTTGTGACATGAATCAAGGCAACCGTCTCATAATCTTTTGGGCACCATGTCATGTCATGCTTTTTGTCTGAGAAACGCATCCTGTGCTGTGATGTGGCTATTTAGGTTATGGTGCGCGCGCGCGCCAGAGGACCCAGAACGAGCAGCCCAAAAAGAACAGCCCGCAAGCCAGCCCGGAAACGCAAGCGCAACAACACACCGTAAATAGCGGCGTTTTGTGGCTGGGGTCGCGCGCGCGCGCGCGCGCCAGAAGGCCCGAAAACCAACGGGGAAGAAGCAAGGACCGCGCAGCATACGAGCTAGCCACAACAAAAGCAAAACGGACAGAACAACAGCCCAACGCTTAGCATAGCAGTTTTTCACGGGATTTGCGGCGTTTTGTAGAGCGAGGACCCAGCATTGAAGGCATGCCCGGCTGCGCGAAAATGAGCCTTGCTTAAATCCCCTCGGTACCTTCTAACAAACAGTGCTTCATGGGTTGAGAGGCTTTTTGGAAGGAAGTCGATGGAAGCTCCCCCAGGCCCAACCCCAGACCCTGATGATGCCAGCCACACGGCCTAAACCCTGCGCGCACGGGATGTTTTGCGAGGGTTTCCCCAGAGGCAGGCAACACTGCAAGCCCGAGCTGGTGATGCAGAGGTGCCGGATTTCGGCAACGCATCACGACCAAGTGATGAGGGTCGGCGGCGCACGGGTGCAGCCCCTATAGCTGAAGCTAGCAGGCAAATTGCCTAGCGGCGACGGCGTAGCCGGATTTACACGCTACGCGATGCAGCCGGTCAAGATTTTGAGGTTTCGAGGTGTTAAGATTTTTCGATACTGAGATATTTTTTTAAGATTTGAAGGGCTTTAAGATTTCAAGCCAGGCCATGTTCAATCCATTTCTATCCATAAAAGTTTAATTTGGAAGATTTTCGGTATTCAAGATTTTAACATCGCAAGATTTCAATATTATAAGAATTTAAGAGTTTTAAAATAGTCAGGTTCCTATTTTTTCCGGTTTTAAAATTTGACCATGTGAGGAAAATCAGGTTTCTAGAGTTTAGGATGTACGAGTTGTTCCAAAAAACAAGAAGATGAAGTGAGAGACAGGCGCAGGACTTTTCAGTATCCTGCTTGAGATGAAACAGACGCAATGGGCCAACACGGAAGCAGTCACCCGAAGGCTTTGGTGACTGCGTCGCTTTTTCATGATCATCATCATGACGGTCATCATCGATGCTGCCGCGGCCGGTTGTGCGCCAGCAACGCAAATCTGGCCACCCAAGGCCCCCGTGGTTGTGACACGGCCGAAGGCCTAGGCCGGAGGCCTACCTTCAGGTATAAGGGGCGGCGCCCCCTGCCGCCGACCACCGCCGACCACGCGCCGAAGTTTTTGCGCTGAAACGCCCCTGCGCCAAGCCTGCTAAGGGGCGAAGGATTTGCGGATGTGTTCGACGATTTTTGGATCCCCAGCATCACCTGCATCATGCGCATCCTTGGCGGAGATTGATGCGAATGATGCAGGGATTGCTGGGGATGTTGTCCACGCCAGTGGAAGGACATGTGGGGAAATGAAAGGACATGTAGCTGGAATTGATGAAAACTGATGGAAAATGTTGGGAAAACGGATGGACAATTCAGGCCAAATGGATGGATGGAATGAAATGGAAAACGGATGGAAAAAGATGCACAATTGACGGAACATTCGTGGAAACCGGATGCACAATGGAAAACGGATGGAAAAAAGGATGCAAATTTGACGGAATATTTGCGGAATCCGGATGCAAAATTGATGGGAAATGTATGGAAATTGGATGGGAAATTCATAGAAAATTGCTGGCAAATGGACCAAGAAGGGAAATGAGGACATTGATGAAAAGCTGCGGAAAATGCAGAGAAAAGGGACAGATGAAAAATGTCTGGACAATTGGTGGAAAGTTCCAGGATGGCAAAAGGATTGCAAAAGGATGCAAAAAATGAGGCAAATGTGTGGAACTGTCATGGAGTTCTTTGGAAGGATGGAAACCGGATGGAACATGGACACTTGCTGGAACACAGGTGGAAAATAGCTGGAACAACTCGTACATCCTAAACTCTAGAAATCTGATTTTCCTCAAATTGTCAAATCTTAAAATCGTAAAAACTTAGAATCTGACTATCTTCAAACTCTAAAAAGGATGCAAAATTGACGGAACATTCGTGGAAACCGGATGCAAATTGATGGGAAATGTGTGGAAATTTGATGGGAAATTCATAGAAAATTGCTGGCAAATGGGCCAAGAAGGGAAATGAAGGGACATTGAAAGGGACGGATGAAAAATGTCTGGACCATTGATGGAAAGTTTGTGCCAGATGGCAAAAGCATTGCAAAAGGATGCAAAAAATGAGGCAACGTGTTTTTTTCTCGTTTTTTTTTTTTGGTTGTTTTGTGTTTTTCTAGTTTAGTAGGGGAACCCTCCCCAAAAAAGGGGCAAAAGGGCACTACTGGGGGACCTAGTTGTGTACCACACCCAAAAAACAAGTCTTTAAGCCTTGGGTTTATAACTATAGAACGGTGTTTCCAAAGAGTATAAAGCCCAGAATCTCAGCCCAAAACCCGGAACTGTCATAGAGGTTTTTTTGGAAGGATGGAAATAGGATGGAACATGGATGGACATTTGCTGCAACACAGGTGGAAAATAGCGAACCATCATCGTCATGACGGTCATCGCCCTTCATCATTCCGTTCTTCCATTTACTTTCATATAAACATTTCAAGTGTGCCGTTAGGCAGCATTGGTAATGCAGAGGATGCTTCGATGATAGTTATCCATCCTTATCATCATTATCTTCCCGATCATCATCATCTCTTATGGGGCATCGTTGGTAACGCAGAGGATGCTACAATAATAGTTATCCTAACCGTCATCATCCTTATCATCATCCTCATGGTTATCATCATCACCACGATCATCATCACGGTGGTCATCATCATCTCTTTCTTATTTCCTTATTGCTTCAATTGTGGTGAGGCACCATTGGTAATGCAGAGGGTGCTACGATGATAGTTATCCTGACAGTCCTCATGATTATTCTCATCATCCTCCTTCATCACCATGATGGCCGTCAACATCTCTTTTTTATTTGTCTTTTTTGTATATACATGTCAAGCGTGCAGTTAGGCACCGGTGGTACTGCGGAGGATGCTACGATGATAGTTACCATCACCGTCATCATCCTTATCACCATCCTCATGGTCATCATCATCACCCTGATCATCATCATGGTGGTCACCATCACCTCTTTCATATTTCTTATTACACACATTTCAATTTACCCTGACAGTCTTCAACCTTAACCTCTTCTGAGGCAGCATTGGTAATGCAGCGGATGCTACGATGATTGTTATCATGACTGTCCCCATCCTTGTCATCATTCTCTTCACGATCATCATCATCTCTTGTCGGGCAGCGTTGGTAATGCAGAGGATGCTACAATGATCGTCAGCAGCACTGTCATCATCCTTATTATCATCCTCATGGTCATCATAATGACCCTGATCATCATTCTGGTGGCGTCATCATCAGCATTCGGCAGCGCTGGCAATGCATCCTGACAGTCTTCATCCTTATCATCATTATCCTCAAGATCATCATCATTTCTTATGAGGCAGCAGTGTTAATGCAGAGGATGCTACGATGATAGTTATCATGACAATCCTCATCTTTGTCAGCGTTCTCTTCACGATCATCATCATCTCTTATGGGGATCACCATCATCTCTCACGGGGCAGCGTTGGTAACGCAGAGGATGTTACGCTGACAGCTATCATCACCGTCATCATTCTTGTCATAACTATCATCGTAGCATCCTCTGCGTTGCCGATGGTGCTTAACACCACAATTGAAACGCACATAATAAGAAATTCAACAGACATGATGATGACCATCATGATGATGAAGGGTGACGATGACGCCACCATGATGATGATCAGGGTGATGATGATGACCATGAGGATTATGATAAGGATGATGACGGTGATGAGAACTATCATCGTAGCATCCTCTGCATTACCAATGCTGCCCAACAAAGAGATGATAATCATCAAGATTATGACAGTCTTCACCCTTATCATCACTACCCTGACGATCATCATCATCTGTTGTGAGGCAGCATTGGTAATGCAGAGGATGCTACGATGATAGTTATCATGACAGTCCTCATCTTCATCATCATTATCTTCACGATCATCATTATCTGTTATGTCTCAGCATTGGTGATCCAAAGGATGCTACGGTGATAGTCGTCACCATCCCTACCATCACCGTCATGGTCATCATCATCACCCTGATCGTCATCATGGTGGCGTCATCATCACCCTTCATCATCATGATGGTCTTCGTCATCTCTTATTTCTTATGTACATTTCAATTGTGGCGTTAGGCACCATTAGTAATGCAGATCATCATTATCTTCACGATCCTCAACATCTCTTGTGGGGCAGGCTTGGTAATGCAGAGGGGGTGTTACGATGATACTGTAGCTATCATCACAGTCATCATCCTTATCACCACCCTCATCATCATCATGGTGGCGTCATCATCACCCTTCATCATCATGATGGTCATCATCATCTCTTTGGTGATGCAGAGGATGCTGCGATGATAGTTATCATCACTGTCATCATCCTTATCATCATCCTCGCGGTCCCTTATCATCATCATCATGATGGCCATCGTCCTCCTTCATCATCATGATGGTGTTCATTGATCTCTTTCTTTTTTATATGCATTTCAAGTGCTCCGTTAAGCAGCATTGGTAATGCAGAGGATGCTAGTATGATAGTTATCCTGACTATCCTCACGATCAGTATCATCTCTTATGAGGCAGCATTGGAAACGCGAGGATTCCACGATGATAATTATCATCCCCGTCATCATCTTTACTATCGTTATCCGCACGATCATCCTCATCTCTTATGAGGCAGCATTGGTAATGCAGAGGATGCTGCGATGAAAGTTTTCATCATCATCCTCGTGGTTCTCATCATCACCCTGATCATCATGATGGTACTCATCATCACCAGGGAGCGGCGGTGAAGGCGGTGGGTGAAAACATCATTTTGGATAGCCAGAACCAAGCTTTGATCCTCCGAGATGTGTATAATGATGATAAGAACGAAGACTGTCAAGTTAGCTCTCATCGTAGCACCCGCTGCATTACGAATGCATGAAATGTATGTATAGAAGTAACAGAAGGAAATGATGACGACCATTATGATGATGAAGGGCGATGATGACTATGATGGTGATGATGATAAGGGTGATCACATTATTTTGGATAGCCGGAACACCAAGCTTTGATTTTTGCAAGATGTGTAAAAATGATGATAAGGATGAAGACTGTCCTTGAAATGTATATATAGAAGTAAAAGAAAGAAAGGATGACAACCATTATAATGATGAAGGGCGATGATGACCATCATGACGATGAGGGTAAGGGCAAAAGCATCATTGTGGATAGCCGAAACACCAAGCTTTGATTCTCCGAGGTGTGTAAAATGATGATAAGGATGAAGACTGTCAGGATAACTATCATTGTAGCATCCGCTGCATGACGACCGTTATGATGATGAAGGGCGATGATGACCATCATGGTGATGCTGATAAGAGTGAAGACATCATTTTGGATAGCCGGAACACCAAGCTTTGGTCCTGTGAGATGTGCATAAGGAGGATAAGGATGAGGGCTGTCACGATAAGCATCATCGTAGCGTCCGCTGCGTTACCAACGCTGCCTAACGGCACACTTGAAATGTATATATATATATGGGTTTGTCTTTTTTTGGTGTGTTGAGTTGCTTCAAAAGGCAGAAGGTGGGACCTCCCCGAATCATACCCCCGAATCATACCCCCGAATCATACCCCGAATCATACCCCCGAATCATACCCCTTAAAACGTATGCTGCAAGATGCTAATGTTCTTCTACCGTTTTGTGTTGTTCACTGTCTCCACAACAACCACCACCAGCGCTACCCAATACTACCACTACCACTGCCACTACTACTACTACTACTACTGCTACTACTACTACTACTACTACTACTCCAATGACTACTACTACTGCTACTACCACCACTACCTCTACTACTACTGCTACTACCGCGACTACGAGTATTACTACCACTACCACCGCTACCACCGCTGCTACTACTACTCTACTGCTACCCGTACTACTAACTACTACGACTACAACCTTGACTACTACTACTACTACGACTACTACCTACTACTACTACTACTACTACTACTACTACTACTACGACTACAACCTTGACTACTACTATTACTACTACTACTACTGCTGCTGCTACTACTACTACTTCTACTACTACTATTGCTGCTTCTGGTCTGTAATCAGTGCCGTTTTGCACCTAGCCGAATCATACCCGCGAATCATACCCGAATCATACCCGGACAATGAGCTTCCCCTGCCAAGGCTAGTGCCAAGTCGTTTTCACAGCGTCCGCACCACTACAGCCGCTGCTGCTTATGCCACAGCTGCTACCACTACTTCTGTACTACTACTACTGCTACTACTGCTACTACTACTACTACTACTACTACCACAGCTACTACGAGTTTGCAATCAGTCCCGTTTTGCACCTAGCCGAATCATACCCGCGAATCATACCCGAATCATACCCGCGCAATGAACTTGCCTTGCCAAGTCCAGCGCCAAGTCTTTTCAAAGCTTCCGCGCCACTACAGTCGCTGCTTCTACTGACTACTACTACTACTACTACTACTACTACTACTACTACTACTACTACTACTACTACTACTACTACTACTATTTACTACTACTACTTCTACTGTACTACTACTACTACTACTACTACTACTACTACTACTACTACTACTACTACTACTACTACTACTACTACTACTACTACTACTACTACTACTACTACTACTACTACTACTACTACTACTACTAACTACTACTACTACTACTACTACTAACTACTACTACTACTACTACTACTACTACTACTACTACTACTACTACTACTATTGTTACTACTACAATATTGCTACTAGTACTACTACTTCGGCGACTACTGCTACTACTACTAGTGCTGCTGCTGCTGCTTCCGCGAATCATACCCCCGAATCATACCCCGAATCATACCCGCGAATCATACCTGCGAATCATACCCCGTACTCAAACCTTCCTGCCCGGCCACCCTAAAAAAATACAAACCCATATAAGTAAAAGACAGAAATGATGACGGCCATTATCATGATGAAGGGCGATGATGACCATCATGACGATGATGGTAAGGGTGAAAACATCATTTTGGATAGCCGGAACACCAAGCTTTGATCCTCCAAGATGTGTAAAATGATGATAAGAACGAAGACAGGCAGGATAACTATCGTTGTAGCATTTACTGCATTACCAATACTGCCTAACGGCACACTTCAAATGTATATATATATATAGAAATAAATGATGACCATCATGACGATGATGATATGGGTGAAATCATCATTTTGGATAGCCGGAACACCAAGCTTTGATCTTCCAAGATGTGTATAATGATGATAAGGATGAAGACTGTCATGATAACTATCATCATAGCATCCGCTGCATCACCAACGCTGCCTGGCGGCACACTTGAAATGTATACGTAGAGTTAAATGATGACCATCATGACGATGGTGATAAGGGTGAAAACATCATTTCGGATAGCCGGAACACCAAGCTTTGATCCGAGGTGTGTTTAATGATGATAAGGATGAAGACTGTCAGGGTAGCTATCATTGTAGCATCCGCTGCATTACCAATGCTGCCTAACGGCACACTTGAAATGTATATAGAAGTAAAAGAAAGAAATGATGACGACCATTATAATGATGAAGGGCGATGATGACCATCTTGACGATGATGACAAGGGCGAAAACATCATTTTGGATAGCCGGAGCACCAAGCTTTGATCCTCCGATCCGAGACGTGTAGCCACCCTTCCCGTGCGCCTCGCCCTTGCAGACAAGGGGTCGGCGGGTTAGTGGTGCAGTCTCTAGGCTTGACAATCGATGCATCAGGCACAGTGGAAGTTGTGCCGTGTTAGTCGAGTCCTGTGCCAGATGTCCTGCACAAGGAGCGTGAGCACAAGGCGCCAGCCACTTCTTTTGACGCATGTCGAGGGAGGAACAAGCGGCGACTAGAGTTCAGCAAGCGCTTTGCACGTTGACCAGAGCAAAGCGTTCTAGGTAGGCAGGTTCCGAGTATGTGATTGCGCTGGTGATACAAAGGCGAGATGAGAATGTGTCACCCCACGTTTTTGTCAAAGCTCGGTTGAGGGAACCTTGCCATGGTTGGCCTCAGATGCAGTTTCATGTGAAGCTACATTGATCTACGCTTTAGTGGTGTCCTCACAACAGAGAGAAGGTCTACCATCCTGAGCAAGTGATAGATAAAGGTCCAATGCGATTGTATATGATGCCAATAACACTCAAGCTTTGTTGGTCAGAAAAGGCAAACGTTCAGCAAAAGCAAGAAGAGTCCGGCGAGCGGCTTGGATTGCTGAGGCCTCAACATGTGGAATCCTCTTTGGTTCATGCGGAACCACATATGCTGCGCAGAAGGAAAACGCGGGCCGCCACAGGTATGCGAGCACTTCGCGAAAGGCATAAGAGCAACTATGCTCGCAAAAGGTGGGCTTCTTTTGATTGTCACTACAGGCTTTGCCTTTCATCCGCCGGCCACGGGTCCGTTCTTTTTGGAGACAGTGTTTGCCGCGTGGCTGCAACAGAACGCGCAAACCTCCGCTAAAAGTGGAAGAACGGCTCACAAAAGGTCCCCGAAGAGCTGATTGATCTCCAGGCCCGAACTTATATGGGGCATGCGGGCCAAACAGGCCGAGTCATAGATCGATACATGGAGCCACTCTGCCCAGATGTTTGTTGCAGTTATCAAGGAAAGCAGTTGGCCAGGCCCAAAATGGCCACCAGGTCCATGAAAAAACGACATCCAGGACCCCAATCTACAAGCCACAACTCACTTCCTGAGTTCATGGACTTTAATTTGTTTGGGAAGACCATTTTGGTGGTAAATAAGAAGTTCTGGCTGTTTTGGCCAAGCCACTCAGGAAGTGAGACAATGCAAAGCCTTGCAGGAGAGCATCCCTTTCCATCGCGTCCTCCTGAAATTAGCCGCTGAGGGGTTCTGAGAGGGCTAAGCAGAAGCAAGGCCCAGGTGAGGTTGGCTTTGTTTGGCCATTCTGAACTTGGTGGCTCCCAGCCATCCCCTTAGCTTTTTAGCATTTTACTTGGTTTAGTGGGGATTTGCATTTAACCCACTACTGTATTTTTTTTGCACTTTTGGTCGGGGGATTTGAGGACAGCCCAGTGAAGACATGGTTCTTGTGAGTTGCAATCCTCACGTGCATGTTTGAACGCGGTGAAGGCATGCCATGGTTCTATCCAGTCTCCGGATTGGCCATGCACTGCTAACGATCCGAACCTGGTCCTTCAGTAATTTAGCTGTGCCACGCAAGGTCCGCTCTCGTTTGGCGACAACGCCATCGAATTTATCGTGTGGGAGACGTGCAAAAGGACAGTTGGTCCAATCGTGGCTTCATGCAGCATCATTATGACATATTATGACATAATGCATGTACCAGTCAAGAGCGGCAGTGTGTGTTTGGGCATGCCTCATGGGATGTCCAACCTGGTGTTGAAGCTTTGTTGGCGATCAGCACTCGCAGGGCCGGCGAGGCCGATGATAGAGGGGCAAGAACTAAAGTCGCACGCTACGAGGGAAAATGACCGTGCTGAGGCGCAGATGTATTTGTTCCCCACCTCACTCATGGGATTGAGAAGGGGAAGCAGAGGCGGCAGCATGTTGGGTCTGCTTTCCCCCGATTATGCGGACTAACCCAGGGAAGCATGAGGTACTGGTTGCGCAGAGGAGAATTACAGCGCTCCTGGGCAAATGGTTCATCATTTGTCTTGTGAAAAAATGCTGGTGGGCTGTATGATTTGCCTTAGTTAAGACACAAATCATTCAGGCGGGAGGGTCATAGACCAAGCCTTCGCGCAAGTCGCACTGCCCACCATAAGTACATTTCCCCCCAATCAGTTTATGGTGACCCAAAGGGGGTCCAGGGGTGTCCAACTCGGTGAGGAAAGAACGCATTTTCCACAAGGAAATCAAGTTGAGCCCTGCAAGGCATTTCTTTCTACAAGCAAGGGGAAACTGAAACCAGCTAGGAACGGGTTTTGGAGTGCATCCAACAATCGGAACCGGTGTTTTTTTTTACTAGCTTCGGCTCGGGGCTTAGCCCCGGCGAGGGGACTGGTTGGTTGGTTGGTTGGTTGGTTGGTTGGTTGGTTGGTTGGTTGGTTGGTTGGTTGGTTGGTTGGTTGGTTGGTTGGTTGGTTGGTTGGTTGGTTGGTTGGTTGGTTCCGGCTGGTTTCGGGCGAGTGTTGAGCTTTCTGAGGTTTTCTATAATGAGGGCAGGTCTTGGGTTTGTTTGGGGTTCATTTAGGCTTTGTAAAGGGCTGATATCCAGGATGCTGTTGGGAGGGTTTAAGGTTGACTTTGAGTTGGTTTGGGTTGGCTTGGAGCTGATTTGCGCGAGGTGTGCAGCCCGGTTTGCCACTAGCTATAGGGGCTGCTTCAAGGATGTGGTTGCGCAAGTTTTGGGCTGGTTTGGGTGGTCCACATCCCTAAAGCAGCCCGAAAGCTAGTGGCAAAACCGGGCTGCACACCTCGCGCAAATCAGCTCCAAGCCAACCCAAACCAACTCAAAGTCAACCTCCCAACAGCATCCTGGGATATCAGCCCTTTACAAAGCCTAAATGAACCCCAAACAAGCCCAGGACCCGCCTCATTACAAGCCCAACACTCACCGGAAACCAACTCTTTGTCACCAAAGTAAAGGCCCTAGAGGCCGTGATGCTGGGGCCCACCCTGAAGAGAATACCTGTTGCCCCCAACCTGAAGAGTGAAGCAAGAGTTGCCAAGCGAGGCCTTGTGCTGAGCCGGGGCTAGTAAACAGCCGGCTTTTCGCAAAAAAAAAGAAGCAACAACATACAAAAACACAGCTCAACCCCAACAATCCGGTGTTCTGAGACCGGACCAGGTTTCCCACAAAGCTTTGGCAGTTTGGTTTTGATCGGGACAAGTGATTCAGGAGGCGCGTTGACCGGCTGCACATGGGGAGGCGCCGGTCGCCCCGAGGTCTCCACCAAATCTCGGGAGATTTGCCGTTGGGGCTCCCAGTGTCAAGCTCCAGTGGGAGGTGGCAAAGTCGAAATTCGGTTGCCTCGGGTCCGGTTAGGCGCTGAAAATAGCCTTTGGCCTTTGGCCCGGTTAGGCGCGAAAGGTGAACTGAACATAGCCGTCCATATGGCCTTTGGTGGGATCTCACCATGGCAACCGGCTCTGCAAAGTGCAACGTGTGCACGGTCAGTAAACGTAAAGTTGCTATTTGGCCGCTGTGTGGAAAGGTTCTGCTCCTTTGTGCAACCAGCAAAAAACGACTTGGTGGAAGCATGCTCTTTTAGCAGACGTTTGCTGAAATCACATCTTTGTGGTGTTCTTTGTTTCGGGTGTGAATATTTGGCCAGTAGCTGTTGGCTGTGATGCTGTTTGCAGACAGGCGCAACTTACACAGGCAAGTGACAATAGCAAGCGATCCAATACATGTGCCTCGAGCATCCCGTACAACCTGCGTTATGAAAATCGCCATCATTGGAGCTGGGATCGGCGGCTGCAGTGCTGCTCGATTTTGCCGCCAGGAGTTCAAAGACGCGGAGATCCATGTTTTGGAAAGGACCCCGCGCGTTGGAGGTCGGGCGTGCGTCTTTGAGAGCGGTGGCCACACGTACGAGGCCGGCGCCTCCATCGTCCATTCGCGGAACCGGTACCTGGCGGACTTCGCTGCGGAGTTCAAGTTGGGCCAGGTGGCCCCGCCTCAGACGCGGCTGGTCCTGCACAACGGCAGGCCGGTCTTTGAGGGCAGCAGCTTCAAGCCCCTGACGCTTGCCAAGATGCTGCGACGCTATGGACTGGGCCCGTTGCGCCTGGAGCGTTGGGTGGAAAGGTTCCTGCGGAAGTTTGAACACATCTACGAGCTGCAGGGCAGATCACAGGCATTCACCAGCCCCAAGAAGCTGCTGGCGGCACTCGACCCTGAATTCGAGGCCATGGTCTCAGAGACGCTGAAGCGTCGCTTGGAGCAGGATGGCTTTGACAAGCGCATGGTTGAGGAGTTGGTGGCTGGCACCTTGGCAGATTGGGCCATCTGACCAGTTGAAGTGCGCCGTTTCTGGAGGTTTCAGTTGTCTAAACTTTTGTGTTATCTGGCTATGGGTCAAACCCCCGTACCCCCAGTGAACATCCCAATCCCCACTAAAATAGACTAAAATGGGTGGTGCACCTACCCCAAAATGGTACCATTGGCGTTGACCCACGGCCATCTCAGGAATCGTCCGGGTGAACTATGGGCAGGGCCTGGACGTGGGAGTCTTTGTTGGTGCCGTCGCGCTGTGTGGATCTGGCGGAAAGCTATGGGCGGTGAGTGGCGGGAACCACACCTTGGCGGAGAAACTTCTCGAAGCCTCTGGTGCTAAGCTGATCACAGATGCAAAGGTTTTGCGCATTGAACTGGGACAACAAAGATACACAGTTGAGGCGCGATGTGCCGGGGCCGAGCGGTTTGTTGAGGAGTATGACTTGGTTTTCGTGGCGGCCCCGCAGCATGAACCTTTGGAGCTGCAGATTGTGAAGGGCTCACAGAATCTCACGGCCCAGATAGCCCGCAGATACCAGCGGATTTTTGCCAGCTTCTACTCTGCACCTCCTTGCCACTTAGCTCTCCACTGCGGAAGTCCCCCAGCTGGCACCATACTCAGCACGTCGCCGGGCTTCAATATCGGACAATACAACAGCACGGGCGGGGAGGACTTGATATGGAAAGTTTTCAGTGAACCTCAAAGTGAGCTTTTCTCCAAGAGCTCTCTGAGACCTTCGGGTGGGCATACCCCAACGAGACGGCGGAGAGAGAGAAAGACATCCCCTTTTGGACGGAAAGGGTCTATTCTACTGTAACGCAATTGAAGGTGCTGCAAGTGCCATGGAGATGGCTGTGATTGGGGCGAAGAACTGTGTTCTCCTCGCAAAGAACCTTTTGAACGGGCTGCCTTCACACATTGATGACGGAGCGCATGCATCGAGACTGTGAGCAATGTGCAAAAGCGTGCAGATCCTCAATGCATAGATGCTGGTGCATTCCCGGAAGGAGTTCTGACAAGAGTTGCCAGCAGTTGAGCTTCCGCTTTGCCCTGGGGCAACTGCGGATGTTGGCAAGCTGACATGGCAGAAGCGTGCGCAGTGTTTGAGAACGTGTACCTGCAACCATAAGAAGGAGAAGCATATCCAGCGAGCTGCACTCGATGTGCAGTCACTTTCTCAAGAGTGGACTCGACTGAAGGCTGCGAGAGCCGTCAGATTGAAAATCAAAGTTGTGCGAGAGCCTTCAGTGAGGCTCAGTGAGGGAGGGCAGAGCGCCTTCTTGTTGATGTTACTTCTGCTCAAAGATGTGAGCCTCATGTTGCGAATTTCGTGCAGCATTGACCCGCGGCACTACGTGGAAGTCTCTGATCTTTGCCTTCCCAATTCATTGTTCTAACAGACTTCAAGAATCGCCACGGTCGCAAGGCTTTGAGTGTGAAAGTGGCTTCTATGTCTCGGCCTTAGCAGTCAAAGCATGTTGACACGTCGCGCAGTGCTACGAATAGAGTTACGCAGCTGAATTTCAGCATGAACAGCCGAGAGGAGTGGAGTTGGCATTCGGAGAGCGGACATCCAAGGCTGCTGGGTTTCCTGAGTGCTTGATGGGGGCTCGTGCCCCAGACGCTAGATCACTTGCTTCCGGGCTTTGAAACGCTTCCAGCGGAATGTGCAAAGGAATGGACCGCTCTGGACTTGGCACGATGTCAGGAGCCCGTGGTTCTCAAGACTCTAACGCAGCTTCAGTGATCTTTGCCTGCGATACACTGCCTTATTTTTGTTTTCCATGGGTTCGCCCTTTGCCAGCTGCGAGGGCAAGACAGACAAAGACAGAGATAGAGACGAAGTTAACTGTAGACTGTTGCTGTGCGTGTTGTTAGTCCAGCGTCCGTCGTCGACAAAGAAAGGCGCAAGTATGTGCAAAAATAGCAAACACCTGTGGGTTGCATGAAGAACAGCAGAAGAGCCAAACAGCTTTCTCACATCTGAAGCTCGCAACTCTCATCTCCATGCTTCCGACATGTTTCAGAAAGTGAAAGAGTGTTCAGTTTGCTTCCTGAAAATATTAGACCATGTCATAGAGTCGGCCATCCACTCCCAATATGAGAACCATCATTTTGAAACACTGCTCATCGAGGCACGTCTCCCCCCACAAAGAGGGTCGACGGAGTATGGCACCCTGAGAGGAGTCGCCATGCACTGACGTGCCAAAGGCTGGAAAGCAGCACGAGTCGCCAAATCATCAACGTTGCATCGACTTTCTGTGGTTCCTTCGTTTGCAGTAAGAGCGAAAGCTTGTGTGAGTGTGGTGCGCGGAAGGTTTTGGAGCTTCAGATTGGACACTGTCTTAATTGAATGTTAAGGACAGAAGCACAAAGTCGTACTGGCTTCGGTTGTGCGAGCCTTCCAGGAGCACCACATGTGACTAAGAAGACTCTTGACAGAAAGACATGTTGCTCACTGCACGACTTGATTCCTGTGCTGTCTCGAATGCAGTTTTGCACTTGCAACTAAGCGCATATTGGGTGACAAACACCCTGTGCAGGTGCCACATGCCAAAGACACCACGGCGTGTGCCGGTCGTGAGCCGACAACTGAGCCGTAGCAGCAACATGTTCTGTGCATCGCTCTGTTGGCAGTGAGGTTGAAGCCCTGAAAAGTGATTGTGCTTCGCACAAGTGAAGAAACACAAGGGCCCAAGGGGGGATGACTTTGATTTTGGTCGACAGCGTGCCTTCAGGTCGGGAGAGCTGTGCCCCATAGAGTGCCAAGACGGTTTTCAGGCCCGACACTCAAGCAGCTATGTGCCATTTGCACTTGCCGAGACTCAGCTTCGATGGGTTTTTCTGATAGGCTGCCCCTGTTTCCTTGGCACTTGGTGCATTCCCATCCGGTGATTTCTCAGATTTTTTCCCTCATCCCCGGCTCTTGGAGCCTGTGAGTCCCTGTCCAGATGCTGACAGAGCTGCGCTGTTACCGGGGAGTCGGCGGCCCAAACGCATGGTTGAGAGCAAGGTTTTTGTATGGCTCGTGACATCTTGAATGCGTGTCTTTTATGAGTGAACCTTTTGGGGAAGGGACATTTTAGGGACACGGCCCTTTTTGCAGGGGAGGTCGAAATTTGGAGACAAACCCGTGGTGATTTATACGCAAAAGTGGCATGAGGTCTGGCTGGAGGCCGCTTGTGTGGCCTTCTGCGCGGCTCCTACGGAGGCGCAGCTGTGGGTAACTGACGCCTCACGTGCGCGGGGATTGCGAAGCGCGCAGCGCTGGTGGCGTCAACTACGAGTGACAACAGTTCTCCGTGTGCCAAAAACCTGGGCAATGGTAGATAATGTATATTATTCCCAGGAATCGATACGGTTGGTGGAGTGTGTTTTCTACAACTGAGCACATCATGGAAGCTTGCAGGCAATTGGTGGCGCCATCAGCCTGGATCATTGCGCAGAGGATCCCGGAGAAGGAAGGTTGCAATGATGGTCAAGTGCCGGGTGTCAATGTAATCTAGTAGACTTCTTTGCAGCTAGAATGTTGGGCTTGTGACAATGATGCGCGATATGAGTCTACGATGAGCATTGCTTTCTAGCAGTATTTCGGACAAGATGCCAGATTGCTTACAGGATCAGTGTGTTGGTTGCAGAAAGCCAGCAGTCCGCAGGCGAGTTCGTTTGTGGTCATGCATACGGCGTGTGGACATGAGCGTGTATGAGCGTGCGCCCAGATGCAAGCACGTGCGGGCATGGCCTGCGTTGGTGTGGCGGCGGCGTTAAAACATGTATATATTTATATTCTATATATGTCCCTGCGTGCGTTTCGTACCTGCGTCCGTGTTTGTGTTTGTGTGTGTGGGTGGGTGCGCGCGCCTGTGCTTGCTTGTCCATGCCCATGTCCAGCTTGTGTATGCAGAAGCGCAGGCATGCTTGTGTTTGTGTTATTTGTGTTTGTATTTGGTTTGCATTTGTACTACCGTGGGTCCACGGTGCGTGGTGTTTTGCCTTTGTACTTTTCTAGCCCTTCCTCTTTGCCAAATACCCATAGGCTCAAGTCACCGGTAGAATCAACATGAATCAACTGCTCCTGTCTAAGGCTGGCACTCAAGTCGATGAGACCTGCGCTGTCATTTGCGAGCCAGGGCGGGGCTGATTCTGCGGCACTGTCCGGGACGGCGCTCACAGTTTCAATATCTGGTATTTGAAGAGGTCCCACTTTGAGGAATGGGGAGGAGGTACCATGACCATGGGTAGGGGGTGGACCTAGAACCTGGAGCATACACACACATTGTATATTGCTGAAGACTCCGAGTAACTTGGCACATGGCAATGGGGCATAAGCTATGGCTCCATCTTGTGGTGGATGAACATCCATTTGCCAGCTATTTTGATGTTCACCAGGGGTACAGGGTTTTGACCCACAGCCACATCACTTGGCGTTGTGTCAAGTAAACCACCGGAGACCTCAGCCAGGCTCCACCCGACAGGGCGCATCAAGTGCCTGCCGGGGGGTCGTTGGAGCGAGGCGCACTGCTTTGACCCCGCCGAGGCCAGACTCGGGTGATGAGAGTTCTGGGAAGTCTTTGGCCAAGTTTCAAGAAATCCCGAAATTCGTGACTGGCAAGCCTCGCAGCTGCCAACAAGTGTTCATGGAACGGGCATATAGCTATGCAGATGCGTGGGGTAGAAGACTCATCGATTTCTGATATTGAAAAAACCGGTCACCCGGTGTGCTCTACCGCTGGCTGCAAAAGATGAAGCAACTTGAGTTTATGTCAAGGTGTGCATGAGGGGACATCCCGGTGACCAATTGGGTTTTTCGGAAGCGCGCCGAATTGGCGAACAGAAGCCTGCGACGTCGATATTTTGGCTAGCAAGTGTGTAACTCGTGTTCTTTTAATACACGCAAAGCACTTTTGCTTGGAGTGGGTAGGTTTGGTTGGCACGGCTGGATAGGGGGACAGGCTGGTGCCACCGCTCTGCAGCGTGTGGCCCAGCTCCTAGTCGCTTCCCAATTCCGATTCAAGGTCGGATGTCACATGTCAGTGCCAGGAGCTCATGCACGAGGTTGTGGCACGGGTGGATGCGGGGGCCTTAGCTTGGGCTATGGCTTCAAGGATACCCATAGCGCATGTGCAAGGCACATGATAGAACTTGATGTTGTACATATCTCGAAGATTGTAAAGCTTGCAAGCCGCAAACTTGGCAGAACCCACCAGCCGCCAATCACAGTTAAGCCACGTCGATTGCAAACCAAGGTGTTGAGAACTCTTGGAGCAGTCAACTGGCCATGGGTCGAAAGCCCGCACCCCCAGTGAACATCCCACTCCCCACTAAAATAGGTTCTAAAATGGGTGGTGAATTCACCTACCCCAAAATGGGATCCCAAAACGGTTTTGATCCACAGACAAATGAAACTTTGGACGGGGTCGGATGGCAGGTGGAGGGCCTCCTGGACTTTTGCGACCTTGCTGCTGCCAACAACCTGGAGGGCCTGGAGGCGGACGGGCAGATAACGAGGAAAGCCCTGCAACTGGCGGTGGTTGACAACTAAACTGTCAGTTCAAAAGTTGTGTGTTTATCATGTATGATATGATTAGGATTTAAGTAAACCGGTCTTCTGAAAATAGAAAGACCAGGGACTTTAAATATGATGGAGAAACCGTGCAAGTGGCTCCTGCAAGTCCCAGAAGATCAAACATGGGGCTGAAGAGCTCCCACCAGCTGGGCAGTTCGGGATCTATTTCTAGTCAAGTCTCTCATATGGCTGTGGGTCACCCCCAATGGGATCCCATTTTGGGGTAGGTGAATGCACCACCCATTTTAGAACCTAATTTAGTGTTCACTGGGGGCTATCCGGGCTTTTTGACCCATGGCCATATGGCTGTGGCTCAAAATTAAACAGGAGGGGCAGACCGCAGGTTTTGGTTTCCAGCGTTCCACTTCCCAGCGCAAGCCATTTTGGAATTCCGTTCAGATATGAACCACAGCCATAGTGAAGCACACAGTGAAGCAAATAACAAGATATATCTCTTATCAGCTTTGTGATAGAGTTATAGATCCAAGAGTCATGACTAACTGGGCCTAGCTCTAAGTTGCTTCTCGTTGCTTTGCATCGCAAGGTGGCTGGAAGCAGCTTCGAAGAGGTCTTTGCCCAGGATTTGAAGGCCGAGCTCTGTCGAAGCAGCAGCACTTTACTTTGCGGAGCGTTGGACAAAGGAAGTCTTTCCAGGGGGTACTTTCCAGGCGGAGCATTGAACATTGGACAATTTCTAAGGGTACTGTCCATTTCCATTCCTTCTTAAAACATCCGAATCTGTTCAGAATCAAAAAGCCAGGGGACACAGCCGGATTTTGAAAAGAACGATGGTTGAAAAGAAGGGGGAATCAACCCCTAGAGCCAAGTCCTTTGCCGATGCAACTGTAATGTAGATGTCGTGCAGATGCTCGAGCCTGCTTGCCAGCGTGATGCATGCTTCTGGAAGGTTCCGGTCAACCTCTTCACCACCAATATCACGGCTGATCCGCACTTCAGCCGTGCCGGCCTTGTGTTCAGACATCAATAAAAAGTATTGCAACGTTGAGAGTATGTCCAAAATCAAATTTGACCAGCAAATGAGGCAACGGCTACAGCCAGGGCCTGAGCAATGCCCTTTGTTGGTGTGCCCATGGCCACATGTTAATATGCTTGGTGCCCGCTTCGTTGCTTTGGTTTGTTTGCTCTGCTTTGTCCTGCTTTGCTCTGCTTGCTTTGGGTGCTCTGCTCTGCTTTGCTCTGCTTTGCTTTGCTTTGCTTGCTTGTTCGTTGCCTTTGCTTGGGGCACTCCGTGATGTGCGGCGCAGGATTATCAAAGTGCAACCATGTGCCACATTGTTTGTGGTGAAGCAATGACTTGGGGCCACAAACCAAACGACGACAAGTTAGTGGGGGGGCTGCACTAAATCCTCTATCAATGAATTGGGGGCACAAACAATATAGGCAATGGCACATGTAAATGAAACTCATGTAATTGCGCAAGCCTATCCATTGCGCGCGCTCATCTTTTGGGGCTGCAGCGGTTTGGTCGCCGATAGAGTCAGATGGAGCTCGAATCCAGCTTCTTCGTACAAGCTGCCCCCCCTTTGCACAGTGGTGTTTGTATTGTTTGTCGTAGTGTGAGTCTATAGCGCGTTTAACGCTGAAAGATGGCTCAAACATTGTTGCTACAAGGAGTGCCTTCCCTCCCTGTGTCTCTGTGTGTCTCTGTGTCGATTTGTGTCTCTTTGTTTCTATTTGCAAGCTACCAGTATCTCTCCGGGCGTCTCCGTGTCTGTGTGTGTGTAAGCGTGTCTCTGCGTGTCGTTGTGCATGTGGGTGTGTTGTGGTTGTGTGTCTGTGTGTGTGGTTGTGTGTTTGCAAGCTTATGTGTCGGTTTTGAAGTGTTTGTGTGTGCTTGTGTGTGTGTGTGCGTTTGTATGTCTGCACGAGTGTGTCTGTGTGCTTGTGCTTGTTTTGTTTCTGCGTGAGTTTGTGTTTATGTCACAATGTGGGTCAAAAATAGGTACCCAACATAGAACCCTAATGGAAACATGGACTATCACCTGCGGTTCCCTGGTGGTTTAATTTTGACCCATACCCATGTGGGTTTGAGTCTGCATTTGCGCCTGCGTTGGTGAAGCAGGAAACCAGCAGCCCCTGCTCTTGGCTGAGGGCTGGAAATGAAAGTTCTCTGCAGCGAGACGCAGAAGGCCGAATGGCAAGGTGTGTGTGTGTGTGTGCGCGTGTGTGTCTGAGCCGTGTTTATGTTCTACAACAACATGTTTTATAATCACAGAGGATTTTGTGAGTCTGTTTGAATCGGATTTTTGGCACATGACATAGATGCTGTTTGATTTTGGCACATGTGGCTTCTGCCGTTGTGCTTTTCAGAAATGGTGCCCCTGTTCTTCATCTCCAATACTTATAACTCTTTGAGCTGAGCTCATTTCATGACACATGTTGCAGACGCGGGTGATCAGCGGCCAAACATTGCTTTGCAATTCTTCAGACCACTGCAGATACATGTTTGTACTTTGTCCTTGCCGCAGCATGCACGTTTGTGTGCTTTAGCATTCCCGCTTCGCAGAGCAAGTAAAAAGCAGAGTGAGTGACAGTTCGTGATGGATCTTGAGCGTGCTGTGAACCGGGGGAAAAAATAGGGGACAAAAAGCGGGGGGAAAATGAAACGTTGTATGTGTGAATGTAAGGCATGATCCCAGTTGTTTTGGACCTATCAAATCAGCTGCAGCGCCGCAGGCGACTCCCCTGACATTCCATCATAGCGTGAGCTCTGCTGGACTGGCGGGCTTTGAGCCAGCCGAGCTCAGGCAGGACGGGTAAAGAGAGCACTCTGAGATGCAAACCCAGTTGCCCAGTGGTGCCCTTTTTTCCGCTTTTATTTTTGGAAGGGTTACCCTTTAAAGTGAACCAACCAAAAAAGGATGTCCTTTTTTCCCATGGCCGCTGGGCATCTGAGCAAAGCAAAGCACTGCCCTTGACACCAAATTGCACGAGCACAAGGTTGCTGAACGGTGGTTGTGTTCAGCACCAAATATCCACCTGTAAACGCGTCTACCCAAAGGTGTTGTAGCACCCAAGCTCCGACACTGTCGCTATAAAGAGATCAATCAAATACCAGACTAGCAAGGCCACAATACGGTGCTCAAAATCCCGACAGACACGTGTACTCTTGCGCGCGCACACATCAAAAACAACAAAACAAAAACAATCACACAAAAGTGCAACGATGTCGCGCAAGGCAAGGGAGCTTCCAGAGTTTTCTGGCACTCGTTCAGGGCCTTCTCCGACTGCGAGAAGAAGATGCACCAGTTGAATGGGCAAAGCACTCAGCGTCAGGTTGAACGAGATTTACAAGCAAAGCGTGAAGCAAGGGAGTTGTTTCAGGCAGTGTCCTTGTACAGAATGTTACAGATGGCCGTGGGTCACAACCCTGTACCCCCAGTGAACGGGACCCAATCCAACCACTAAAACTAAAATGGGTGGTGCACCAACCCCAAAATGGTACCAAAACGGTTTTGACCCACAGCCAGATGGTGATCAGCAATAGTACAGGCAGCTTGCAAGATGCCTCCATGGCCACTGTGCCTCAGGGGGCAATGTGGCCGTGAGTCAAAACCGTTTTGGTACCATTTTGGGGTAGGTGCACCACCCATTTTAGAACCTATTTTAGTGGTTGGATTGGGATGTTCACTGGGGGTACAGGGTTTTGACCCATAGCCATGTGAGATGCTTGTTGAGACAGTGTTTTCTGTCTTGACAGCCAGTGAGCAGCGTTTGTGTTCAGACGCAAGGTTTTAGCTTCTTTTGGAACTCCAAAAGGTCCACGAAGGCACTTGTGAGGCTCGCGAAGGCTAGCAGCCACTCCGCAAAGCCACTCCGTGAAGCAGTCTTGTCGCCAAGCCTCGCGAAGGCAACTCTTCCACATAGTCTCCCCCAGCTCAAGTGAGCAAGGAAGGCAAACGTTCCCAACAAGGCGGATGTAGCTTGCAAACTCCACGGCCATGGGAGAGACAAGGATGCCCAAGCTATCACAGCTCGAGTGATAGGGTATTGGCCAAGGTCCATCCACACCACTGACAAAGAGCAGTACCGCCTGGGCCTCAGCGACCAGCAAGACGCGCGATGAGAAGTTTCTCAATCGGCTTCCATTGACCAATGCTTGAAAACTCTGCCTTTGCATTGGAGTGTGAGTAGCATGTTGAAGTTCCGCACTGGCACCTGCATTAGACATTTCCTGAGAAAAAGTCCGGACGCTAACGAGTCTGAGGCACACCTAACACAGCCTCTAGGGGCGGTAGCCAGACTGCGGCTTTTCTGCTGGGCTCAGGCAACACGCTTGTCGCTGGAACAAGAATGGTGTTTCCGTTCGGCTTGTTTGTGTTTGGGGAAGGGGGAGATTCTGATATTGTGTTGTGTTGGCCGGTTCCTTGTACGAGTTACATGCAAGATACAATGTCTGTTCTTGGGCTTCATACCCGCAATCTGACGATTGCAGCAGGACAGATTATTGCTTCCCTTATTGCTTTTGGTGCTTTACAGCTACACACTCCTCGCACGTCTAACCAGACACAGCCTTGCAAATACTCCTCCTCCTGTGTGTTATGTTCGATTCCTGTAAGCGTTCTTGTTGCATATATGTGCCCTTCAAGGACTGTTGTTTGCTCAGAGCATGATAATGCACAGGGCTGCTCGGGAGCCATCAGAGGTGAACAAGGAGAACAGGCGGTCGTAGCTGACTTAGCAACCACGCAATGTCCTGGTCTGGGTGGCTAGAGGGTGCTCAGCATCAGCAGGACACAGGATGTCCGCATAATTTGGGGTTGTCAGTTGCGCGGGAAACACCACACTAAGAGTGATTTGGGTGTGGGTCAAAATTAAACAGCTGCGGTTACGCAGGTTTTAGTCTACCTTTCCATATACCAGGGTTTCATATTGGACCCCGATTTTTTAGCCACACCCGATTTTGGCTCACCGGCTAAGGTGAGACCCTTTGCCATACTTTCTGCAATGCCCAGGACCCAAGGGTTTAGTTGACAACCTTCGCGCGCGTGTCGTTTGTTTGAAAAGCTACGGGTCCTGCAGTGCAAAGCGGGAGACCTGCCAGACAAATTGTTCCTTCACCGGCTTGGCCCTATTTGCAGTAGATTGTTAGAGCACAGGTATTTAATCTCCGAGGATCAAGCTTCCACAGAACAGCGCAGTCACTGATGTTTGTGCCAGGAGAACTGTATTCCAGAGTGCCAAGACAGAGTACTGGGTCAGGGCCTTTGGAAAGGTTCGATCGCGCCTTTTTTGTTCGCAAGCTTGAAGTCTTCAAAGCTGACATGTGGGAACAGTGTGGAGCAGCTCTGATGTCGGGTGTAACTCTTTTTGCTTTGGGCAGTGTGTCACCAGCTTGTGGCATGTTTGCAGTATCATCATGGTCTTGGGTGTCATTGAGCTTTTGCGGGGTCAATAACTGCCGAGGCCTGCAGGTATTTCCAGACACGCTGGCACTGCAGGTGCTTGAGGAGGGATCAGGCCGCCTGATACGCAGATGGTTTCAGAAAGCAGGCTTGAAGCGCAAGGTGGGAAGTTGAGGGACATGCCAAGAAGTTGCCTCGGCCAGGCCTTCCACCGACAAATCGAACAAGCACCCACGAGCTTCATTTCATCTAGAAAATGAGTTCAAGATGCGCGCATGTGTGTGTGTGTGTGTTGGTGGGAGTGAAGGTGGGTGGGTGAGTGGGTGTTTTTGTGTGTCTGTGTGTGTGTGTGTGTGTGTTTGTGTGCATGTGTGCGTGTGTGTCCGATTTGAGCACAATAATTGAATAGAAACCACGACGTGCTCTGTGTGTGTGTATGCGTGGTGTGTTCAACGTGCTGTCATGCCAGGCAATAGTGATGTATTTGTTGCAGTAGAAACGAGTTGATAGCGTATGATGAAAGACACCTATGTGACATGACAAAGATAAGCTTCCTAGGCGTTATACCATGATGTACAATAAAGTGGAGTTTCAGAAGAGCCTACTCTATTTGCATCTATGTTCAGCACACCTCGAAGTAGTAAACAAGATGCAGAATATGCTATATGCTGAGTATTGAATTTGGGGTCACCGATCACGCCATTGAAGCCAAATATGATGGCGACTCCCCTGAATGCCAAGCCTTTTTGAGGACTTACGGTTGGGGTGGGTGCTCTGTTGCCCAGTGGTGCCCTTTGTTCCTTTTTTCGGTGTAAGGGTTCCCTTTTAAACTCAGCTAGCCAAAAAAAGTTGATGCCTTGTTTTTCAGAGAAATCCACTGGGCATCTGAGGCTGTGACCTCATTTTGTTTGGTGTCAGAGGCACCAGCTCGGAGGACTGCAGCCTGGCCCGAGCCCCCACGGTAAGTATTCCTCGGCCATGAGGGCAATCGGCTCACAAGCAGCACACTGGGCACACGTGTTTAGGTGCGTAGTCAAAAGCAGCTCAGTGTTTTTTTACTCTGGTTCTAGCAATAGTTGCTGATATGCTTTGAGACACACTAAAAGCTGACAAGATGTGACTTGCAGCCATGGTATGGCCGAGGCCGCCATTCCGAGCAGCAGTGCTTGCATTCAGGAATGTGTCGTAGTGAGAACAATTGACAATCCAACAAGTCCAATTCAATAGTCCTTTCTCCAACTAAACTTACGTGTCACACTCCGGTATGGCAAGGGCAAGCATTCAAGCAAAATGTGCGAGAAGGTGGCTTGGAGACACATGGGTATGGGTCAAATTAAACCACCAGGGGAACGCAGGTTTTAGTCCTTGGTTCCGTTTACCAGCGTTCCATTCTGGGTACCTATTTTTGACCCACAGCCACATTTGGTACTGCAAGCCAACCATGAGGCGAAGCAGGAACACATCTCCGTGGTGGCACGGCTGCGCCCATGTCCCAAGCCATCCTCAACGGTGCCTTGGCCGCATTTTGGATTCCGATTCTCGGGGGTCCAGCTGGTTTCTTCACAGGAGCTCCAGATTTTGTGTTGTAGGAAAAAGGGTTCTGAGTATTGAGTAATTCAAAGAAAGGTGTCTTTTGAGTTGCTGGAGGCAACATATGCTTCATACTTACTGACCACGGGACCAAAAGTCAGCTGCAGTTCCGGCAGCTTGGATTGCAAGGCCTTCCTGAACACCTAGAGACCGCCAACCGATTCGCAGATGCGTCAAAAAGAGCAACATATGTGTTCGCCGGTGATGCAAACAAATGGTGACAGTCCTGAATCATAATTCAATGTGCGAAGTTTGGACTGCTGCAACCCAAGAAGTTACACGAAGTGAGACAGTAAAAGCTCCCACATTTCATCATAGCGGCAATTGCTGGACAGTTCGGCATAGTTAGTTTACATTGCTTCATGTTGATCTGGTTTGGGTTGCAAAATGGACAGTGCGTCAAGCGGCATTTACCAACAGGCCGTGTGGACAGGACAGATGGCGAGAACGATTCTTGGCGAGATGTTAACATCAGGTTCCCCCTCCATTGGAGTTGCATTTGTGGAAGGTTTGACCAAAGCTGAAGGAAGGGGTCTTTGTGCGTTGACAGCATCAAAGAACATGCACGAGCTCACCAACTCCAAAGAGCTTCCGCATTTGAAGAACCAAGTTCAAATGGCTGAAGGGCATTGCCGGCTGAAACTTTGGCGAGCAGCAACATTCCAAAGTTAACTCCGGTAGCACATCTAGGTATTGGCTTCCGCTTTGTCACTGCTGCGGCAGCTTGCAGCAAGAAGCTTCCAACATACTGCGGCAACAAGAAGTGGAGTGGAGTGAGCTACACATTGCTGTCATATGCAATTGACGAGTTTCTTCTACAGGCAACCAGTACCAAACTCAACATACTACAGCAACAAGAAGTCTTGCCCACCACGGAGTAGTGCACAAACAAGCTCCATCAACTTTCCGCAGAGTTCAAGTCACGCACCAGCCATCGAACACAATGTATTAGAGCACGCACAAGCGAGCCCGCGATCCAGACATATCAAAGCGTCATGCTTGCCGGCATGTTGTTGCGCATGACCTTGGAAGTCGACCCCTGATACCGGAAAGATTCATGTGCGACAAATAACATGGCCAACAAAGTAGGCGCGCAAGGTTGTGAATACATGTTTTCGCGTATGGTTCTTTCTGCGCAAACGTGGCGGGGGTACTTCAGGTACGAGTCGCTGATAAGGAGCTGGTGGTGCAGGTGCCGCGAGGCTGGTCAAGAGCACGCGGGCTGATTGCAGCTCACAGTGTAGGAGATATTGTTGCTTTAGATGTGAGTGTGGGTCAAAATTAAACCACCGGGGGACCGCAGGTTTTAGTCCTTGGTTCCATTTACCAGGGTTCCATTTTGGGGTTACCCAATTTTTGACCTGCAGCGTGGGCTTCTCCCTCTGCCCCTCTGCTTTAAACGAGTGGGTCGACACGGTGCTTGTCCAGCTCGGTGGCCTGCCGGCCTTGCTAAACGATGTTGCTTGTCCCCCAGCGAAAGCACACAGGCAGTCATGGTCAATCTCCTGGCATCGTTTTGCAAACTGATGAATGGAGCCGACAAGCTGCGTCACGAATGGTGAGTTCTACTCATGCTGTTTGGGGTCAACGCTGGTGGAACTGTTGTTTGTTGCACTTGATTGTTCCTTGCGGAGTGTTTGCCAATGATTTCCATCGATTTCCATGTAGTCGCTTCCAAGGGCACCAGCGGTGGTTGCAGAGGTAGTGACACTATCAACAACCAGGTGGAGGAGTGCGCGAAAACGGCAGCAAGTGACTTCAACCGTCTGGATATGGCTGTGGTTGTCAAAGCCAACGGGATCCCATTTTGTGGGTAGGTGCACCATTAATTTTAGTCTATAGTGGGGATTGGGATGTTCACTGGGGTACGGGATTTTGACCCATGGCCATATTGGATCTCGAAAGCGCAGCAAGTCCTTTGAGCTGTTTGGAAGCATAGATGTCCCTTTTAGGTTAGTTTGATTAGAAATAGACCGCGCTGGTCAGATTGGTTTCATTCCATTTACCAGCGCCATCTATTTTGCCAAAAGGCCACCTATGTTTGGAAGAGTCTTCGTGTCACGCCATGGTTTGGCAGGTACAGTTTCCGCTTCGCTCGAGTCTTTGGACCAGATGCCGCGCAGCAGCAGGTCTTTGACTTCGTTGCGAAGGCGGGCGCCTTTGTGCTCCCTGGTTGTCCTGATCTGCGTGACATTCAGGACATGGTCCTGGGGGCCATGGATGGCGTCAACTGTTCCATCTTTGCTTATGGTCAGTGTGAGCCCCAGATGGGTGTGCTGGCTGATTTCATTTGGTAAATTTGTTCTGCAGCCACACCAGACGTTGGCCCGGGTTGCCCCGGGCATTCCATTTTGGGAACTCTGGCGAATGCTGAGACCTGGCAAGCTGCAAGTGCTGAGAGCACCTCAGGACTGGCAGTGGCAAGACTCACACCATATGCAGCGAGCTGAGTGAAGTGCAGGGCCAAATTTTGCGGATTTGGTCATCACTGCGGAAGTAGTCCGGCGTTTGCTCATCGCCTCCATTCAATGAAGCAGATTCTTGGATGGGGGAGCTGCTTTAGTTAATTGAAATTTGGCAAAGTCTGGTGTTGGCAGACATGGGCAGCCAGACACCGAAGGTGGCGACCACAAGGATCGAGGCATCATCCCGCGCTCTCTGAACTGCTTGTTTGACGCAATCGATGGCCAGATTCTTACACGTATGGACAGCACGCTCTGCTTGTCGAGTCAAGTTTGGCAGGGCTGCCAATGGCGTTCCTCCCAGGCCGACATGATGGAGTAGACTACAGTGTGTCCATGTCCTTCATTGAGGCTGGGGAACTTTCAGTGCCATCTTGCCAGTCGGGCATGAATCCACATTCAGTTGCACTCATCGCTGCTCAAGGTTTACAAGGAAGTTGGGTACGACTTGCTCTCCAAGGACATTATGCGTTGCAATCTACAGGTTATTTTGACAGCCAGCCTACGATCCAACAGGAAAGCCACCAGACGTTCAGAAAAGGCTTGATGGCACTTGTTGATCATAAATGTTTTTTCCAGACAATAGCGGCAGAGTCACAACAGCAGCTTCGTGCGTGGTGGGAAATGGTTCGACAAATTTCGGGAGGATCCTGCCAATCATTGCCATGACGTATTGCAAATCGGTCAGGCAATTGTGTTCCTGTCAGCTGGCAGTCATTGGGACAGCTACTGTTGATCACGAGGTTCGGACTTTGAAATGTTGGGTTTGAAGACATCCTGCCAAATGCACATTGGATTTTCCCCAAGGCTTGCTTGTTTGCAAGTCGACCCACACCAAGCATCCTTATTGTGGTGCCTTGGCTTGCTCCGCTGCTGCACACCGTCGAAGTCCTCCCAGGACTTCGGCCGCAACCAGGACTGACACCTAAGCCTCGCGGTCCGGCAGTCCGGCAGCCGACGTCTTTACGTCACTTCAGAGTGCTCTGGCCTCTTGCGACAACTGCCAGCTTCAACAGGGCTCCTTAAAAGAGATACATTTTGCCTTGCCATTTGAAACATGTTGCTTTTTTGTCCACCAAAATAAAGTTGGGAACCACCATTTACAAGGCACTGCTCAGGTGTATAATCCAAGGATCCCTGTTCAAGTCATTGAATCTATTATATTAGAATACTTGGGGGCCAAAAGTCGTTGGATTCAAAACATCGACGCAGCCAGAATCGCCTCGTGCCTCTTGCAGGAGAGCTGGCCGACGGTTTCGGTCTCTTTGCAGAGCGGTGAGGCGGTCCTGCAAGGCCCGCGCTGCAAGCAAGTCGGCTGCCAGCTGCATGCGAAGCCCTCGTTTCATTGTGTTCACTTTGGCCTCTGTTTTGGATGTTCCGTGTTTGGCGGTGTAAATCCACGCCCCTTCGTTTGTGCCGGGAGTGGAAGATTCCTATGAGCCAGGCGATATGTTCAGATTGCGCCGATGTTGCTATGACATGTAGCAATGCACGCAGATGTGGCTCAACAGTAGTCTTTGCTTTGAGGCGGCAAGATGCCGCAAGTGCCACTGAAACCTTACTTCCAAGTCATCAATTCCAAATCCCAACATGTGGCATTTCATGCTGTCTTCAGCAAAAACATGAGTCAGAAAGGATTCCCATGGTTTTGCATCCAGAGCTTGCTGTGGACTTGACAACTAATCATGGCGTCGAAACTGCAGCCTGTCAGTCTATTTTGCGAAGTGATGTGCATTCTCCAGTTTTCGGCTTTGGAGAGCCATGCAAGCCTAAGAGTGTGTACCAAAAACCCGCCGGACTAACATGGAAGCTCCCTCGTTGAAAGACATTGGTTCCATCAGCGGCCTTCTGGGAGCTTCCATGCTAGTCTGAGGGAGTGTACTCAGCCGGTGCAGTTGAGAGACCAAGGTATGAGATCACAGGCTTTAGCCAGCTTGCCACGACCTTAGAGCAACTCCAACTGTCGACGTCTTGTTCACAAAAGCGTTGACCACATCGTTTGTGGATTATACCCTGGGGTTCAAACCACCATTAAAACAATGGGGCTGTAATTCAACCACCATTGGTTTTCCTAAGGATTGTCATCATCCAAATTGGCTCAACCTTTCTTTTAATGGGGGTACCCTAGCGTATAGGCATCCTCACCGCATGCTTTTTGTTCTTGAGGACCCGGATGATGCAGCTGAGAAAGTTGGTATCCTCTTGGAGCAGCGCGGCTTTTGTGTCATCCCGGCAAACTTGGACTCGAGCGTCTTGGCAAGTAGAACTAAGTGGCTGTGGGTCAAAAATGGGTACCCAAAATGGAACCCTGGTAAATGGAACCCAGGGCTAAAACAGGCGGTCCCCTGGTGGTTTCATTTTGACCCACACCCAAGTGAGACACTTCGATCAAGGCCGAACGGGCACAGCGGAATTGGCGCATTGAGTTGGCTTGCCTCAAATGCGCAGACCAAGGCGTGGCTGAGATGGACATTCACTTGCTGAAAGACCTGGGATGCCTCCAGCGCACGCCAGAGGAGGCTTCCATGTGATGGGGGCATATTGGGGCCCTTTGATCTCGGCATTTTTGGCGCTAGGTTCTAGATGCCTACTTTGGGTCAGCTTCAACTTGGACCTACGAGCTGGAGCCGAGTGATGATGCGCCGGAGGCTCCAAGCGAGTCAACTTCTCTCACAGATGCTTCCCAGCCCCATGTTTTGGGATCGGCGTCCGTGAACTGCCAGGACTTCGCAGGCCTGTATGCGTTGGACAGCGAGTTGCAAGAGATCGGCTGCATTGTCTCAGAGCCCAGACCTCAGGTCATTCTGTCATATGGCCATGGGGCATAACCTATGGCTCCATTCTGGGGTGGATGAACATCCATGTACCACCTATTTCAGGGGTACAGGGTTTTGACCCACAGCCATATGCTTTGTCATGCGTCGAAGCAACTGCCAAGGGCTCAGATGTTCTCCCAGCGTGCGGTCAGCAGATCAGCCGGCCTCCTGCACTGTGACGAGATGTTCTTCGACGAGGAGCCAGAGGCTGGAACGATCTCGCAGCATTGAACCAGCGTGACGTGCTGTTCTCCGAGCATCGTTAGACCGGTAGGCAACTTTGGCAAATATCGATTGCGTTGCAAGGCTCATCTTCATTCTGGGATTCTGTCCCTCCCAATACATAGCATGAAATACTCTATTCTTGATGCTTGAAGAAGCTGGCGCAAGGAAGTGTTTGTTTGCCTGCGACAGGATGGTCCCAGGCTGTCTGATCCTTCAGAGGCACGCCTGCTCGGATTCGAGCGAAAGCGGAGCGAGCAACTTGCGCAGGCTGCGCCATACCTGGCACACTGCACTCAGAGGAAGGCTGGCTGGGGCTCCGAATGCCTGAAGTGCCCTCCCAGCTTTATAGTTGATGCTTGACGCCTGAATAAGACCAGTTCGGCGGATGTGTTGCCGAGCTATGGCAGAAATATAAGTTCTACGGTTCTCGGAGTTGTCTGTCTTGCACAGGTAGTGCTGCTTTTCGCCTTCCAAGATACTGATGTCACCTTGCAGCCCAGGCAGGGACGTCTTGAATATTCGTGCGAAGGTCGAGCATGGAGTCCTGCTTGCTAACATTTTGCGCGGCTTGGTTCCGCACAGTGTGGCGTGGTGATGCCTACTCATTGCAGGTCAGATCTGTCCGATGCCATTGATGTGGACATCCCGGCCGGTAGCATCCTTGTCTGCCTGCATGAGGCTGTGGTCCTTTCCGTGGCTAGATCAAGCAGCTCGGCTTAAGGCGTGATTGCCTTCGACGGAAGATTTATTTGGCACGTCACAGTGCAAGTCCGCTTGGCAAGTCGCAAACGACTGGGACAGCCTTTGACCACGCCACAAAACCGAGTACGTTGTTCTTCCAAGACCCACCGGGATCTTTTGTTTGATCAGTGTATTGGTTGATCTTCGGGAAACATCATCCCAGAGTGGAATGCTGCTGTTGCTGCCCTTGCATTCAGGCGTTGCGAAGATTCAGGAATGCCGGTAGAGTATAGATTCTCTCAGCCAGCGAGACTGCCCATCGAATTGCGTTGCAACCAAAGGTTTGCTGCTGCAGTTGGATCTGCTTCTAGAATGTGGTGGACAGCACAAGACCAAAGAGGACCCTTGCCGAAAAATGAAAGTCTGACTCATTCCAAAGTGAGCCTTATTGATGTTTTTCCAGGAGCTGCTGCCAGTGCCGAGCTCCTTGATGCGTCAGTGGCACGCCTAGCACCAGAGAGCATTGGCTAGCACCAGTGTCCAGGCTTATGTCACGCCATGCGACGAGGTATGCCAAGATGATTGAAAGTGTCAAGGAGCCGCTGTTTGAGACATAGTCAAAGATATTGTCCCGTCATGTTTATGGGGGGCAAGCCATCCCTGCTTGACTGGTTCGTGATTTTCGTTCGCGGCTATATGGTTTGTAAGAACTCAGATTCACCTGGTGTGTGTGTGTGTGTATGTGTGTGTTTGCTAGTCTTGTGGCCATGGGACAAGATCCAAATCGTACTCCCAGTGAACATCCCAATCCAAACACTAAAATAGGTACTAAAATGGGTGGTTAATTCACCTACCAACCAAAATGGGATCCCAAAAAAGTTTTGACAACAAATGCCTTGTGAGTTTCTGCAGGATTCCGCGCCCAGTGATGCGCCGATGCTGTCTTTGAAAGATGCGCTCCCTGGCCGGATTCAACTCAAGTGACCCGACCTGGGGACGGATGGCAAACCAAACGGTGCGTCGCTGCGTCAAGTGATTTCAGTGGAGAACCTGCTGTGTGGTGTCGTGCTTGTGTCCTGCTCCCACATTGACTGCTGAAGTCTCCAAATCCGCTGGTCTAAATTCTGAAGCGTTTGAGCCATTCCAACGGTTTGCTTGTAATTATCCACTGCCTCTTCATTGTTCTACGTGTGGCTGTGGTATTGAATGGCGGCAAGGGCAGGTGCGGTGCAGAATAAAGAATATGCCTCACCTGTACTTTGTGGCAACAGCGGAGAATGCAAGCTAGTGCAGCTGCTGCAAAACTTGCATGTGCTGCTGAGCAATCCGTCATGAGCACGTCACTGCCCAGCAGGCACTTGGACCGCTCGGAGGGTATTTCCATTGTGCCCCGGTTGCATCATGGTGAGGAGGAGAACGGGGGAGGAGGAACTGTGCCTGACACCCAATAGCTTGCCGTTGGGCAGGGCTCCTAAAAAGATACATTTTGCCCATTTGAAACATGGCTTTTTCCACCAAAATAAAGGGACACCACCATTTACAAGGCAATGTTCAGGTGTATAACGCAAGGATCCCTGTATTGGGGCTTGAGTCACACCTGCAAATCCCCTCGCTTTGAGGTCTCGCTTTTCACGGAGCTTCCTACGCTGCCACAGGACAACGGGCTTGGTGCAGCTGTCCAGGCAGACCTGCAGCTAGAATGTTGTGTATGTATAATCATAGAGGGTATGGGTCAAAATTAAACCACCAGAAAACCGCAGGTTGTAGTCCATGCTTCCATTTACCAGGGTTCCATTCTGGGTACCTAGTTTTGACCCACAGCCATATCATAATGGAATAACGGTTGTTGTTTTTTGCCGGTCACATAGGTGCTTGTCGTTCCCGAAGCCCTTGGGGCCACAAAAGTTAAAAACAAATGGTCATTCGGGCAAGTGATCGGCACTTCTGAAACTGTTTGCTGAATCATGTTTGTCATGATGCCCAAAATGTGCTTGTCTTCGGGCGCATGAGGCTGCTGTTTTTTTCTTGGCAAAACATGCTTTCACGGACTTCCAATGTTCGATCAAGCACCTATAAGACAATTTCCTGTGTTGAACAGATGGTGTTTATCTTCTTCTGTCTGTTCCGCAAGGCCTCACTGCTGGGTGGCTTGGACACCGTGCGGGAGGTGGTTCAGCCTCCCAAAACTGCGCGGCTAGGGGAGTCGCCGACGCCTGAGAATCAAGCGGAGGGGTGATGCGATGCACCAAAATTACCTTCCTGGCGAGATAGGGGTGATTGCCAGGTGTTGATCATGAGTAGGATCGATACAAAACCTGGAGATCAACACTGGTCAAAGAACACATTTCCCAACGGGTGCGTGATTTTTTGATGCCCTCAAAAACCGCTTGGCCCATGCTCTTTGGCTTGACTCTAGTCCTTTGTTCCCCCAGCCTTTTCAGGCTTCAAGCAGAGTGGAGATCCAGGGGTCCACTTTTTGACTACCCCAAGATAGATAAGATAGGCTTAAACCCAGAAGTTCCCCTTTTGGGGGTAATGGCCCATGGGTTTAAGTCTACCCTGGGGTAGTCAAAAAGTGGAACCCTTTGGAGATCAGTCTCACGAGGTTCCTGATTCTGATGCCAAGGCAGTATTTCGGTGCGAAATGGGACTTAGCCGAATATTTTGACGAAGATCCTCGCGGCGATGACTTCAAGGTCTACTCCAAACACTTGTCTGTGCTTTATCGCAGCACCTTGGCGCAAATATCTATGGACAATATGGGTATGGGTCAAAATTAAGCCACCAGAAAATCGCAGGTTGTAGTCCACGCTTCCACGTACCAGGGTTCCATTCTGGGTACCTATACCTATTTTCGACCCACAGCCATATGGTCAGCCGATGTGCATCAAGGCATGGAACTGGAACTAGGAGGCATGAATGCCAGCCTGACAGTGCCCAAGGCTATGATGTTGCAGGAGACTTCGACTACAGGCCTGGCACTTGAATCTTACAGGATGTCATAATGTTCAAGGATACACTGGTGCAAACCCAGCTCGCACACCATCTAGAATATGAACCAACGTGACAAGCCTGTTTGAGACGACATGAGTGAAAGGCTTGTACTGGTTTGGGTTGGTGTGATGGTACAGACAGTGAACACACACACGCATATGTGTTGCATATAAACAAAGCGAGCATCGCAAGCAACAGAGGCACCCACGCAGTCCATCCTTTTGAACACTTGCGACATATTTTGTTTTTGTTTGGTTCTGACAGGTACTTCGGCTTTGACAAAGCCGAGAGCTATGACCTGGACCAGCGCTGCCGACTGCTGTGCGAGGGAACGGAGCGAGCTTTGCATGAAGCTGGCCATTTGCCGAGTCTTGGCACCTGGGGGCCCTATTTTGGCGTCTCAAGGACGATTTTGTCCGGATGCGTCCAGCTTGCATCTCCGTTGCCAAGCCAAGGAAGTCCAGGGTCGCTCGATCCTGGGGCCTCTTTTCTGGCCTCTCTGGCCACAAGCTGAGCGTTTTTGGATGCTGAAGCTGCTCAGAGCGTGTCATACAGAATGAGAATCCTGGATGTGGGTATGGGTCAAAACAGAACCACCAGGGGACCGCAGGTTTTCGTCCATGGGCTTACCCTATGTTTGACCCACAGCCGTGTATCGAGGTGTGCGTGAGCTCCTGCCCGTGAGATCGATGCTGAAATCAAGCCCTGCAGCTATTCTTGGTCAGGCGGGCACGCGTCCGTCAAAATATTCTTGGGGTTGTTGAGCAAACCGGATGTGTTTGGTGTGCCCAACGAAGCTGATGGCCATGGGTTGCAGAACCTATGGCGATCCCATTTTGGGGTGGATGACACATCCATTTAAGCCACCGATTTTGAGGCTCACCACGGGTTTTGCCGAAGCAGAGGTATCAGAAGCCTTCGACTTCACAGGGCCAGTGATGGCGCTGGACACAGGCGCTCTCGGTGGCCTGCGCCAATCCTCGTGGCCGGTTTCCGGAATTGGAGAATGGATGTGGTGGTCAAAACCGGTGTGGTTGATCCCATTTTGGTTGGGAGGTGAATTCACCACCCATTTTAGTCGGGATGTTAGTGGGGATTGGGATGTTCACTGGGGGTACCATTTGGGGCATGGTTGTGCACTTCTCGACGGCTAGGGCTGAGCGGTTCGGGACCCCCGCGCAAACTGACACATGACACCCGAGCTCCAACACAATTTCTTCGTGCTGAGCCCAATACCCAGTGCCCAACCCCCAGGCACGTATCAACAGCCTGAGGCAAACAATTGAAGGACCGGACATCCCACATGCTAAGCTTTTTTCAGGAGAGGTCTTTGCTTGATGTGACCCCAAAGTGGATAATATGTACTTTTCCTGAGTTCGAAATGAGGGTTCGCATTGTTCCTCTATAGTCTCATAGTTGGTGAGTGCAAGTTGAGTGAGTAAGAGCAAGTATGTATAAGTTAGTGCGCGTAAGTTGAGTGAGTGAGAGTAAGTATGTGCAAGTTAGTGAGTGTAAGTCGAGTGAGCGAGAATAAGTATCGGCAAGTTGAGTGATGAGAGAGTTTGAAAGTCAGTGAGTGGCAAGTTGAGTGAGTCAAAGGTACTACGCCTGCCACGCAAAACAACCTCAGGATGCACAAAGGTACTGCGCCCGGGGTCCTTGCAGACCAGTCTAACTGGCTGTGGGTCAAAAATAGGTTCCCAAGATGGCTTACCCTGGTACGTGGAAACATGGACTAAAACCTTTCCGGTTTTCTGGTGGTTTCAGTGTGACCATGTTTGACCCATACCCATTGATTGCACATACACAACGCCCAAGTGGGATCCCAAAACGGTCTCATAGCTCGTGCAGAGTCCAAGTGACTCTCAGGGGACTCCTCGGGCTTGGTGGCCTCCCAGACTGCTGTGGAGCAGCTGCGCCGCAGCTGTGACGTGGCCCTAGTGCCGCCTGGCGGATTCGCTCGCGTGGGAAATGGATCCTTTCGTCTTAAGCTGCCGAATCCCGTCACCCGAATGATGAATAAGTCCGAAATGGATCTTTAGCAGTCTCAGGCTTCGATGTTTTTGGTGAATCCCTTCACCCTAGTGATGAATACTGACCCTGTGATGTTCCTCTGGGAGAAGTGCTTATGAATTGTGAACGTTCTGCGCTGCCCGCCTCGGCCAGTATCCTCTTGGTTGGCCTTGAAGAGTGAGTTAACCAGAGGTTGCAAAGTGGGCAGTTCTAATTCAGTTTTCGGACCCCCCTGGATTTTGGACAAAAAATAAACGTTCTGTTGGAGGAACCTTTCTTGGTAGGAGAAGCGATGAAACTAGAAGAACTATGCAAGCTCGAGAAAATGCTGCCGGGCAGATCCGGGCAGTCTGGCGGCCGCGCAAAGTGGGTGCCAAGATCTTAAAACTCAAGCGGAGGGTGGCGCTAGCCTTGTGGCACGGGGCTGCTGAAGCCAAGAACTGCATGGGAAGGGCATGGGGCTAGTGCCCGAAGCAGTTGTCTGGGCGGGGCAAGGTTGTGGGCGGGGCCGTGCCGTAGTCCAACGCCGCAGAGGGCGCAAGGGGTTAGCGGGCCGAGGCGAATAGGGTCAAGAGGGCCTCATTTCTCCAACCAATGGGGGTCCTTTCCTTTCGCAGGCTCACAAAACAGTCGGGAGTTTTTGTATTGTTTTTTTCCAGGAATGAAAGCCCAAAGCCCGCATCTTCGCGGCGAATTGCTTTCGTGTCGCGTAGGCATGTGGCTGAGAAGGTATGCTGCGTGGTAGGCGTGCGTAGGCGTCGGCAGTCGCGTAGGTGACAGCTTGACTGGTTGAGTTGTTATGTGACCCGTGTGTTTACGATAGGCGCCTGGTCAACTTGCTCTCGCTTAGGCATTTTTGCGGAAGTGGTCGCGTTTGCCACAGGCGTGGACTGCCCCACACGACCGCTGCCCATTTGTTTGCTCTGTCAACCAAAATGGAGAGCAGCAAATGAAACCAAATGGCAATGTCAAATATTCAACATGAATGCACACTTGAAATCGAATTGTTTGGCTGTGCCCCCAAATGCGACGACAGTTGGGAAACTTGTTGTTTAAGAATGAGTGTTGCTTGCCTAATTGTAATCTATTGTTGGCAGATGGCGGGTCTGGAAGAAGCCATGTATATCAATAGGTTGCATGTAGCAATAGGGGGAAGGGATCTCAAAAAGGATTGTTGCATTCCTGCAACTGGCACCTTGTGCCCTGACATGCCATTGATCTCGCCTTGGAGCCAAGTCATGTGCAAGCGATTGCTATAGCCAGATGTGCGCACTAAGGAGCTCCGCCAGCTGGATCTCCAGTCCACTAGAGCTGGCGCTGCACTGCGCCACAGGACCCGATTTGCCAATCCTTGAAAGGTCTGCGTCAGAAAGACGTGGGGCGGATGTGGTCAGATTGCTTGATCAGGAAGCGTGTCTCGAACTGGCCGCACCCGGACCTTCGACCAAAGCGCTGATGGCTTCACCCAGGGGGAAGGCACAAAGGGCACCATGCTGTCTCAGTCAACGTGGTGTCGTGAGATGTTAGGCATTGTCAGGCACTGTTCGGCATTGCTGGGCTGCGACGCAGATGGCCATGGGTCAAAATCCCGCACCCCCAGTGAACATCCCGATCCCCACTAAAATAGGTTCTAAAATGGGTGGTGAATTCACCTACCCCAAAATGGGATCCAAAACGGTTTTGACCCACAGCCAGATTGCTTCTTTCGCTTGCTCGCTGAGATCCTTGGCTGCCAGGGGTGGTGGTTGCCATGCTGCAAGCCTCTGGCGCCAGAGATGGCCGGGGCCACGTGGCACCTTGGCGACGAAAAAAAACACCTAACGGAACCCGAGGGACGCGTTTTTCCGCAAAATGGGCACCTGGTTCCGTGCTCTGTTAAGCCGAAAAGGGTAATTACCCTCAGGGAAAGGCGCATCTAGTTGGCTTCGAAACCTTGATACACAAGCAGCTGGAATGCAGCGGTCAGCTGAGGTGGGGACCGCAATGAACTCCCAAGGCTGGTCATGTGAGACATGTCGAGATACTGCAAGGACAAAATAACCGGGTTGTCTTGGGGCAATAGCTTATGGGCCGTGTTTCGCGTCCACCAATTTCAGAAGAAAAAAAGCAACAGTGGCAGTGCAGGATCAAAGCATGCATTCTTCGGCGTATTCATGTTTGCTGGATTGCCCCCAGAAGGCTTTGTGGTAGCTCAAAGCCAACAGGGTGTTTCAGGAGTTTGTCAAAAAGCACTGCAACTACAGCATATTATGATGCAGTACTGCACGAGGGTACTCGTACTGTGTAGCCGTGCGCGTGAGTTTGATTGAAGTAATCACCAGCAGATCCAATAGATCATCCACAAAGTCAGCGGCAAAAGGAAGCGAACTATGGACTGCGACATACTTTCTATACTGAACTTGAGTTGTTGCAGGCCGGGGAGCGAGTCTATCAGCGCCCTCGAGTGCTGCCATGCAGGAGGTGCTGGTCAAGGCGGGGTGCTGGCGGCTCTTTTTTGCAGGTGTTGTAATTGGTGTGGCGGCGGACGCGACAGTTTCAGATGTGATTTGTTTGGCAGGCAGAACGTGATGCCCGCGTTCCCTTTGTTGTTGTAGACGCTGTAGAGACTAGCTCCGTGGGATCTTCGCATCTTGGCTGCACGTGGCAGACTTGGTGTAAGGCTTAGCGAAGGTATGGCCCGCTTTTCCGCTCCAATAGCATCCGCTTGACTTTCCAGCAGTGAGTGAAACCGGACTCATGTGACTCAGACCGAGCCCTTGCCCAAGGAAAAAGACCCGCATACATTGGAATAGACCCTCTAGCCCCACTCCCAAGCATTTCTGATGTCACCCAAAAGGGACCATTTCTAGTGAGACTGAATTCCCGTGTGGGGCTTGGGGCAATTTGGGTATGGGTCAAAATCAATCCACTAGGGGGCCGCAGGGTTTGGCCCATGTTTCCACTAGGAGTCCATTTATTTTTGACCCACTGCCATTCGGATTTGGAGGCCTCCAGCGAGAGAGCCCTCCCATGGGTCCACGTTGGCTCAGGCGCACGGACGCCGTGGAGCTGGCGGTCTTGGGAGCGGCACTAAGGCACAAGGACCCCCAGCCGGTGATGGTGGGCTGCAGCAAGGCGGGCGCTTGGAAGCGGGCACGGGGTCGGAATACGCTTTGTGTTCAACACGCATCTTCTATAATAATATATATATACACACTTTTGTGGATGATTTGTATCTTAAAACTAGTGGGATATTCTGGATGCAAATCGATGCTTTTGGATGCTTTCGGGTATCCCAATACCCAGCTCAATCCTTTCCCTGGCAGCTGAGTTGTTGTGTTGTGCCTCATTCGAATTTGAGGGAATGGGCCCGAGTTCAAGTTTCCGAAGTTCATACGTCTTGCTCACTACGCGTTTTTTTCGCTTGAATCGCTTGAGACATGTGGGTGTGGGTCAAAAATGGGTACCCAAAAGGCCCAAAATGGGTTGCCCTGCAGTGCCCTGGTGGTCTAATTGGGTGTGGGTCAAAATTAATCCACCATGGGACTGCAGGTTTTAGTCCATGAATCCCCCTACCAGGGTTCCATTTTGGGAATATGTTTGATCCACGGCCATGTGTTCCAAGCGGCTGTTCTTGAAGCTTGAGCCATACTGCAGCTGATGGCGCCAGGCTTCCTTCAGCCACACGGGGCCTAGCAGCGGGCTGGCAAGCCTAGCCAAGGCCATCTTTCTGATGGCGCCCCGGCCTGCAATTTGGCAAAATGTGTGGCTGAATCTTGGAGCCGATCCCTCTCTTGCGGGCCACGGTTTTGTGTTTTCAGGAACTTGCAGAGAATGCTTCGCGCAATCGCGCTGATATTTGACTGCCGGCGTTGCAGGTTTGCTTGACTCGTTCAAACCCCTTTGATTTGAAGCACGTTGTTGTTGGCAACTGCTTAGTTTGAATGGCTTTGTAGCTTCCGAATCCATCGCAATCTTTTGTGAGCTTCAAAAAAATATATATGGTTGGATTCTTATGTTAGAAGCCTTCAAAGCTGCAACGCGACCAGCCCACGGCCGCTAGCATCTGAGGAGAAGAACTGCTTCGGGCCACAGCTCCATCTTTCACGGCTGCTGACGCTGGCAGCAGACCCCAAGAGGCAAGGGACTGCTATTGGCAAGGAACTGCTTCAAGCAACAGGACCAGCGTGGAGGTTGCAGGGGTAAAAAACAACGAAAGCATCGGTACTTCCAGCAACCAACATGTTCAAAATTGTCCAGGGCATTTTTGCTGTCATGTTCTTTCCTTGACGCTGCCTGTGCCAGGCTTCAGTTTTGCACGGAGGCCACGCAGGGCCTCGGGCACAAGCAGCTTGCGAGCGTCGCGGCGTTCAGCGCCTCAGGTAGCTCGGTGAAAAAAATGATGAGTGCTTTGGGGTAGCTGGCTGTGGGTCAAAACCGTTTTGGTACCATTTTGGGGTAGGTGCACCACCCATTTTTGTCTATTTTAGTGGGGATTGGGATGTTCACTGGGGCTAGCCGGGCTTTTGACCCATTGCCAGCTGACAAAGCGCTGAGCGTGTAGCTTGCAAAATTCTCAGTAAATTTAATTCCATAAAACTTGAGTGCACGAAACAGTGCCCACCCAGCAAGCACTAGCGCTCTGTCAAAACCTCCATGAGGGCCCTTGTCGATCAAACATGCGGTGCATGAAATACAGGTGAAAACAGAAAGATTCCGCAGTGCATTATCTCAGTCTCCAGCATGTCGCAGTTGCCATGGACATATGAGCATGCCGTGAGTGCTTTGACTATTCTGCCAAAGGAAGCAATTGTCAGCAGCTGATCAGCGTGAATCCGCGGCAGAAGGCTGGTGCCGCAGGATGGAAATCACAGCATTCATGACTGAAAATTGTGGAAAGAGCACGCGCATGAGAGCTATGCTGTGAGCCGCAGTCAGTTCTGGCTGCCAATGCAGAGTTTCATTGCAGTTGCACCAGGTTCGCAGCCCAGCATTGTGTGTGAGCGTGGCAGGGAATACCGCAGAAAGCACACCAACTTAGCTGGTGGCCGACACAAGTGAAGAAGAAGGACCCTGTCAACAGTGAAGCAATGTTGATTGCATATTGCTCAGTGCAGGCATACCTTTTGCTCAATGCAGAGACTCCCTGGAAGCATGCTTGTTTTGCAGCAGTTCTGTAGGATGTCTTGGTTCCCATCACTGGGTACTATCTGGCGTGCAGCCTGTCCGCCTGGCAAGAGGCTATTCCGCTCAATCGTGACGAGGAGAGCGCGACGGGCCAAGAGACTTTGAAATAACGAGGCTCATCCTGTGCAAGAGCCATGGCCGGGGCTGTTTCTGGCACTACATGTTTTCCACAAAGCTGTAAGCAGTGCAGAATGCCTGGCTCCCGCATGTTTCGGCTGCAACTCTACTGGATAGAACCGGACATTTCCTCACATTGGCCTGGAGGACGAACCTGGCAGCTTCTCTTGTGTACTCCAGCTGCGCGATGATGGCAGGTGCCCCAGGTTGATTCAGTCATTTACAGGATGCGCCACAATGTGTGTGTGTGTGTGTGTGCGTGCGTGCGTGCGTGCGTGCGTGCGTGCGTGCGTGCGTGCGTGCGTGCGTGCGTGCGTGCGTGCGTGCGTGCGTGCGTGCGTGCGTGCGTGCGTGCGTGCGTGCGTGCGTGCGTGCGTGCGTGTGTGTGTGTGTGTGTGTGTGTGTGTGTGTGTGTGTGTGTGTGTGTGTGTGTGTGTGTGTGTGTGTGTGTGTGTGTGTGTGTGTGTGTGTGTGTGTGTGTGTGTGTGTGTGTGTGTGTGTGTGTGTGTGTGTGTGTGTGTGTGTGTGTGTGTGTGTGTGTGTGTGTGTGTGTGTGTGTGTGTGTGTGTGTGTGTGTGTGTGTGTGTGTGTGTGTGTGTGTGTGTGTGTGTGTGTGTGTGTGTGTGTGTGTGTGTGTGTGTGTGTGTGTGTGTGTGTGTGTGTGTGTGTGTGTGTGTGTGTGTGTGTGTGTGTTTGTGTCTGTATGTGTTTGTGTCAATCTGCTTTGATGATGTTGTCCTTGTTGGGGTTGACCCTTCAGCATCTAAAAGGTTGTTCTTGCAAACCTCTTTTACTGATGTAGTCTCCTTTCTATATACATGGTTTCTCTCGTCTCAGGCAAGGAGAATTTCCAGATATGGCTCGATGAAGATCCTGACAAAGCGTGGGTCTTAAGAACTTGAACTGCCAGAAGGAATCGAAGCATTTTGTCTTGTACCCAGGGCTCCACTTTTTGACTACCCCACGATAGACTTAAACCCAGGGGTGGTTGATGTCCCCCAAAGGGAAGCGCCTGGGTTAAGTCTATCTTGGGGTAGTCAAAAAGTGGAACCCTGATTGTACCTATGAGAATCTCCGAAGCTCACCCTTTCCGCAGCCAGGTGCTACACCCACCTCGTGACAATGATATCTCGGAGTCATTGGTGTTGGGGCCAGCAGCCAACGTTGACAGGTCGGCCTGAGACGCTTACACCATGCCAATCAGTCTCTTGTAGGCTAAGTCGTGAGTTGAGAAACCTGCGTTGGATCTGGCCGCGGGTCAAAACCAATGGTACCATTTTGGGGTAGGTGCACCACCCGTTTTAGACTCCTTTAGTGGCCATTGGGATGTTCACTGGGGGTACGGGGTTTTGACCCATGGCCATCTGCTTCACGGCGTTTTTCGGTTTCGCCAAAAAGCAGGTCTCGGAGTTGGAGGGTGGCTGGCACTGCGGGCGAGCACTACAAGATCAGGCACTGTGCTTGCGTGGACAAATTGATTTTTAATCATCAGTCTGCCGTGATGGTATTGCTATGAATTGCAGTGATGGCCTTTGAAGAACGCTCTGACCATTTTGTTGTTCATAGATTTCATAGTCAATCTGCAGTGGTCTGTTGCGTATTGCAGAGATGGCCTGAGAAGGGTTTCCTCTTTCCGCCGCACGTAGGGCTTATGTGCAACATCCCCCGGTTTCGGTTGACCCGGTTGACGCTGGGCTCGATCCATCGATCCATCGAGCCGGTCACAGTCAGATGGCCTGGCAGGTTGCAGGTGAATGGCCGGTATCGGCGTGTGGGCTGGGAGAAGGCCGAGCGGATTTCTCATTTAGCGCTCCGCAGCCGATGTCTGTGCAAGACACGAGCTGTGATTTTGTTGACCTGTGTTTGACGTTTTGATTGTTGATGCTTTTGATTTTGATTTGATTTTTCTCAAGCTGTCGCGAGGTGGATGGCGTTGTGGGAAAGTCCAGCCGCGTCAGCTACAGCAGCTTCTACAATGGGCACGGCGGGGTCAGCTTTCGGTTTTGTAATATGTCTCATTCGAGCTTAGGAGATGTGTGTGTTTGCATTCTTGGTCACGGTTGCTTGTGTCCGAGTCGCGATAGGCGTGGATGCAAAGTGACAGTGATCTGGTCAAGGTCAAATGATGAAAACACTTCATCTTCCCTGGCCAAGGCATCATAGGCGACCACAGCTTCTGGCTTTTCCAAGCCATGCGCAGCAACTCTGGCGTTTTCGACTGCGAGGTCAAGCTTCTCAAGGAGCGGGACAGTACTAGCAGAGGTTCAAGGGCTAGTTGGTTGCTATTCTGCCTGCTTGTGAAGTTTCATCCACTTGCAGCCTTTCGCCTACATTGATGCTTCAATACAGTGGCGCTTCAATGTGAAGCAGAGAGCCTTGTACAGCGAGTCGGGCTGCAGAACAAGCCATGTCGAATTGTCAATGGCTTAGTGCATTCCAAAGCAGGGTGACTTGGCTTGCACTCAACGTGCCTTGGCCACCGGGGGAGTTGCTCCGTTGTTTGCAAGGAGACCAGCAATTTCCAGATCTACCGAGACGCAGACTTTCAGCATGGCTTCTATCCAGCTGCAGCCCAAGTCTCAAAGCCCAAGTCTCGGTTTCACCCAAAAGCCGTGCTGTGGATCGGTGGCCTTGCAGGCAGCGGGCGCCAAGCCTACGCTTCGTCCCTTGGCGTTTTAGCTTGCCTTCTGGGGCCATGGTTCCTTTTTTCCTTTTGGCGGTGCAGCTTATTTGGCTCGACACGCAGGCCGTCGGGTTAGAATGCTCTGAGAAACAGCAGGTGTCACGTTGCGTCTAAGATCATTGGATCTAGATACGTAGGCGGACGTAATTTGTTGGTCATACAACCTCAAAAAGGTGCTCCGCGCATTTCGCTTGCATATTCCAATGCGATATTGTTGGTCATGGAACCTTGCAATACGCGCCCGACACTTCCTTGATTTCAGCATGCTGCGCGAGTTATTGTGGACCCTCGGATTTTCAACTTGAACCAGACAGCTTTTGCTCCAGATGGCAAGCTTTGAACGCCAGTCATCTAGTGAGACCTTGGCTACTGTACTGTGTCCCAGTTTGTGCAATGCAAATACAAAGTCTGTGCCTGACAAACCTTGAGATCAACATGACTCCAACAAACATGATAATGCCGAAGACGCTTTTGAGCAACCGCAACGCACCCGTAGAGAAGCGAGGAAACGGACATTTGCCTATCCACATCCCAAGAAGCCCCATTTGCTTTGGCTGAGCCGGAAGAAAGTGCAGACTCTTTGAACCAGCCTCGATGCCGTGGTTGTTAGCAAAAGCAAGAAACGCTGGGAAAGTGAAGTCCGCAGAAAGCCTTCGGCTTTAACAATTCAAAGGTCGGCCATTCATTCAAGACCCAAGATCCCCCCTACCCTTTGCCGCTTTGCCCAGATTTGGGAGACGCAGAGCCCCAGATGCTCTTCAACCGTGAGGCCTGATTCCCGCTGTTTGCAGAGATAGGAGGGCCGTTGACTTGGAAAATACGGCGAAGCGCGGCTCGGTTGTGCCCATTCGAGGACATTCTGGGCCCAGATGAGCAGGGCCATGGCCACAACTTCCAAATCAGTGGCAAAGTGGGTGATGTGTTCCGTCCCTTGGCATTTCAATTGGCACCACTTCGCTGGTCCTTGAATTGCCTTAACTTTCTGGAGCATTTTCTTCCAGCTCAGGAGTTGTCTTCCAGCCGCTGCTCGGCTTTTTCTGTCGAGAGGCTTCAGCGTTTCAGCTCGTTGGTCGCGCCTGAGGAGTCACTCCGAGTGCTTGAGCTGGCAGCGTATTGACTGGCAGCCGGTGGACTTCCAGGCGTGACGTGCCGGACGAGCCGTGAGACGACTGGCCACATCTGAGCCACGTCCTCAAAACCCGGGTAAGTGAAGGTTAGTAAGGGAAAGACCCAGCCAGAATTTTTTGAAAGGCCTCCTTTCTAGTTCTTTGCATGGTTCTGGGTGAAGCATTTGTGCACCGGGTTTTGATTATGACTCATCTGGCCACATTTGGCCACATTTGTGAGGCCCTGGCGAAGTCGCACTGCTACTCTGTGGTGGGCTCTTGGGACAACTTCCAGCAGTGCCAGGCGAAATGAGCCGAGTCAAAAATCAAAGGCAGTGGAAGTCTGAAGTTGTTTAGGTAGGTCATGGCATCCCCAGGCTAGGCAGGAAGGCAACACACGTACAGTTTGCAAGGAGATGGCAAGAGATGAAGCTGGAAACTGGTCGACAGAAGTTGCTCGACCGATGCATTGGAGTTTCAGCTCTGGCTGTGAGTGTGATATGTGGGGCTGATTTGTACTCAGATGGGCAGGTTTGGCATCTGACTTTTGAGAATCAAGGTGCAAATCGGCAAGAGCGGCAAGGAGCTTTTCCAGGTCCTCCTGAATGGCCGCTTATCTTGCACACTGACCATAATGTGTATAATATTTATACACATGTGGCAGCTCCAAATATCCAGTAGTTGGTTGTCAATTTGGGATTGACATAGGAGACTCACTATGTGTTTGAATATCCATTCGGGGGATTTGTCCATGTGCTTCGAGGTTTATGTTGGCCTTAAATAGAACACATACAATATGAGTGTCCATCCTGTCCCCACAAAGGGTGCAATTGGTTGCGTCAAGACGCAGTTGTTGGCCTGCATGCAATAGAACAACGGACCTGAGGCAACTGGCTCTCGTCTGTACATCCAGTTGCACCGTTCGCCTCACTCGACGATGAGCTGGAAGGGCCAGATGATGCTGGCCATGATAGGTATTGGTGCATAGGCCTGGTACAATGGAGCTAAAGCAATCCGTTGGAAGCACTCAGAAATTCATACAACATGTGTCTGATTGCATCTTACTTTTTGAGAGTATTACTTTCATCCACAAACACGCTGGTGTTTGGTGCTGACCTGGACGGGAATCATTGATAAATTATTCACTGCTAAATGAGCTTTGGCTTGCGTCACATGACAGGTAGCACCTCGGAGACCGATGGGATCTTTCTCGGTTTAGAGTAGCACAAATAGACTATACAGTGTGTATTTGCCAAAGCAGATGTCCGCTTCTTGAGCTAGGCAGGTACACAAAACCAAAGACACATTGGGTGAAGCGCGGACACAGGCATAGAACCACGCAGCCCTAGAGATCATTCGTTTCAAGAGTACGCTCCGCAGGCTCTGGAAATGATCACTTCGAGCATGGTGATACAGCTGCTGGACGGCATGCAGTGCCCCACAAAGCTGTGGGCGTGTGTTTTTGAGGATGCCATGTTGAAGGCTGTCTTCAAGATAACCAAAAGGGAAACACCCATGCCGGAGACCCATGTAAAACCAATTCCTGTGCGATGTGGGTGTAGTTCAGCGCTGCGCTTGCAAAGGCCAACCAAGGATGTGTTTCACAATAGTCGGCCATTGCGAGCGATGGGAATGATAAACCTGACAAAGATGGCCGTATTTCCAGCTGTGTGGTATTCGTATGCTTTGTTTGCTTGCCTGTACTGCGCTGCACTTGATAATCAGTGTGCCCACGTGTCCATTGATGTCCTTGACCCTCCTTGTCCTAAAAGACCAAAATACGTAACAAGGCTTGCTCGCAATGAAGAGTCATCAGCCACTGTCACAACACATCCTGTGCGAGTGTGTGTGTGTGTATATGTGTTTGTGTGTGCTTCGTGTGTTTGTGTGCTTGTCTGCTTGATTGCGTGTGTGCTTGCGTGTCTATGTGCTTGTGTGTTTGCGTGCTTGTTTGTTTGTGTGTTTGTGTGTGTGTGCGTGTGTGTGCGTGTCTGTCTGTGTCTGTCTGTGTCTGTCTGTGTCTGTCTGTGTCTGTTTGTGTCTGTCTGTCTCTGTCTGTGTCTGTGTCTGTGTCTGTGTTTGTGTGTGTGTTTGTGTGTATGTGTGTGCGTGTTTGTGTGTGTGTGTTTGTGTGTGTGTGTGTGTTTGTGTGTGTGTTTGTGTGTGTTTGTGTGTGTGTGTGTTTGTGTGAGTGAGTGAGTGAGTGAGTGAGTGAGTGAGTGAGTGAGTGAGTGAGTGAGTGAGTGAGTGAGTGAGTGAGTGAGTGAGTGTGTGTGTGTGTGCGTGTGTGTCCGTGTCTGTGTGTGTGTGTGTGTGTCTGTGTGTGTATCTGTGTGTGTGTGTGTGTCTGTGTGTGTGTGTTTGTGTGTGTGTGTGTGTCGGTGTGTCTCTGTGTGTTTGTGTGTGTGTGTGTCTTTGCCACTATTAGGTTCCTTCATTAAGGAGTATGTCGTATTCCCTCAATATTGTTTACTTTGGCTTGTACCACTTCCCTCATACTGCACTGCTGCAAGATACTCACCTCTTCATGCAAGCTATTCGCTCCTTACATACTACTTAATATTAGCTGAACTTCTGAACACTGAAACTACTTGATTCTTGAGCACTACTAGTGAAATGAAGGCAGCATCCTCGTACTCAACTCTAATTGAACAGCGCCATAAACCCTGACAATACAAAAAAGTAAAGGGGGGTGTCCTATAGAACCCCGCGAAAGCCAAAACGCAGGCCGCGAAAGCTTGCGAACACTTATCGCGAAAGTGCTTAAAGAAGGTCCCGCCGCAAAAGCCCCGCGAAAGCCTGCGTGTTGATGATGAGCGGGAGTTGTTTTACATAGTCTTACATTTGGGGGTGCACTGCCGTTTGTGGAACTCCCTTTTAACAGAAAGGCGAAAGGCCATCGCACTGCCCTGAGCGTCAAAAGGAACCTGCAGCTTTTGAGGTCATGCAGAGCAGAGATTGTGACAGTGGGTCGCGAAAGCGGCGCGAAAGCAGTTCTAAAGAAACCGAAGCCCGCGAAAGCAACATGTGGGGTCGCGAAAGCGTTCGCGAAAGCAAGTTCATAGTACCGCTTTTTACACGAGTATTCGGCACGTCTCCATGCCCTTCTATTGAATACAACCTGAATGGTACAAAAGCTGAATACTACTTGCTTCTTCCTGAATAGTACTTCCCTTTAGCTGAGTACTACTTGCATGTGAGCTGTGACAACCCAACCTCCGGCCATGCTGACCTCTGGAATAAGGATAGGCCCCTTGCAGTTGTTTATATATCAGAAGTCGGCGTTGCACCCTGTGCAAAAATATGTCCATTTGTTCACTGGAATGAGTGCACAAGAGTGCTTCGAATTGGCAACATCATCCTGGACCGCGTATTAACGTGACAGCTACAATGTACCAACTTGCACGTACAAAAGTGCTTCTGATGTTCGAGAGAAACCTGACGCTTCATATCTAAAACATACCGATTCCAAAGCACACTGGCAGGTTCAGAATGGCCACAGCAAAGTACCGGGCAGCCCGTTTGAAACCAGGTGTAAGAAAGACCACATGAACAGTCTGAAAGAAAATCGTCAAGGTTCAGCGTGGAGTCAGCGCCAGAAAAACCAGTCCCAGGTCAAGCCCCAAGAAATGCAGAAGACAAAATGCTTCCAAGGCATAAACACAGGCTCATCTTCAGCCGTACGTAGTGAGGGGTGACTTTGTTTACCACCGGAATTGCTGCGGTCTCAATTCCCAAATCGACAATGTCTCTAGCACCATGGAAACCAGGCAGAGATCCATCTCACGATGAAGGACGGCATGCCTCAGAAGGTTTGGTGGCAGAAGTGGCTTGCCTGAATGCCTTGCTTTCGATGAATCCGTCCGAGCGGCAAATCCTGGCCTCGGTTGGCAGTTGGGTTGTTGTTGAGCGTTACGATCTCCTGCAACCGTAAAAAACGCGAATATAATACAAGACCCTTGCCAAGGCATCACTAAGAACGTGCCTGGTTGAGTTGCCGCATACCCCTGTTTTGTTTCTTCTTCTTTTGTCTTCTTTCCCCCCCCCCCCCCCGTTTTTTTCAGCTCAGCGCTACATCCCCACGGTCCTGGAGGTGGAAATCACAAGCTCTGTTCGGGAGAGAGTTCAGCTTTTAAATCTCAAGGTTCCAAGAGTTGGGGAGAGTTTCAACTTTGTAGGGCAATCAAATCTTCAAAATTTCAATTGCAGGGTAGGCCTTTCAACAAGGTTGGTTCCAAATCTGCTTCTACATCCTCCCGACGTCCAGCCGAGCCTCAAATCCCCAGGTCCCAGTCCGTGCGAGCCCACGAGCGCTCTGTGGCTGCTGGATTGCGTCGGACCTTGGAGAGGCATCGGGCTGTTGGAATTGTTGAACTCATCGCAACACCAGACGTTCTCCAATTCTGTGTGTTTGTTTACCATTCTCAAAACGGGACACATTTGACAGATTGAAGAGATTGCACATGATGCCCATGCTGTCATGCTGTCACTAACCATTTCCTGTTGCCTGCCCCCTGTTTGCAGACACCCAGGTTCTGAGGCGAGCTTAGACTGCTGAGCATGTTGGAGATCACGGTGTGAATCATGGGACCCGAGCAGAGGGTTTCACTTGGAGCCTCTGAATTCTTGGCCAGGCACTTGCAGGTCAATGGCCTGGTGCCCTTCGACCCTGCTACTCAAAAGTCTGCGCAGCCTGGCTTGGCAGATTTGGGTTTCACGGTTCCAAACTTGAAGATGCTTTCTGTCGGTCCTGCTGACAAGCATGACATGTACATGGTTTAAAACAATGGAATCCCATTTTGGGGTAGGTGCACCACCCATTTTAGAACCTATTTCAGTGGGGATTGGGATGTTCACTGGGGGTACGGAGTTATGACCCATGGCCAATGTGTACATGCGTGTCATGGATCCGTGTTTTGCGTTCCAGGCATGGCACAGAAATTCGCCGAGGCACTTTGTGAAGGCCCCAGAGTGGTACAACGATGGCCGACGAAAGGAGGCGACTCGCTGCCGTCGCCCTCTAATGTTGGTTTGTCGAACAGGCCAACTGAGACACTTGGCGCTTTCCAAGTGAGTCACAATCAAAATCCGGGTAAATGAAGGTTAGAAAGGGACAATCCCAACCATAATGAGCTGCGGCCTTCTTCTTTATCCTTTACATGGTTCTGGGTTCACCTTTTTTGTACCGGGTTTTGATCACGACTCAAGTGGTGTTTTGAAGATCCTCTATCAGAAAGCATACACGGTTACACGTGATTTAGACCCACTTTGCGACCCGTTTGTTTGCATGGGGCGCAGGCAAGCATTCCCACCCAGCACCTCATCAACGAATGCCAGGACAAGTGTGGCTGCTCGTTTCCATTTCACAGCAGAAGCAGCATGACACACGTCACAGTGTCACAATGTGTTTCAATGCTTTTCCTTCCCACCGGCTGCAGGCAAGCAACAAGTATTCATAGAGCTTGCAAAATGCAAAGGGGCATTGTGGATTAATTGATTTGCAAGCTCAAAGGTCGTAGGCACCCGATGCTCCCCATACCTGCAACTGGAGGAGCGTATTTGGCAGAGGCAGAAGATGATGAAGGAGGAGCCTTGAGTGGTGAACAACTCAAGAATGCAGTCAGGCTTTGAGTACATTTGTCGTGTGCATCGGCATTCCTCTTTGGGGGGTCTATCTCGGCAGTCCGACCCCCCGGAGAATACATTCTTGGAGAGCAGGCTTCGGTGGGATCCTAGGAGGGACCAGATGCTGTGCTGCGTCAGCTGCGAGAGCGGGCATAGGCAGGGCTTGCGATCTGATCTGGCGAGAGCGGCATAGGCAACTACTGCCTGCCGCCAGTTCACTGTAGAGTGCAGCTTGCTTTTAGCATCACGCAAACTGTTCGCTGCGTGCACATGTTGTTCCCTTTTTCCTCCGAGCCTCATGGTTATGCCTGAGCAAGTCTTGCTGGACATGTTGCTCATGTCGGCGCAGACAAGGATCTTTCAATTATGGGCAAAGCATGTCAGCAATCATTATTTTGGCCCTTACTTCTGTTGTGTAAGCTGTACCGGGAGCCTCAAGGCCCGATCTCGAATGGACCTGTCTTCTGGCTGCCAGGTGCAAGCTTGCAGCCAGGGGCAGTTCCCATCAGGCAGGCTGCTGAACAATGTCGCGTAAATGAACGGGCAGCCGTGTCCAGCTTTTTGCGCTGGAAGAAGGCTGTGTTGCAGGATGGCAAAGTGTTCCTGTGAAAAAGAAAAAACAAAAAACGTCTCATATCCGGGCACGCGAAGGCGAAGAAGATCAAAGCTTGTCCAGAACCGACACCTAATTGGCCATGCCGGTTGCAAATCCCTGCTTGCCAACGAAGGCAACAAGGTTATCCTGAAAATCATGACAGCACAAGCACACACCAGAATGACAGCTCATTGTGGCCAAGCAAGCAATTCGAGAGGCGCGGTTCTTGAATTGTCAAACAAGTCTGCAAGAAGTTGTATGTTGTGCCTAGCTGTCTTGAAGCTTGCATGTCACTTGAATTCAGAGTGCAGGAGCTAGACGTTTGGTCGTAGGGCAAACACACCCCACCTTCTGCGAGCTTGTTTGTGGCGACGCTACTGTGGGTCTCTGCATTAATGGAATGGATGCCAAATGCCCAAATGCCCTCTTGCACTCTGACGTCGGATAATAGCGCTCGTTTTTTTGCGCTCTCCCAGTCGTGCAGCAAGCGCATGGGTGGCGCACATCGAGCATGGAGCAAGCACCAGGGCACATGTGTCCGCGGCGTTTGGAATAAGTAATTTGAGTGCCTCAGCAGTCAAGGGGATGTTGCCTTTGTCCCAACTCTGTGCCTGCAGGAAACTCTGAGTTGAACGAGGATCCAGCATTGATGTCCAAACCCGTGTCAGTTTGAATTGCTGTTTTGCCTCTCGGAGTCTCCAATGCGCAGATGTCCATCTATGAGTCGCTGCCAAGCAGCTGTTTTAGCTGAGGCATCATGTTTTTGTCGGTAGAACACTGAGTGGATTGCTAGCAAGGATACGAGTTTGACAAGAGTTTGCTGTGCACCTAACAAGCCAGTGTGATTAGTCTGTGCGATGTTCAGGGATCTACCGGCATGGTCTGGTGTCATGGGCAAACACCAGGAATGATGCATGCAAGATTGAGCTGGATGCTCTGGCACGTGTCAGAGCTCAGAGGAATCTCAGAGATCAGAATGGCACACGTAACGAATCTTTGGTGCGTCTTGCTTGGATGTTAGGACTTGAACTTTTTGCCAACTAACGGGTTTTCCACTAAACCACTAAAAGCTAAACTTTTAACAGGGGAGCAGAAAGCACACGTCACGAATCATGGCAGTTCCAGAGCTCCAGCTCCGGCCGAATTTTAAGGAGCCACTGAGCCCGCAGCTTCATCGAGGCGGCTCTCCGCTGGAAAATCAGCTCATCCAATGAAAGTCCCTAGGAGCTCCGACGGCCAAAAAAGCATTGACGGCAGTTTGAGGAAACACCAGCAAGCTTAGGCCATTGGCTACAAGGCTCAGGACGTTCATGTTGGATAAGTTCTGTGTGCCTTAGATTCAATAGCGCACCGGTGAACATCTCACCCAGGAACAGCACAGTGTGGGCGAGAATAGGCGAGTCAAATGCAAGGCTCTTGCTCCAGAGCCGCTCGTCTGCCATTTGCCGCCGTTTGCCGACAGATTCTGCTCCCAAAAGCTGCTCGTGCCGGGAAGCTGCTGACGGGCAACCTTGTGCCTTGCCACTGTCCACCACCTCAAGCCCTCAAGCAAACTTGCTGGCTTTTGCGTGGGTTCGGAGGGGCTATGACTGGCATCCAAAGGCTTTTGAGACGAGCAGGTGCCAAGCGTGTGGCAATTGCCAACGAGGACGGCGAACGTGCGCCAAAGTGCAGCGAGGGCAATGGAAGCAAAGCTGGCGCAGGACGAGGGCCTTCACCAGTATTTCCTTGGCGCCTGAAGCCTACTTTGGCCTAGATGGTCTTTGTATGTCTTAATCTCACTGACATTCAAAACTCATCTTCCGCTGCCGGCTGTCCCAGCTGCGTCATGTGCGGTGTTCATGAGGACACACATCGTACTGTGGCGGAAACGCCGCACAACCTGAACTCTTCGCGCTGGAGCCTCAGGCAGCTAAAAAATTGGGTCAAGGCGCGGTGAGTGCCAAGCCCAGCATTGGCACACAAAGCACGGCATGGCAATTTCCACATAATTTCACCATATGTGGCAAGAGGCGTGGTTTGTGCGTGAGGCATTCCACTGGGATTATGGTAGGGGGCCAGAAAGATGATTTTAATCCAATTGGGGCACAAATCAGCTTCGTTTTTTCCTTGAGCGGCTGTCTATTCGGGCTCTCGGGTTGCACATCCGAATCCAATGGCTGTTTGGTTTAAATGGAGCTCCAGCCTAGTGGCTTGTGACAACTCATGTGTGTTCCTGGCTCACAACCAGCACCTTCCCCATTCATCAAAATAGCGCATTCGCATGTCATGCTGGTTTGCGCCAGGTTCTCATTGCATCTTCACGATTTTCATTGAGGCGTGCTTGGGCCGACAAGGCTGAGTTTTCAATCAAACCTGGGCAATCAAGACCGAACGGCAGCCTCAAGCTGCTCGGTGCTTGTGCAATCCCAGGCTTGCCTGCAGTGATCCATATCGGAAGATCATCTCAATGTGAGCAGTATTATCTCGGTGCAGGCTTCCAACCCCAGCGCGCAGACTGTCAAAACGTCCAAGGCAGGCTGGATAGAAATTGGGACTGCCAGGGAGGGGAGATTCAGTAGATTTGCGCCTGAATCGCAAACCAGTCAAAGGCTTCAGCGAAGGAAAGCATGGGTGAGACTCCTACATCCTGCAGAATTCACATTCTCACCTAAGCTGAAATAGCGCATGATGTCAAGATTCGGAGCTCAGTGGAGATGTGTTTGCAAGTGGGTCAGACGAAACGCGCTTGTGGTTGTGATCATTTCATGCTGTGACATGGGAGGCGTTGCTTTCGAAAGCATAGTGAAAGTTTCAATTCAAGCGACAGGCCTTAGTGCCCGGTGCCTGTGTTGCCCACAATTCAGCAGGAGAGACGTTTAAAATGGACCAGGGCATCGGAACATATTTGCGCAACTCCAATATTATTGGCTCAAGCATTTTCAATCTTACCCTTGATCAAGGATTACCTGACTGACCCCTTCGCTCTGATGGCTTTTATGCCGAGGCTTCTTGTCAGCTTTGGCCTCTTTCTGCGGTGCGAGAGCAGCCTTGATGCTTGTGGCACCGCTGCTTGTCCCAGCAGCGGCCATGGCTTGCTGCAAGTCGAGAAAGCCAAGGGCCGTCAAGGGACGACAACCACCTGGGCCAGTCCATACTTCATGGTGAGTTGCCCTGGCACCCAGGTGATGACGACCCAGAGCATGACGGAGGCGGAGTATGACAGTATCGTGGCCGAGGTTCAAGGCCTCTACAACTCCTTGCCAAGCACCTGCACCGCAACCGAGTGCCCACAGGCTGACTGGGCCGGATGCGTCTTGCGAATGGCTGGCCATGACTTCATGGACTACAAGGACGGCGAGGGAGGTGCAGACGGGTGTGTGGACCTCACAGATCCGGACAATTTGGGTCTGAAAGAGTGCCTCTACGAGGGGGAATTCGGCATCTCCATCGCCGATGCCTACGAGCACTTCTGCGAGTCAGTGTCCTTGGCGGATTTCGTCGTCATCGCCGCCGAAGCGGTGATGGCTGCGTCTCGCGAGCACGTGACTGCAGAGGACAGCAGCCGATCCACCATCGACTTCAAGTCACAGTTCAAGTTTGGCCGCACCACCGCCACGACCTGCGAGTTTGCCCACGGCAGGCTGCCGAATCCAGAACGCAGCTGCACCGCGGTCAAGGAGACCTTTGTCGACAGCATGGGGCTGACCTGGGGTCAAGCCGCTGCGCTCATGGGAGTTCACACGCTGGGCAGGGCGCATGTGAACAATTCGGGCTATAACGGCTGGTGGAGCTCGGCACAGATGAGCCGGAACTTCAACAACGACTATTTCGTGTCGATCTTAGCCAAAGGCTGGGCGCCAGAGGTGGCGGTTGAAGGAAACCCCGCCAAGAATCAATGGAGGCGATCAGATGTCGGAGCAGATGAAGCCGTCCTTGGCAAAGAGATGATGTTGAACACCGACTTATGCTTAGCGTTTTCAATGGATGATGCAGGTGCTGTTGAGCTTGATGCTGCTAGCGCGGTTGAGGCTGAATGTGAGTGCGCCTGGGGTGTTCCAGTAGCTGTAAGCAGCGCTACAACCAAGTATGAGGATGGGCGCTTTTGCGGCAGCACCAACATCCCTGGAAGCAGCGACTTTCGCTTGCAGCGCGCCCTTTGCTGCGGAGCTGAGTTTGACCAGAGGTCAGATGCGGTGATTGACTGTGGCCTTCCAATCACTCCCAAAGGTCCAGCATATTCGTCGATCAGACGATTTGCCAACAACGAAGACGCCTGGATCAGAGTGTTTCGGGCCGCTTGGAGGATTGCCACGGGCAACGGCTTTTCACTCCGACGCCTGCGGTCATAATTACAGCTGGCATTTGCTTCAGCCCTGATTTCTTGACGCCTTATGGCTGGATCAATATGATGCATCGACTGTCGGGCTTGGGCGTGTGCGTTAGTGCATTGACATTGATTTAGCAGTGGTGCCAACACAACAAAACTGCTGTTGCTTTTGGCATATGCTAAGGCTGCCACACGAAAACGGACCTAGCGGGATGTATGGAGTAGTCAGTCCTCAAGCATATTTACTTGCAGAAAGACAGGAAGTGGGAAGGAAGGAAAGAAAACAAATAGAGAAAGAAAGGATGGAAGGAAGGAAGAAATAAAGAAGAAAAGCGGACAAAAGGACATGAACCGAGGAGAAAAAAGGAAAATACAGATGCATAGAACTATAGATCTTTTATTTCGAATCTTCTGAGCCGGCTTTGACGGCTGTACTGGTATGATTTATAGTTTACTCTTGTTTTGTCCGATTTACCACTTTGTCGTCAGTTTGTCTATTTGCACGCTTGGTGAAGCTAAAGATGAAATGGGGATCCACCCATTTGCGGTGTTATGAGGCAAACATTTGTGAGGCACGACAGTTACTACTTATTTGTCGCCGTAATGATTGCAATTGCATGCGGCGCATTGCTGCGCGTTTGGCCTCAACGGACGTGGCAGCCAAACGGGTGTGGCTCAAAATTAAAGAGCTAGGGTTACGCGGGTTTTAGTTGGTGCCATTTACCATGCCATTTTGGTACCAAATGTATTTGAGCCACAGCCAAACTGTGAGTTCTGTATCGTGACGCAGAGGTGCAGATCGTGGACCTCGCCGGCTCCGAGCGCTTGAAGCCCTACGAAGCGGGCTCCCAGAACGACAAGGCCAGCTCGGAAACGCCGCGGCGAAAGTGCGGCCACGGGCCAAACTTCCATGTGCTTAATATGTTTTCCCCTTTTGGTTTTACATGTTTTACAGGGAATTATCACTACTGGAAATTGTAACATTTTTTACCGGGGGCTTAAGCAAATGGAGGGAAAGCACTCAGAATGCGAACATGGCGGGAAGATGCGAAGAGGGGAAAGCGAGAAAAGCAGTGAGCGGGAAGGCGGAAAAAACCAGAAAACCCGAGCACTGGAAAACACGAAAGCAGGGAACGAGAGAACTCGAAAACAAGATTGCGGGAAACGACACTGGCGCACACCGAGCCCTTTGTTCGTTTTAGTGCGGAGGCAAGGTGCTTCTAGGTGGAGGAAGCTCGAAGCATTCCAATGCCAGGGTTCTGTTTTCTACTGAAGCGGTCAGAAGCAAGAAATGAAACTTGTGGCCGTCTGGCAATTGCACTTTTGCTACGTGGAATTTGTTGGGAGGGTGATACATGTGGACAGCAAGAACATACATGTTGATGTCTGAGCTGTCTCAGGTTCTGATGGGCCAAGCGGTGTCCATCAATGTTTCTCTGCCTGGGCCACAGCAGAATGTCTGCGCTGTCTAAGCATCCCCACCCCCTTAAAAACGGAATTGGGGGAGGGGGGTGACCCCTGGAAATCCATTTCTGGTTTCCATGTTCCCTGAAATTGGGAAGACTAGATAAATGGAATTTGGGGCCGGGCCCCCCACCCCCCTCCCCCCTACAGCAGGCGGAATGTCTACGCTCTTGAGATCAGGCACTGGCTTGAAGGCGTTATCAATGCTCTCAACAGGCCGGGAGCATCGAAAGACATGGTGGGTCGAAACCAATGGTACCATTTTGGGGTAGGTGAACTCACCACCAATTTTAGAACCTATTTTAGTTGGGATTGTCCCGTTCACTGGGGGTACGATTTGATTTTTGACCCATGGCCATCTAATTTTATGCAAGCACCGTGCTTGTACGTGTTTCCTTTGCAAAACACGCTGCCACCAAAAAAGCCATTTCTCGGGTTTGATGGCCGCTTGGGTGGACCTGGAAGGTGCTCTAGTCCATGCTGCCTCAAGCCTTTGGCCGCCAGTTTTTGTAGTTTGTGTGCATGTGTATGAACAGGGCTCCTTAAAAGATACATGTTGCCCATTTGAAACATGGCTTTTCCAACACCACCATTGTCAAGGCAATGTTCAGGTGTATAATGTAAGGATCCCTGATGAACAATTTGGTTGAAGCATTTTTGACCCGGCGTAGTTGAGGTTGGACGTCCCAAGATAGTTTCCGTGACAGGAAGGGCAGTGTTGTGCCATACCGCAACTCGTTCCTGACCAAAGTGCTGAAGGCAGGTTCGACATGCAGCGCCTTGCGCGGCGATGGAGTCAACAGTTGGCTGTGGGTCAAAACCAATGGTACCTTTTTGGGTAGGTGCACCACCCATTTTAGTCTATAGTGGGGATTGGGATGTTCACTGGGGGTACGGGGTTTTGCCCCATTTCCAGTTCAGCTGCGCAAGCCTCTGAGACTTGGCGAGGATGCTCTTGGCGGGAACGCCAAGTCCATCATGGCGGACACCTCGGGAAGTGCCATCGGCAGGTCAACCAGCCAGGCGTCATGTCCAAAGTCCAGCGTTGATTCAACATCCTATGGTGCTGCTCCTTCAATCTCTGACATTAGGCTTAAGTCAGAAGCTACGCATTTCTGCTCATGTTGTGTACACATGCGATCTCGACCATCATCAAGGATATGCCCCATCAGATCGGAACCATTTGGTGCATTTTGCTTGGATGTTAGGACTTTAACTTTTTGCCAACTAATGGGTTTTCCATCAAACCACTAAATGTTAAACTTTTAGCAGGGGAGCTGAGCAGAAAGCAACCAAGAACAGCTCAGAAGCTCAGATCCGAGTGCTGGCCATATGAGCCGTGCATGGCTCTATGGCAGAGGAAGCTGGGTGCGGCTGTGATGAGTGCGCCAGGATGGGCCAACTCACAAGCCGAAGTAGGAGAGTTTGAAGCAGGCTACATGTGTAACCTGCCAATTTTGGGAAGAGAGAGACAGAGAGAAAGGAATTCAACGCAACACAAAATACAATAATTGTATATTTTTGTTTGGCCACAAAGACCGAGTGCACGCAACTTGTTTGCCGGGGCTCAGCGACCTGGCCGGAAAGTTGATACTCTTCCACTATCAAGCCTCTGGTGGCCTTGCAGATCCATGTCCAGCAATTCCCCTCAGGAAGGCTTTGCTGCTTCCGGCGCTGCGGCTTGCGGGCGTACCACTGGCAGAGCAGCTGCAGCAGGACTTCGTGCGAAACCTGCGGCCTTTGCTTGCTTGTTGCAATTATGAATTATGTGTGTGTTTAATTGTTTGGTTCACTTTTTCCCGAAAGCATTGCAAAGGGTTCTTCCGGTAAAATCGCCAGCCTTATCATACAGCTAAACTTGCACGAGCCAACTTGCACCAGCCTTATCGCACAGCCAAACTTACCCGAGCCAACTTGCATGAGCCAACTTGCACGAGCCAACTTGCACAGCCAACTTACACGAGCCAACTTGCACGAGCCAACTTGCTCGGGTCGACTTGCACAGCCAACTTACACGAGCCAACTTGCACGAGCCAACTTACACGAGCCAACTTGCACGAGCCAACTTGCACGAGCCAACTTGCCCGGGCCAACTTGCATGAGCCAACTTGCACGAGCTAACTTACACGAGCCAACTTACACGAGCCAACTTGCACGAGCCAACTTGCACGAGCCAGCTTGCACGAGCCAACTTGCACGAGCCAACTTGCACAGCCAACTCACACGAGTTAACTTGCGCGAGTGAACTTGCTCGAGTTAACTTGTGCATAGCCAACTTACACGAGCCAACTTGCACGAGCCAACTTGTTGGAGCCAACTTGCCCGAGCCAACTTGCCCGAGCCAACTTGCATGAGCCAACTTGCACAAGCCAACATACACGAGCCAACTTGCACGAGAACAACTTGCACGAGATATCACACAGCCAAACTTGCACGAGACATTTGGACACGAAAGTAATTAGTTAGTCTATTAAGGCGGCGCGGTGGGACCGAACCCACCCTGCGAAAATGACACCCTCTGCGGGGACTGGCGTGGTCGATGTCCAAAAACTGAGGACTCTTTACGATTTCTGAGGTCGCGCACGCACGTGCGCACACCCACGCACGCACGCACACGCACGCACACGCACCTACACACCTACACCTACACACACACACACACGCACGCACACACACACACACACACACACACCCACGCGCATCCACATACACACACACACACCCACACGCTCACGCACGCAACGCCAACTCTTGAGCAACCACACCACTGGCACCCCTGCATGTCGGCTCGCTTTGCTGGTCTTTGGTCACTTTCCATTATGCTTTCGGGCCACCCGTGGTTCTAGTTTGTTAGATCACACGCGTTTGAGAGCGGGCAAGGCATGCGAAGCCCTCGCATTTTCCGGAGAGAGGATTTGCCGGTGAAGTTCCATTTGCCTCAGATGCATAGGAGTTGCAGCGTCATGCGAAGCGAGCAGCATTGGGCCGGCAGATGACCGGAGGTGCGGCAGATTTCAGGTCTCATGAAGTGGTTTCAGAGCGACATGGCCATGGGGCATAGCCTATGGCTTCATTTTGGGGAGGATGAACATCCATTTGCCACCTATTTTGACGTTTACTAGGGGTACAGGGTTTTGACCCACAAGCTACATGTTGTGCTACTGCGATGCTGCGCGCTACTGTGCCCTTTTGCCACTACCGTCTGCTAGACTGTCGTGGCTCTTCGAGACAATAGGGCACCATGTCATGCCAAAGGGGTATCGCCCAGTCCCCACCGTGGTGGCATTCGCCCAACTTCTTGCCCAAGAGGGCATGATTTGTTCTGAGACTTGCTTGAGTTGCGAAAGGAAAGCACGCAAATTGTGCGGGGATCGAAACCATTTAGAGACAGCCCAAGTGAGCCACAATCAAAACCCGGGAAAAGATGAAGGTTAGTAAGGGGCAGTCCCAGCCGGAAATAGTTGCGGATATCCGCCTCTCTAATTCTTTACATGGTTCTGGGTTCACCATTTTTGTACCAGGTTTAATTGTGACTCACACGCTGTGCAATGCTTTGCACTCTCTCAGGGGTTTTGCTGGCAGGCACTAAGTGACAATGGCATTTGTGTAAGCCAGGTTTTGAGCAAGTGACTCAAATGCGCCTGTCGAAGAGAAATCCTAAACCCTCGGGGGCTTTCAGGTCTTCAGCGTGGCCCAGGGAGCCGCTCATGGCTGCCCGGGCCCCAGCCGTGAAACCCTCGTGAAACCAGCTAAAGGCTGCCAGAACGGCATGAGAGGAGTTGTCAATATCTTGTAAACAACAGCTGGACCCCTCCTATTTTGCAACCTGAACTCATTGTGTACAGATCTCTAGAGGGCAGCTTGGCTTTGCTTCGACGAAATTATGGTGTCTAAACTGTGATTCCTTGCTCTTGGCATTAAATATAATATGGTGTAGTCTAAACAGAACTCCACTGGATTGGTGCTTTGCTCATCTTTGCTCCATTAGTGACCGGCGACCTTCACAACTGAAGACCTTAAAGTAACTGCCCATTCCAGTTCAACAGACAGCTGTCACTTCGAAATGGCTTGAGTGCAAATGCTTTCGTATTCGCACGAAGACGGTTGCGTGAGGCCGTATGATCCAGACGTGTTCCTGCCCAAGCACTTCGATGCTTTCTTGCTCAGTGGTGTTTGCCCGCCGCTTCAATGGCCGGAGGCAACTCCGGACAAGGCTGGGAAGCAGAAAGCCTTGCCTATTTGGCTGTGGGTCAAAACCAATGGTACCATTTTGGGATAGGTGCACCACCCATTTTAGAACCTATTTTAGTGGGGATTGGGATGTTCACTGGGTACGGGGCTTTGACCCATGGCCATGTCAGTTTTGTGCAGTCATTGGTTTGCCAGTGCTGGTCAATGTGCACGGCCTCAAAGGATAATATGGCTGTGGGTCAACACCCTGTACCCCTGGTGAACATCCAAATAGGTGGTACATGCGTGTTCATCCGCCCCAAAATGGAGGCATAGATTATAACCCCTGGCCATATGTGCCGAAATTGATGCTTGAGACAGGAGGTGCAGGTGTGCTACGTGATCGGCTGCGGACGATCTGGCTCCACAATTCTCTCAGAGATTCTGAGCCACTACAGGCCCTTGGCTGTGCCATGCTGTGCAATGCCTTGCACTCTCAGGAGATTTTGTTGCCAGGCGCTAAGTGACAATGGCTCTAGTTTGGTAAATAGGATGCAACCATGTTTGTGACAGCAAGCAATGCAGGATAAAAATCACAAGAGCTCATGGCCCTTTTAGGGAGGACTGTTGCTGTCATTTCCAGGGTTCCAGGGGCCAAGCCTTTCAATTGAAGCTCATGAGAGATATGGCCATGGTTCAAAACCGTTTTGGGATCCCATTTTGGTTGGTAGGTGAATTCACCACCCATTTTAGAACCTATTTTAGTGGTTGGATTGGGATGTTTACTGGGGATACCATTTGGGTTTTGACCCATGGCCATATTGGCTCCGCAGCTTGGTCTTCCTCAACGAGCCCCGGCAGCTTTGGCTGCCCCATCTGCCGCTGGATGTGTGGTCTGCAAAGTCCGACGGGCAGCTGACACCGCAGGCAGGCCGAGAGCTGAATCAATTTCGGGTGAATGGAGTCGAACCAGCTGAAGTAAATCTAGCCTAAGTGGTCTCAACATATGGCCATGGGTCAAAACCAATGGTACCATTTTGGGGTAGGTGCACCACCAATTTTAGTCTATTTTAGTGGGGATTGGGATGTTCACTGGGGGTACGGGATTTTGACCCATAGCCATATTACCCACCCCGAAAAATGCATTGGCTTGTATCAAAAGGAACAAAGATTCAGGCAGCCTTTCCACCAGAGGTTGATCCCGCCTCATATGCGTCTTAGAGCCACAAGCACGCTGCCTGAGTGAAGTCAGCTACTCGGACGCATGGTATTGAAGGTGTCTGACCTGGAGCATTTGGCGGCGGCTATGAAGAGCAACTATAGGAGGAGTGGCTTGGGCAAGAGAACAGTGCCGTGCTGTCGCTGACTTGTGTTGCCAAGTCCATGGTTCTCGCGGGTTGAAGAGAGGCCACTGAGATGAAGTGAAGTGATGCACCAGAAGCTGTCAAACATGAAACTATTTGCATGCAGGTAGATTCGTGTTCAAACAACCAGACTATCTTCAGTGAGAACATTCTCTCATGCCCATCGAACGCGCGAAGGGCAACTGGAAACTTGGCCAACAGAGGCCTAGATCCTGGAGGTCCTAATTTCATGTCTTTGGGCTCGCCTAATCGCATCACGCACAGGTGATATCGATCAGTTGAATGAAGTGACTCTCACAAGCTCACAGTGCATGGAAGGACCTGAGGTATTGAAGCCCCAAACCCGGTGGCCATGTTGGCGTGGGAGGGGCAAGCAAGAAGGGAAGACAGCGCAGACGTCATGAATTCAGAAGTGCCACGAGTAAATCGGTCCATATCCGCGTTGCTTTTTCCGGCTGCGTGGGCGAGGGCAGCTGCGCTGCTTGCGCCAGGTGCACAGGAGCGGGAGTAGCCTGAACTTGAGTTTGGCAGAGCATGTGCCATGGCCGGCAGAACTGGGGAAATGAACCATAAATGGTCTTCACCATGTCTCATTTAGTGGAAAGGGAGAGATGTGGAAAACTAAGAATCATACGAGTTGCGGGCCGCAACACAGCGCACAGCGAATACAGCGGAGCGCAAACAAATCCACAGACACACATAGACCCAGACCGGACACACACACACACACACAGAGAGAGAGGCACACAGAGGCAAGTAGCAAGTAAGACACAGGCACCAGCTTTCATGTCCTGGCTGGCCGTGTTTCGATCACTCAGCGGATCAAAACAAGAGTACCGCGAGTGTTGCTCGTTGTTTTGTTCAGCAGCTTGTTTCGACAACATATTTTTTGTTTGAAGCTACAGCAAAAAACTATTTCATAAAATTGTGGAAGCATTAATTTCGATGCAAGAATCTACAAGCTCTGGGTGTTGAGTGGTGTTGGCTTCAGTCACTCCGATTCTGTGCCAGCTCGCCTCCAGGAGCCTGTGCTGATTCTGGAGAAGTTCCCGGAGCATGCCTTTCGCGTAGACTTGCTGCGGGAGCTTGGCAGAGGCAGCTTGGGGTTGGTTCAAAGTCGCTGCCATGGTCACCGATAGACTCAGCTGGCCCTTTGGATGCATGCCCTTCTAACATCCGAAGCCTTGCAAAAGAACCATAGTGCGAAACGGTGTGTGCGTGTGTTCCTTGGCCTGGCCAGAGAGCATTGATCAAGGTTTGTGTGTGTGTGTGTGTTTGCGTTCGCATCGAGCCACGGTGATGCTCTGGACTTGAGTACTCACCGTCGCCGGTTTCTGAGGCCTTGGCGCAAGGTTTCTGCACCTGGTGCGTCAGGGGCTGCCTGTGGCGCGCTCCATCTCCTGCTTCGGGCAGGCCGGGTTCGTCAGCAGCGGTTCGTCAGCCAGTGTGGAACCAGAGTGGCTGGTGGTGGGTTCGATGTATTCTCGGGGAAACCTAAGAGATGGTGTCATGTCGCGTGCTGCTTGTTGGGTCACTTGTTGTTCCTGCCTGGCCTAGACATGTGCCACCCAAAGGGGCTACAAGTAATGGGGCTTTTGCATCCATACAGAGGCATGATATTCCATGAAAAGTGTGCCTCCGCGCACGTGTTGCAAGTGTCGCTTGCCAGGCAGCTTGGTATGGCATGCGCGACGAGAAGTGGTGCCTGGTTGCAGAGTCGAGCGTGGCACATTTCATGGAGTTGTGACGCTTTGCACAAACGAATTGTGTATACCCATTGTCACCTGGTTGAGTCCAAACGCCTAGTGGGTTGGTGCCACAAGAACAAAGGGTCGATGGGCGTAGATTGCGACTGCAAAGACGGCAACGACATCACCCAAAAGCATCTAGTTGTTGCCCGTGCACATTTCAGAACCATTTTTTCATGAGTCATCATGAGGCTGGAGATTTGTTCGCATTGCTGGCAAGAAAACTTATTTGCGTGCTTGGAGGCATGTCAACGAGTTTGATTTAGGTGCAAGTTGCTGCACCAGATGCTTTCCACCTAGGCGGCAGCTGAGGAGCCAACTCTCACGCTTCCAGCTGAGCGAGTCCTTCATGTCCCTCCTAGAGGCGTGAATCAAAGAGTCACTTTGAAGGGCTAGGATCGATGTCTATCAACATGGATCGATATGGATCGATAAGGATCGATACGGATTGATATGGATTATGGATCGATATGGATCGATATGGATTATGGATCGATATGGATCGATATGGATCGATATGGATCGATATGGATCGATATGGATCGATATGGCTGTGGGTCCAAACCAATGGTCCCATTTTGGGGTAGGTGCACCACCCATTGTACTCTATTTTAGTGGGGATTGGGATGTTCACTGGGCCATGCCCATATGGATCGATGTGGATTATGGATCGATTGGATGCTTCTGGTGCTTGGCCCCTGCCTTCCGAATTTCCTCGCAAGGCACCGACGCCAACGAAGCAACTCCTCTTTGCGCGGGGTTTGGTGGAGTGGGCGCTGAGTGCTCCAGGCTTATTTTCAGCCAAGCGTCACAGCACTGGAGCACTGGAGCACTGTATTGGTGTTCTTTTGGAGCGGTTAGAGTGTGTGCGTTTCCATTGTTGCCATGGCGTCTTCCTTCTGACAGCAAGTACTCCTAGCTGTTCTCAGATATTTAAACGAGCATCTTCTACACCAAGGTGCTTTGCTTTAGTGTGTGTTTCTTCATTGACGCAAAATGAAGAAGTGACTTACGACAGCTCTGTTTCCGTCACCTAAACAACTCAAGCTGTGCCGAGGTCCAGCTTGCCCGCGACAGTCTGCAGGACGACTCGCTGGAAGTCCGCGCGGGCCTTGGCACGAGGCTTGCAGTGGATATGTCCGCGCCCTTGGTGCGGCACATGAATCGCACCAGGTGTTTGTCTGTTTTGGACCGTTTTGCACCGCTTCAAACCAGACTTGTGTCCTTTTTGGGACCGTTTCGCACCCTGTCCAAGTGATCGCCCTGACGCTTCCCTCACCTTTGCTGCTTCTTGACCAGATGCCGCGGCTTGAGGCTACGAAGAGTTGCTGGCCCAGCCCAAGCAGGTCTTGCAGAACGTTGAGGCATGAACATGGCCGAACATTGCACTGCAGAGCCCACCCGTTTTGATTTGGCTGTGGGTCAAAACCAATGGTCCCATTTTGGGGCAGGTGCACCACCCATTTTAGACCCTATTTTAGTGGGGATTGGGAGGTTCACGGGGGGTACGATGTGGATTTTGACCCATGGCCATTTGGCAGATCGGACACGTGCGAGACTCGTGAATAGCACGCACCGCTTTTGCCTATGGCAAGAGGCGCTGCTGAACCTTGCCGACGACGGCTCCGCTGCAGCCTGGGCTGGAGAGCAGCTGCGCAGGCTCCTGCGCCGGTACCTTGGGATTTGTGGGGAAGTCTGCTGAAGCCATCGATTTTGGGGTGCCCAAACTGGCATTTTTGTCTTGAGATGTAAAGCAAGGGAGTTGCGTAGGGCACCAAAACTGGAAGCAATCGGTTTTTGCTCTTGTCAAAGGTGCGTAGGGGGGCAAAACAGGCATGTTTGTCTTGAGGTGTATGTGCTTCAGTGCTCGAAATGCCCGGCAGGTGCGAGGAACCCGTTACGGTTTCGGAGGAGGAGGCGAAGCCACACTGTTTGGTGCCAGATGTCAGGAGACTTGCAACCAGAAATAACTTCACAATCCACAAAATGCAAACCTGAAGCTTCAAGGCAAGAACACAATATCCAGGTTCAGCATCCAGTCTCTGAATTGTTTTTTTTTGCGCAGTCACGTCACAGGAAGCTCTCACATGATTTACATGCCTTCATAACATGGACTAGGACATCATGTTTCAATGCCTATGAATTTCCTGTCCGTGGCCATTGCTGCCGCGAACGGATCTGCATGCCTTGGTGAAGGTTCCAGCACAGGGCCTTGAGGCCTTCACATGGATATCGGGTGCCAAAATGTCCGCACAAAGCCTGGCTCTACCGAGAAAGCAGGACTCCACTGAAGCTCACGCGTTTGCCAGTCGTACCTGGATGGCCGTGCCGTCCAGCTGCTTTCAAGCTTGCCAGCCTCATGTTTCAAGTCCAAAGAGCCACTTCACTTTAGAGCCGAAGACGCCCAAATCAAATCAGACGTCAGGCCGAGGTGTTGGAGCTCTTGCGGGGCTCCGGCATCGACGTGCTGCTGGAAGCAGAGGCCGGCCTGCCAGCCCCCGCCCGCAGTTGAAAGCTATTTGGCCATGGGTTGCATAACCTATGGCGATCCCATTTTGGGGTGGATGAACATCCATTTGCCACCTATTTTGATGTTCACCGGGGGGTACAGGGTTTTGACCCACAGCCATTTGCCAAGGAGGCTGCAGCGCTCTCCAGCTGGAAAAGGATGCGTTCAGCGCGACGGGCTTGCCAAGCACATTTGAGACCTGTGCAGTGTGGAGATACCAGTGGATTTGCAAGATTTGGCCATGGGTCAAAATCCCGTACCCCCAGGGAACATCCCAATCCCCAATAAATAGGTTCTAAAATGGGTGGTGCACCCACCCCAAAATGGTACCAGGCTTTGACCCACAGCCATGTGTGTCAGCGTGCAGATCAAGCAAAATGTGTCCGAGGTGGCCACACTGAATCCTTCCGAAACCGCTTTGCCAGAGACCATCAGCACCTGCCGCTTTGCCCAGCGCGTGGCGAACGTCTGGGCCCCAGCACTTTGCGCACGTTGGTCCAATGCCAGAGAACATCAGCAGTTCTAAGTGGATTGGGCTCAAAATTAAACGGCTTGGGCAAACCGCAGGTTTTAGTCTTTGTTTCGATTCACCAAGGTGCCGTTTTGGAACCAAATGTATTTGAGCCACAGCCAAGTCCCAACGCATACGCATCCAAGTTCTGGGGGCTACAAGAAGCCAACTTCTCAACATCTCAACTGGAGCCCTGACTTTTTTTAGGAGCGTCACATCGACTGCACATGCTGAGAGCGGTATGTGTGTCCTTTGCCCCAAGAGTCGAAGAAGCCCCATCTTCTGGCAGACAGGTGGCTGGACGGTCCGGTGGCGAAATCTGGGTCTTTGAGAAGCCCTCGAGATGTGTCGAAGCTGAGGTGCAGACCTTCTCGCGAATTAACGAGGAGAGGGATCCGCAGCTGGTCATCGCTGCCCTGCGCCAGGAGAGGAACTGGAGGAACTGGTGGCCTGCATTCTTCTCCCGTGAGCATTGCGTATCTTATCCTTTTGTTCGGTAGCTTGTCCTTATCCTTTTGACTTCACTCAAATGTCTGACTTTCTGTGGAGTGGTTCGACTCGTGCCTCCCAGTTGAGCTTCTCTACGTTCTTCATTTTTTCTAGTTTCGCAGGAGAATGCCGAGCTGCGAGCCGCTCTGGGTGCGCATGGTGAGGCTCCCTTGACTCACGGCTTGACATTTGAGGTTGTCTCGGGAGAATCCCTCAAAACCGGGCGGGTCCCTTGGGTTCTCCTTTCAAGCTTGACTTCTATTGGGTTGGATCTTTAGACTTTAACTTTCTGGGAAATCAAGGGGTTTTCCACCATACCCCAAAAAGTTAAACTTTTTGCAGGGGTCAGCAGCAACCAAGAAGCCCTTACAAAGGGCACCGTTTCAACGACCGGCACACCCGTTTTGGCCCGGCCCTGCGCGCTTGGCCTAGACTCGGATCTCCGCAAGTCTGGCAGGCGCTGCCGGAAGAAGAGCTGCGCAGACGAGCCAGGACCTTCATGGAGGACACCTTGCGGCGAATGCAGGATGACCCAAATGGCTGTGGATGTCAAGACCGTTTTGGGATCCCATCTTGGGGTAGGTCAATTCACCACCCATTTTAGAACCTATTTTTGGTGATTGGATTGGGATGTTCACTGGGGGTGCGGGCTTTTGACCCATGGCCAAATAGCTGCGCATGTGGTGTTTTTATTTGTTGCTTAGAGTGCATTCAGACCACACACAGGACTTAGAGTGCATTTCAGACCACCCCACAGGCTCACACACACACACACATGACTTAGAGTGCATTTCAGACCAACCCACAGGCTCACACACACACACACACATGACTTAGAGTGCATTTCAGACCACCCCACAGGCTCACACACACGACTTAGAGTGCATTGCAGACCACCCCACAGGCTCACACACATGACTTAGAGTGCATTTCAGACAACCCCACCACACACACACACATGAGTGGAAACGGAAACAGTGGCTTTGGGGTGGATCGATGCGGCAGAGCAAGAAAAGGGAATGGAGCTTAGAGCCAGGAAGACGCAGCACCGCTGGAAGCTTCCATCTTCTCTGTGGCCTCGTTGCTGGAGGCTTTTTTTCCAGTTGGCCATGGGCATAGCCTATGGCTCCATTTTGGGGCGGATGAACACCCATTTGCCACCTATTTTGATGTTCACCAGGAGTACAGGGTTTTGAACAGCCAGTTTCCTCCTCGAGCGCTTTTTATCTCAGCTGGACAGAGGTCTATTAAATCCCGTTATGGACATACAAGTTCCGCTTTCAAATGCCACCTGCTGCGCGTGCAACAGCCTTCGCAGGCCTTCTCGGTCTTTCGGATGCTGAAGGAGCTTTGTTGGGAGATGCTGCGGAAGAAGCTCGTGTGGCACTCAGTTTGAGGTCCTTTCGTACATGTTGGGGGGACGCGCACACAAACAAACAAACAATCAAACGCACACACACAGCGAGAGAGAGAAAGCGCACGCTCAGGTGCCAGCAAAAAAACAGACGCGCCCGCCCCTTCACGCAAGCGCGTGCTTTGCGTAGTGCTTGCCGAACACAACCCCAAGCGCCGCATGAATCACCTGATTCCATGCTGCATGCCTGCACACGTGTTCACGTGCATGCCGATGGCGAGAGCAAATGGTGCGTCACACGCTCGGGGCCCCCTCACCGGGAGTCTATGAAGGGAACCATTGCCATGACCCACAAGAAAGGTTGACCATGGCTCATAATGTCGAACGAAATATATATTGTATGCCTGGGATGTGTCAAGAGATGCCGAGGCATCCCCGAGCTTCCGCTCCCAGGCTGGAGACTTGAGTGAAGTTGGGATTTGGGCGGCACTGGCGTCGGAGCGAGGATCGTAGCGCGCTAGACTTGAATCTGACATGTGACTTCCTGTCGTATCCGTTTTCTTCGGTCTCGCCCAACCGCCGGCGAGCTCAAACTTGCAATTTACGCCATCTCCTGACACGGGGTGCTGGGTGGGCGGGTGGGGCGGGTGGGTGTGGAAGGGTGAGGTGTGGGGTGTGGAAGGGTGAGGTGTGGGGTGTGGAGGGTGAGGGCGGGTGGAGTGTGGGACCACATTGCATGCAACCCAATGAATAACAATTGATGTGGCTGTGGGTCAAAACCAATGGTACCATTTTGCATCATTTTGCAGTAGGTGCACCACCCATTTTAGAACCTATTTTCGTGGTTGAATTGGGTCCCGCTTACTGGGGGTACGATTTGGCTTTTGACCCACGGCCATATCAGTTTTGCAGTCTCCGATTTCGCCATGCTTCTGCTTTTGCGAGGCGACTGAGGTGCCGAAGTCTCCGACCTCTGAAGGCTTGGCCAAGCTTGTCGCTGTCATTCTGGTCGTAAAGCGCTGAAGCGCCTTGGGTCACTATGGGTCAAAATGCTCCTCCTAGCGGCCGTTCAAAAAATGGGTCAAACTTAAGCCACCTGGAACTTGCAGGCTTTAGTGCAGGTTCCCGCTTACCAGGGTTCCATTTTGGGTACCTGTTTTTTTACCCACAGCCACAGCCACATTGCCAAAAGATTCCACGACACCGCCCCGCAAGCATCATGTAACATTCGCTGTAGGCTCCCATGGGCCCGGATCAGAGAAGGGTGGGAAGACCAAGGCAACAAGTATGTACGGATCCATGAAAGCTGTTACTCAAACGAGGATCAGCCGCACAACATGCAAGATGGACAAGGCGCCATGACCTGTGTTTGCCTGGGACAGGTACTGATAGCGTCGAGCTGAAACAAGTGCTGAGGCCCAGCTCGGCTTCATCCAAGTGCTTCAGTGTTGGTTTTGTTGCACTTCTTCTCCCCGTGCCAAACGCCCCGGAGACTGCACAGCCGAAGTGCGTCGAAACACGCGAAGTGCGAGCTGAGTCACCGAGGTGCTCTCCGAGCGCGAAGCGGAGTGCCGCACCTTGCGCGCAGCGCCAGGAAGCCTGGCTGCGGGGATCAGACGTCACAGCCTGTTTGTCATCAAGGTAGGGGGAAATCCCAACCATGAGTCCACGAATCGCCCGTTCATCGGGGTGACATGATTAACTAGTTTTTCCTCTTTTCCGCGACTCTTGCTCTCAACCAACAGCTTCCAGTTTGTGCTGAAAGGCAGACAAGAAGGCAAGTCCAATTTAGCTGAGGTTGGCAGCACAACAGCCTCGCCCTGCCCCTCGTCCTGTGCGACCAGCGGATGGCTCGGAGCGCCCGAGCACCCTTTGCCGTGCCCGGGTCCGCACTCCTGGCTCAGGCTCGAGCTCGTTCCGTGTCCACAGCCACGCAGACAGAAGCCGGGGATGTGCCGCGCCGGAAGCCGAGAAAGCCGCGACAGCTGAAGCCACGAGACTTCGAGTCGCGCTGGTTTTGGATCGTCCAAAGCTGCATTCTTGATTTTGGGAAGCTCAAGCACAAAGCCATGATAGCCACGTCTCACTTGGAAAGCCGTGACAAAGCCATGATAGCCACGTCTTTCTTGTTGTGTTTGTCCAAAGCCGCGCTCTCGATTTTGGTGTCAGCCGCCTTGCCCGAGGCCGGCGCCGGCGCCGGCCCGCTTCTGCAGGGGATACCAGAAGGGGTGACAAAGGCATTGGATTGGATCGCAGGTCTGATCTTTGCGAAGTCCGCACCAGGCCGAGGCTTTGTCAACTTCAGCCAGGAGGACGTGGTGGATCCTTTTGGCCGCATGGAAGGCTGAGCGCGCGCACTGCGTGCGGTTGAAGTGGCCTGCTCCAAAGGCAAGACCACGCTGCCGCCGCTGGTGTGGGGCGCCCAAACCGATGCAAGTGGCAGCTTCAGAGTCAACAATTCGGGGGCGTCCTGTTTTGGGAGGTGCATGGGTTGTTTAGAGGGAAGCCAAAGGAAAACCACCCCTTGAGGGCCCACAAGCCAAGCTCAATTCCATTCATGCAACTGAGTGGCCGTACCCCAGTGCGCGATGCGCAGGCCGCGAGATGCTCGTGTGCCAGACTTTCGGCAGATGCAGGCTGGTGGAATTTGGCGCCCCCAATGAGTGCTTGTCGCATCACTTGCTTGGTTCCTGTGTTTGGCTGCCTCTTACGTCACACATATACCCGCACGCACAGAGACGCAGACACAGACACATTATTTGGGAGTCGTTCTAAAGGTCCTTGTAAGGAGTTCAGTATTCGGTGACCATCGGTGTTGGTTGAGGTAGCTCCGCGAAAGATTCGCGATGGAGTTGCGAAAGTAACTTTTTTTCTCGCGAAAGTTTTGCGTAACTGTATCTGGTTAATCAATGATATGTGGAACCGTTCATCTTTTCTGCTGAGCCTTCCTTCTATTCTGATTAAAACACTTTGTTGATGTTGCGCAAATTAAGCCTGGTGAGGCTACAGTTTGATACCCTGCTTGGCTGGTTAGTGCTCCAAGCCTATGTATGTGTGTCTGTGGGTGTTAGTCGGTGGCTTTCCGCTCTGAAACGTGGGTGATTTTTCGCGAAAGTTCCGCGAAAGATCCGCGAAAGCCCGCGCGAAAGCGCAGGCTTCGATTGCAAGGGGAGGTATAGTCTGAGCGCCGATCTAGTCAGTATACTAGCTTGGTACTGGAAATCTGCGACTTCAAGCTGGAGCTGCACGGCGAACGAAAAGCTGCGACTTTCCAGCCGGCGCATGTCATGTACTACCCCTGTGATGAAAAGTTGCGACTTTACAGCTGGAGTTGGGAAATCGTCACTTCGCTTACAACGCTGGCACTTAAAAGCTGCGATTCTCCGACTCGAGAAATGAAAAGAGCACGGCGATGAATCCGCGAAAGATTCGCGAAAGTAACTTTTATATTCGCGAAGAATGGCCGTTTCGAGACAAAGGAATTTAGATCAACCACCCATGTGCTGATCAGGGCCGACTTTTTGACTAACCCACGATAGACTTAAACCCAGGGGTGGTTGATGTTTCTGAAAGGGAACCTCCTGGGTTTAAGTCTATCTTGGGGTATAGTCAAAAAGTGGAACCCTGGAGCTGATGGGTTGTTGGATAGGTTCCTTCTTCGTCGGGGACGAAGCATGCGACGTGTAACTCTTGTCCGTCTTTGCCAAGAGCTCCTCGTCCAAGTGGCCAAGAGCTCCCACATCTCCCATACGGCGTTGTCTCCATGATTCTCTTTGGTTTCCATTTAAACGGGAAACCAAAGAAAGGGTACCACCATACCGGACCATACTTGCTCAAGCCTGCAGGGCTCCGAGTCATCGGCTCCAAAGTGGGCGGCTCAGTCGAAGCTCGTCGAAGCTTTGTGACCCAGAAGCCCGTGTTTGTTGTGAGTCAACCATGGCATTGTCAGCCGCTCTTGGCTCAAACCCACTGCAGTCCTTTATATCTTAGGATCTTGGTGCGTATATACAAATCAAATCCCTACAGTTGGTTGTTTGTGTGTTCATTCTCGACGGACCAAACGGGTCTGCCGTTCGGTTGCCATGGGCCCAGAGCGCCCCTCCGGGGTGCATTTGTTCCCATTGAGATCCCACTGCGGCCTCAATGGCAACGACCTCCTCGAAGGCATGCATGCGGCGCAGCGCCAGCACCCCATCCGCGAACTTTGGGCGCCTGGCTTGAGGCAGGGGCTGTGCCCTCACATTGCCCGCTGGGTGGGTGGCTTGTACATCACCTTTTGACCAATCTTGCTTGAGTTTTCCGTGAAACCCTGACATTTCCCTGTTTGGGCTTGTATTTACATCACCTTCTGACAAAATATTGCTTGAGTTTCCCTTGGCGAGGGATGCTTGAAGGGTGGGTGATGTCTCAGGAGCCCTGTGAGGCTGCCCAGGAAGCTGGTGGATTACCTCAGCGCCATTTGCCGCGACTTCCCTCCACATGTGCGACAGGAGGCAATTCTGCTCCTCAAGCGCTACGTGCGCGCAGTTGGCAAGAGCACCACTTGTGACCTTCAGGTGGTGGCACTGACCTGTGCCAACTTGGCCGCGAAGTACTGGCAGAAGCATGGCATCCCAGCACAAGACCTGCACAAGTTGTGCTGCAATGCGTTCACTCGGCAAGACTTCATTCAGTGTGAGGTGCATGTTCTCAACGTCCTTGGGTGCACTGTGCACTGGGATGGTGTGTTGCTGGCAGAATGGGCGGGCTTGCTGCTCTTCCTTTGTGAAGACTTGCTCATGGATGCCAGCGACATGAAAAAGATGGTGGGTCCTGCTGCGCTGTTCCTTGACGCATTGGCCTTCCAAGATGATCTCATGTCCCAGCGGCTTCCCTCCGAGTTGGTAGCAGCAGCCCTGCATGCCACAGTGCACCTTTGCACTAAGTCATTCCAGGTGTACCGCTTCTGTCAGCGTGTGAACCACCTATGCCGCGTGCCCGACAGTGACACGGCCAACCTCTCGGAGAGGATTCTGCAAGCGACCGTGGGCCAGCAGTGTGCAGATTTTTTGTTTGAGGGCGGCGCCTCAGACACAGATCAGGATACGACAGAGGCTCCGGCAAATGATTTGCCCTCTGACGAGGACAATGAGCTGTGATGGCTTTCATCAAGCCTTTTGCCAGCTTCTCTTGCGCGAGAGAAGCATCGCATCCGATTCCTCTATGTGGTGAAGCTTACGCGCTCAAGGCAAGGATGCTGAAGAGGCATGGGGTGCCGAATTCAGTTTGACTGGTTGCTGGAACCGGTCCGGGGAAGCAAGCAACGCAGAGGGACAGCGAAACAAGGAGCAAAGCCGATGGTACATCAGCATGAGATGTTGTAGCTTTCTCAACTAACCAACCAGGAGATACTGTATCGTGCCATCTCATTTACGAGAGGGTCGTAAAAGCACTCAAACAGTACAGCCAACTGAGGCTGGGCACCACTTCCAAGGCCAGAGACGTTCGCTTTGTTCCGTGACTAATGGGACGTTCTGCGTGATGGGACCTTGGAACATGTTGGAACCAGCCCGTGCTGGCACGTTCTAAACTCCGCTCCCGAAAGGCTTTTGGGCTCACTGGGTTTGCTTTTGCCAGGAGTCCGTTGGGGCCAGCGCGGAAGCCACTTCAAAGCCTGCAGGCGACCATTCCGAAGAGTCTTGCTGCAAGTGCAAGCTTTGGAGATGCGTTACTTTGTTGTTTCTATACACAGATGCATCGCTTGACCTCCAGAAGTATCGTTTGTGAACTTGCGACCTGTTCATGTCATTCATGCTCAAAGCAGTGCAGCAAGCGGCTGTTGAAAGGAAATAGTTCATGCTCAAGCGGCATCTTTGGTCTTCACAACGATAGCAGTGTACTAGTCGCCTCGCAGGCACGGCTTCGTGTAGCAGTACAGTATGCGGTTGATGCTTTAACGCTTTTCCCTTTGAACATGTCCCATTGGACTTATCCTGTCTTTGGTATTTGCGCTTTGGGTTCTTCTCTTTGGCATTCTACCTTTGGAATTTTCTCGTTGGCATTCTCTCCTTTGAAACTTTCTCGTTGAAATTATCCCATTGGAATTCTCCCCTTGGAATGTTCCGATTGAAATTCTCCCATTGAAGTTTTCGCATTGGATTTGTCCCTTTGCACATCTCTGATTGGAGTTCTCCATTGGAGTTCTCCCCTTGGAAGTGTCCCTTCAGAGTTTTGCCTTTGGATTTATCCCATTGAAACTTTTCCCAGTGCACGTTGAACGTGATGCTGATAATGTTGGTCATGCAGGTGATGTTGGGCTGGTGTTGCGGAGGATGCAACAACGATGCTGAGGATGTCCGACAATGGTTCGGGGGGAATTGAACACACCCAAGGTTTTCCACTACGTTCCATTCCACTGTCATGCTTCAAACATTGTGGATTTCTGGTTTTGTCATTCTCTCCATTGATTTCTCTCTGCCCATCCGCCCACTAGAAAAACAGACAGTTCCTTGTGTTTTTCTCTTTTGATGGCACCCTTTGGAGGGGCTGCTTTGAAGGGGAACCAAGAGGAAACCGCAGGAAGCCACCGATTGCATCGCGCAGGTGGCGTTGCGTCGCCGCCCGCGGCACCCGTGGCCGTGGCGGCGCCAGCGCCGCAAGCGCCGCAAGCGCCGCAAGCGCCGGCCGGAGGCTGTCCCGTGCCTCCGCCGATCACGACCGCTACTGGGAAACCCGCGGAAACCATTGGGAAACCCATGGGAAATCTGTGGGAAACCCATGGCAAACCCATGGGAACCCCGCGGAGCTTAGGAGAGAGTCCCGTCCAGAAATTGGATTGTGGCAATCAGGCATCTTGTTCCTTCCGACGTGGTCCCAGTCCTCCTGAGTCCATTTCAGTTCTTTTTTGGGGCTGGTACCTGATCTTATTTTGGGTGGGTGGTTGGGCACGGGGGCACGGACTTTGTCAAGTTCCAAGCGGATCAGGTGCATCTGCAGCTTGGCTGGCAGCCACCACCGCGCGGGCTCCCAGTTGCCTAGGAGTATGGGCCATGACGGGGAGAGGACTCTGGACTTAAACAAATGAGATCCCATTTTGGTGCACCACGCATTTTCGGCTTTATTTTAGTGGGGATTGGCGTGCTCACTGAGGGTACGATTTGGATTTTGACTCATGGCCATATAGTTTGCAAAGGATGCGGGCGTGTCCTTGAGGAATTTGCTCATCAACTCTGGTAATTGCGCTAGATGCGAACACACTGATTGATCCTGAACACACGGCCAAAACCACGCATCCCTGGCAAAGTGAAACTGGCACGGCCTCAGGCTCTTACAGAGGAGGAGCGCCAGCTGATGGTCGACCCCGCAAAGGCGCTTGCCGACCTCATGTTGAAAGTCCCGGACCTTTTGCGCTCGTTGTTTCTTCAAAGGGAATCCAAGAGGACGCCACGCAAAGTTCAGACTTTGGGGCGAAACCAGTCCGGAATTGAGTCTGAACCACTTGCACCGAAGGACACCACGCATTTTGGGGGGGGTTCCAGACCAGACACGCAAGACATCACCCTATGTGTCCTTTTGAGGTTAGTTTGGCTAAACATAGATGGCACTGGTTTGGGTTTTGTTCCATCTACCAGGGAAACCCATATTTTTTTTAACTAAAAGGCCTATGGACATCACTGTGTCACGACACCGTGTTTTTCAAAGAGAATCCAAGAGGACGGACGCCACGCATCTTAGGGGGTTCCAGACATGCGATCGCTGTGAGGCATATCAGCTCTTCCTGCTGCACGACCCGCGGGCAGCGGACATTTGGCCCAGCGAGCTCCAGGACATGCGGCAGGCGGATCCGAAAATGGACAGAAGAAAAGAAACGAAACGGTACCCTTATTCGAACCTCTCTACCGGAGGACCTAGTAGGTTTCTTTTGTCGTCTTTGTGTTCTTGGCGTGGGGTGAACCGTCTTTCCACGGGTGTTTGCTGCGCAATGGCTCAGACTACACGTAATGTAGTTAGGCGGCTGGCCATGAGCAGTGATTCAAGAGAAATTCCATCCAGAGAGAGAGCTGAACGTAGCCACTCGAAGCTGCGCGGGGCTATGGCGGCACTTGAGTGCAGCTGCGGCTTCTCGAGCTATTCCAAGATCATTTTCCAGGACTGCCTTTCAGTCTCAGGGCATTCAGAAGGCCTCATAAGGCGGGCGTACACACACAAGCACACAACAATTGCGGTCGTCAATGGGTATGGGTCAAAATTAAACCACCAGGGACCGCAGGTTTTTGTCATTGTTTCCATTTACCAAGTGCGAATCTGGTGAATCTTGGGTACCTGTTTTTGACTCACAGCCAATGTCCTCTTATGAGGAGAATAGGACAACAAGGATGTTTTTTCCTGCCGACGGAATTATTTTCTGCTGCCAGGACCATAGTTGTGCGGGAGAGCAAAGTCGCTACCAGTTGCTCGGCCTGGAAACGCAGACCTGGACGCAGACCTTGACATAGTTAAGTTTGAGAGGAATACGATTTGTGCCAAACGGGCAGGAGGTTCGGGATGCCCCTGGAATCATTTCCTAGACTCGTGTCAATCAACACCATGCACATGTCAGACAGCGTGCGATCGTCCTGGTCCTGAATCTGATGAGTTCCCCAAGTACTCTTGGCACACGGCGTGTCCGCCTTCCTGCTGGGAGGATTTCAGCGCAAGTGAAGCTATGCTGCACAGCCAACTTCAAGTCTAATGTTGCAGTCTAAAACAGTTGAAAGTTTGTCATGTGGCCATGGGTCAAAATCCCGTATCACCAGTAAACATCCCAATCCCTACTAAAATAAAGCCAAAAAATGGGTGGCGCACCTACCCCAAAATGGTACCATTGGTTTTGTACCACCGCCATGTGAGTAAATGTACGCAATATATAGGCCTATACGTGATGTGCACAGGTGACCCTTGACCCACCATGTATTGCACCCCTGCTGATGGTGCAATTGTTGACACCGAGTTCGCGTTGAGCAAGGATGTTCCTGGTTTGAGAATCGATCACTTATACCGAAATTGATGAGATTGTAGCATTTTTTGGGCCATCAGCCATTTCTTGGGAGATGTTGCAAGGGGACTTTACTTGGCCCATACCCAGAGAAATCACATATCTGGTCGGCGGCCCTGTTCTTGTAATGTGTGTGGAACCCTTTTTCTTTGCAGAATCCGCTGCTCGGTTGGTGCAACAAATCCGCTTGCAAAGGTCCGATCGTTGGAGCCAGACCTATGGCCACGAGAGCAGAACGGCATCTTGTCGTTAGCTTCAAGCCATTGGCATGTCTTTGTTTGCCAACAACTTTGCTTGTACGGTAGTACGATTGACAGGGGTCCATGTCTACTGATGTCTTTTCCACGCTGCTTGGGTCAAATTGGCTCGCAGGACACTTGCAGGTGATAATGTTGACCCTCTGGCTAGCAATGCACAAGTTGCACCAAGATGTTCAAAATCCATCTTGTCACCAGCCATGCATTTTGAGACTGGGCCGCAAAAATGTATATACCCTGGTTGCAATGGACAAGCTGTGGGCTCAGGATGAAACTGGAACGCCACCACCGCCACCGCCAGAGGAAGAGGCGGCAGAGCTTGCGCTTGGGACGGTTTTGGGGATTTGCTGTCTCCCAGCGGACATGAACCAACATGGATGGAAGCCAGTTTGTGAGTCGATTTTGTTTTTGCTGTTAGGGCCCACCGCCTCCTGGGACGGTGGACGTGTACACGGAAGAAGACTGTCCCCTGGCTGCCAATTTTGGCAAGCCGCGTGAACAAAGCCTTTTGTGCTTGCACGTGTGCTTGCACAGGGCTCCTTAAAAGATACATTTTGCCCATTTGACACATGTTGCTTTTTCCACCAAAATAAAGGGACACCACCGTTTACAAGGCAATGTTCAGGTGTATAATGCAAGGATCCCTGTTGCACTTGTGTGCTTCGTGCCGAGTTCGGAATCCTCAAAATGCGCCCTTCCGGTGCATTTGCGGCTTCAGCGCCTTCTCGCAGCTTCTCTATGAGGCAGATGCTTCAACTCGAGAACGTGTGCGAGAGAGGGAGAGGGAGAGACCAATGGCATGTTAGTTTGCACGTGCAGTGAAAAGAGAAATGGCTGTGGGTGAAAACCAATGGTACCATTTTGGGGTAGAGAGAGAGCGAGAGCGAGAGCGAGAGATGGAGGGGGAGAGAGCGGGAGAGAGCGAGCGAGTTAGTTTTTCGCCTTTGCCCGCAGAGCTGCGCCAACAGCAAACGTTTGCATGCGCAGTAAGAGAAATTGTGAACGCAAACGTGTGCCCGAGGCACTCGCGAAATTAGGCCATGTCAAAGAAACACGAAGGCACGACCTACGTTTTTTTGGGCTGCTGCAAGCAGTTTTGGTTGGGTCTCCAGACCCGAAAAACATACGACGCCCTGTGTTGGATCATTGTTATTGTTAACTCCATTGTACGGGCTCAATTCCAACTGACGCTGCGGCAAGGAGGAAAGGAACAAGAGCTGGTGAATTGCGCATGTGTCAAGGGTTGCTCCTTGTGCCTCCGAAGAACAAACACACCACCAAGCCACATGTTGCCACAACGAGGGCCCAAATCTTTGAGACATGTTGACACCTAATATGTTCCTACCATCGTCGGCTCGCTGAATGGAAACCCAAGACGAGAGCTCCTAAAATCGGACCCCCCAACGTCCTCATCGCCTACAATTGGCCGCTGCCTGAAGCACGAGTGAGATGGCGTGTTTCCTTTTGGGCGTTTTTGTACAGGACATACGGTGAATGGATGAAATCCATTTCGCACCACTTTGAAATTATGGGAAACCATTGTTCGTTGGCATTTACAGTGGAATGATCATTCCTTGGTTTCTGAGGTGGTGCGAAATGGATTTCGTCCATCCACAGTAAGGGGCCCTAGATTCAACGCCCAAAGGGAGTTTGGGATGCGTCCCGCCCAGCGCTGCGCGCATAGGAAAGCCGCTTGCAGGCAACAGCCAGGCCATGTTAAAGGCTCCGCGTTCGAAAAACCAGGCGCAGGCAGCGGAAATGCCAGCTGGAGATGTTGCAAGTCATGCGCAACAACAGCTCTCACCCAAAAACGCAGCCAATCTCAAGCACACTCGGCGCCAGATCATAGAGCAGGAAAAAGTGCAACAACGACAGCAAACCACACGACACTTAAGAAATACAACAGCTCTTAAACCAACTGCAATATCAACACTTTTGAGCGTTGTTTGTCGGCCCAAATTGAGCACAAGCTGCACAAGCCCTTTTGTGGTGAGCAGATAGGGGGGTCAATTTCAGATCGAGTTTGTTTTGCGACGCTTCGCATCACTCAAATTGATCTCATCACCTTCGCCGCAAGGGCCTCGCTGGATTAGCACAGAGTTGCGGTGTCATGAACTCGATACTCGATGTCGCAGCTGACACTCTTTGTCAGGACCATGAGTGCCACTTTGTTGCTTGGTTGCATTGCGGCACAGAGAGCGACGTGGATGCAGCTTGGCTGTTTTGCGTATAGGGCCATCTTATGTTTGTATATATATATGGCTGTATATACATATGTATATATATATGCGATACACACATATGTTGAGGCACAGGATGACACATTGCACGCATATTCACGCGCCCAAGCATTCCCGATGCAGTCCGGCTCCGGGACACTCCAAGGTCATGCGGGAGGCCGTGAAGTCCTCGGTGCGCGCCAGCTCCGTGTCCCGCCTCAAGGAGTGACTTGAGCGGAGCTCGAGGGGCGAGCTGCCGCGAGAGGCCGCGAGAAAACGAGAGAAAACCGAAAACGACTTGGCCATGGCTCGGCGCACCGGCCTGCGCAACAGAAAACGACTTACGGCAAAGGCGGCAAAGCAAGCAGCGCAAATGTGGAGGACGCCGGGCTTCACCTGGAGCGTTTGCATGCACCCAACAAAGAGGCTGGAGATTGAGCGTTGTGCCATTCAAGTCACTAAGTGAAGGCAGGCGTGTGACCTGTTGACCTCAAGAACAGACCTGCTTTCGATGAGGGGCGGGACTGGTCCCAGTGCAGTTCCTCACATTATGGCTGTGGGTCAAAAGAATGTACCCAACATGGCCTGTGGGTAAATGGAAGAAAAGACCAACACCTGCGTAACCCCTGCTCTTTTCCAGGGAAAATCGATCACACACCCCTGCCCATGGTCAGGTGCCGCAGACGGTGGTGGTCAAGTCCCAGGAGACTGGCAAGGCGGGAGAAAGCATGGCATGTTGCTTCAAACAGCCAAACTCTTGTTCGCTTTTCCAGGCTTGGCTTGGCAAGAGCTTTGGTCAGGTCATTTTTGGCCCACGGCCAGTGGAGAAAGACAGCAACATTGCGAAGTTGCAGGAGAAAATCCTGGAGGCCGGCACAAGCCATGTGCCAGGGCACAAGTCCAGTCCTAAGTGTCAATCAGCTTCCATCGCTTCCATCGGCGTGTTCAAGTCGACTGTTTCAGCCTTTCTGTGGCCTTTGCAGATGCGAAAGCAGCCGTGGGCCAGCATGCGCTTCTTCTACGAGGCGCGTTTGGTCCTTGAGGTGGGAGGCACTCAGAAGTGCTGCAGGAGAGGGAGCTGGACTCAGAGACCAAGCTGCAGAGCCTGCTGGAAACTTCGCTGACGCTGATGGCCACCTGGTGCAGAGCTGGTTGGGAGAAAGTTCCAGGCATCCAATGGACCATCCTGATGATGATGATGATGATGATGATGATGATGATCATGATGATGATGAGGTATGCCCTGGTGAGGAGAAGTCGGTTGCCTTGGTAACCCTCAGTGGGGCAAACAAAAAGCTTGCCATGCGCACTCGCCGTGAAAGCCATC